CCGCCACTGAGAAATTAGCTTTGCTCCGTGGCGGCGTCGCGCATGCGTCCCTCCATGGAAACTCGTAGCTATGTACTCTCGTGTTTCGATATATATGATATGCATACATACATATATACGAGTACAAGTACGTACGTATAGCGACATTTCACACGATTGTAGACAGTTTCGTATGTGGTTATATTCGTATACCCGGTTTGTCGTCATATACGTATTTGAATTTGATCGTGTGCGGTGAAACGCGCGATGTCGCGACACAGACACCAGGTATACAAGGATCGAGAAAGCGCGTGCTATGCACACACACACACACACGAACACACTCTCAACTGGTTCGAGCAAAAGAGTGTTCGTACACGCACACGTATAGAGACACGTAAAATGTTTAGTCCTCGCGACGATTGGTTCTCTTCCCACTCCACAGTCTTGTCTTGGCATCTCTCTTCTCCATTCGCGATGTCTTCTTTCCCCTTTCCACGATGGATTTGCATCTTTGTCCGTCGAGTCGTTTCGATCTCTCTTTTCCGCTCGTCCATTCGCTTTGCTCTTTCGACCCCTCTACCCCTGACCTTATTTTCCCCACCTTCGTGTCGTTGGGTCGTAATTCTACCACACGTCGTCGCGAATCCTCTTGATCAACAGGAGGGAGGGAGCTATGCGCGAGGAGGAGGGGTGCTACCCATCAAGATTCATCGTGGATTATAATATTCGACGTTCGCGATGTCCGTCGATAGGGCATCGGAGGCGAATTACCGCGTAGAAAATGGTAGCAGCCGGGGGCACACGTAATTACGCCCCGCCTGGTTTTTAGCGTGCGTCGGTGATCATTTGACCAGTCATGAAATTTCATCGTTGTTTCCCTGCTTTCACGATTTCTACTTTTCTTTCAATTTTCTTCGTTGCCTCGGTTTCAATTTTACTACCCGTTCCACCTGTTTTAAGCGTCGTCCGGCCGATAAACGCTAAACAAAATACGTAATCGTCTAAATGTCCAATGACACTAGCACCTGATTAACGTGTGTAGATACGAAATCGGCCTACGATATAAACGATTTCATTTCACCGCTATATCGATCTCGATTATTCGAGAATCGAACTGATCGTCCCGCGGCTAGTTTTCTTCGAACCGCGTATATTTAAATACCGCCTTTCCGATTTGGATCAGCTTGCCGACCTTCGGTCGACGAACAAAAATATCCTTCAATTCGCGGATATAAATGCCAGCACAAGACATCGTAACGATAGAGTAATTCGCGCATGAACAAACAACGAACGTTTAAAATATGTAGAAAAAACATGTTATCTTTTCATTTTCAGAACATGTACTTTCGAATTTTCGTTCGCGCGTTATTTCGCTCGTCGAACGTCCGCTGTTTTTCAGCGAACGCGAAACCTCAATTTACCGCCGATAGATACAAGATAGAACGATATGCTTACTCAAAAATTTCCAAGGAACACGTAGCATTCTTCAAGGAACTTCTCGGACGTAACAGGGTGATCACGGATCCCGAAGAATGCGAGAGTTACAACATAGATTTCTCGAGAATAGTCAGAGGTAAGTGCGTGGGCGTAGTCGAGAGTACGGAATCGAATTCATCGTAAGGTAAATTTCACGTTTCTCTTATGTCGATTAATGGTTATTATTCAGAGTTCTTTTTTTCTAAATGCTCAGTGCTCGCTTTCGAATGATTTCCTCTTAACGGAGGTAAAGTTTCATTTTCTGTCACGCTAAAGAGAATTTATTGTGTTGCAAAGAAGGGAAAAAGTGTAATTTTTTTCTTTTCGGTTAAGAGAAAGGAAAGGCTAGTTTCTTCGCGTAAGAGACTGCTGCCCTTCTGGCTGTACCCTCCCGGCTGTGCCCGCGGGTTGACGGAACCGTGGCCCGTGATGGTCTCTCGAGGAGATCATCTCCAGTATCTTTCGAGGAATCGGGCATTTGGCGATTTAGAAGAATATTTGAAAACAGCATGAAATGTACTTGCAGGAAAAAGCAATCTTGTGCTGAAACCAAAAACGACGAACGAAGTGTCCTCCATATTGAAGTACTGCAACGAAAATCGTTTAGCCGTTTGTCCACAGAGCGGCAACACGGGTCTTGTTGGAGGCAGCGTGCCTGTGTTCGACGAGATCGTTCTTTCCATGAAACTTATGAACAAGATCAACGAAACGAACGAACTGGACGGTTGGTAGCCATTGTTGGTGCTCCTACAATAGAAACGTTAAGTTCCGGCTGTTGTTTTAACGCCAAGTATTTCGGCGAACGAACTTGCTAAACGTTTCTTTTCTCTCACGATCTTTGTAACGTTAGGGGTGTTAACCTGCGAAGCCGGTTGCGTGTTGGAGGACCTGGATAATCATTTGGCGACCGTAGGATTGATGATGCCGATCGACCTTGGCGCGAAAGGCAGTTGTTTAATCGGTGGTTGCGTGTCAACGAATGCAGGCGGTATAAGGCTTCTTCGTTATGGCAATCTGCATGGGAACGTGTTGGGCCTCGAGGCTGTGAGTTTCGTTAGAAAGAAAGTTGCCCGAAAGAAGATTTAGCGAGCACCCCATGCTGTTTCGTTGTAGGTGAAAGCGAACGGAGACGTGGTAGATTGCATGAATACGCTGAAAAAGAACAACACCGGCTATCACTTGAAACATTTGTTCATAGGCTCCGAGGGTACCTTAGGAGTCGTGACGAAGGTCGCGATTCAATGTCCACCGCTTCCTAAAGCGGTAAACGTAACGTTCTTAGGTACGATACTTAGCTGCGATACTTAGGAATTGTCGAACAACGCGATCAACGCGTTCATCCTTGTAACGATCTCTCGCTAATTTCGTACAGGGTTGAGTAGCTTCGATAAGGTGCTGAAGACGTTTCAGTTGGCGAAGAAGGAGCTGGCAGAGATCCTGTCGTCGTACGAGGTGATGGACAAGCTATCGTTGGACGTTTCGGTCGAACAATTTGCTTTGAAAAATCCACTGACGTCGAAAGACGACGGGCACGAGTTCTATGTCCTAATAGAAACCTCCGGAAGCAACGCGTCTCACGACGAAGAGAAACTTTCGTTATTCGTGGAAAAGGCTCTCTCCGATGGCATCATCGAGGACGGAACATTAACTTCGGACCCTGCGAAAATCAAAGTTAGTAATTCTCTCGATTACTCACGATCGTTTTGCTTACTTGCGTACGCGTTACCAATTATAGATCTTTATAGTAGAGGATATAGATGAAAAAATATTTTCTCTTTTTCTTTTATGCAGAGTATTTGGTCGATCAGAGAGCGCATTAGCGAAGGTGTACTAAGAGAAGGGTACGTTTTTAAATACGATGTTTCCACGCCTGTCCAGTCTTTTTATAAAGTGATCGAAGTACTCAGAGAACGGATACGTGATCCACGAATCATAAGAATCAGTGGTTACGGACATATGGGTACGATCGAAAGATTATTTATTTCTATTCTGGTAAATCTTTTAATTCGATTTCGCTTACATTTTTTAATCGTTCTGAATCTGTTAGGCGACGGAAACATTCACGTGCAAATTTCTATTCCGACCTATGAACCGGAAATAGCAGCAGAGTTGCAGCCATTTATATTCGAGTACATTTCGAGTCTTCGTGGTAGCGTCAGTGCCGAGCACGGCGTGGGATTCACTAAAACAAAATATCTGCATATGAGCAGAAACTCTTCCGAGATCGAACTTATGCATGATCTGAAGAAACTGATGGATCCGAATTGTATTCTTAATCCTTATAAAGTCTTGTATCCGTTAAAAACTTCTCCATAGCTATTTAAATTTCAACTTGAAACGACATAGGTAAAAGTGTACATTAGTAATTCCTGTAAATATATACATGTATGTATGTTATAACGCGATGTATGTTACAATAAATATGTTATAATGGGATCGTTGCCGAACAATGTCGGCATTGTTACGCGAGAACCGTGTGTAATCGGTTATGATCGGTACAGTGGGTAACGAACGTCTTAGTGAACAACCGAAACAACTAATATATCGGATAAAAGTAATGTCTACAACTTACTACATATTCGTTTGTTCTTTATGCTATCCCCTACTAATAAAGATCATTTATCTCGACACGTAACGATTTATGATTTTATCGTTGTTATGTAGCGTTTAAAATATTTCTTTATTTTTCGAAAGGATACCTTTCGTTAGGACTATTCAAAATGTTCGCGCTTATTAATCCGCGCATGCGCAACGATACAGAACGTTTCTACCGCTTTACGATAAGGCGAGATCCTATTGTACCGATGTAACAATTTCGTTGTTCTAGCAGTTATGTAGAAAGGCGTGCAGAGAACGCTATCGTCGAGTTTACTCTGCTCTTTTATTCATCTCTAGATAAGCAATCGTATTCTAATTAGATCATTTCGTTCGATACAGCTATCTATTTGTATCTTGAACTTTTAGCCATGTCAACCGGTAGCTATGCCTTTCGACTTTTTATTCTACTTCCATAACGTTCAAGTCTATATTGAACGTATCCTAGAATAAACATATTCGTCATCGATTAAGTGTGTCTGATACAAACGCATTTTCAGAATAACAAACGTTTTCGCGTGCGCATCATCGATCTAAAAATTAATTTTCTAATTGACAATTTCAAAACGATCATCACTTTACACTTTGGTTACATATTTTTCTACACATCGCAAATATCGTGTAAAATTTTTTAAATAATTACTTGGAATTTTACAATCACTCACCGACCTACCCTAATAATTATAATCTCTGCATGTACTTCCAATAATAATTGTTTTCCGGAATAACCTCTGTAAAATCGTAACCTCTGTAAAAAGTTATGGTCGAGATATGACAAAATTTAACACATAAAATAGGGATATAAAAAATACATACACGTGTAAAATATATGAATAAACGGCAGCATTTCATAATATTTTCCATAAATATTGCATAAATAATTAAAGCGATATGTCGATAATGAAATGTACATATCAATGGCGTTGCGTGAACTTAAAGATATCGACAAATATCGAATAAAGTAAAGTCCTTTAAATCGCGTCAAAAACGTCGAGAGAAATTGCTCGAAGAATCGAGAAACGAGCGCGGAAGCTCGATTTCGAGTATGTTCGAGTACGGATAGAAGCTCGAGTATATTCAGTTCGAACGTGAAACTGTTCGAAGAACGTTTTACGTCTACGCATGCGCGTTTCGAAATGTCTCGAAAAGCGCGCCGTGCTAATATAAATGGACGAATCACAACATTGCGTAGTCAGTTACAAAGTGGAAGTCGAAGCTAGCGCTTCGTGGGAATTTTTGAACGAGTAACGAGCAGTTTTTGTTCGATACGAAGCAAACGACAATTGTGATCTACCTGTTATTTATTGAGCAGACCGAATATTTTATTTTTAACTAGTAAGTATGTATATTTATCTTGCCGAACGATTATAGCTTTGTCAGTGATCATAGTGTAAAATTATTACGTTTTATTTGGATTACGTCTATATTATGCTTACGTTGTAGCCGGTAATAAACACTGTTTATGTAGATGTTACCAGAATATTGACGTTTCAAAAGTGCATTTCGTGTTCTAAAAATAGAAATGTAAAAATATTCGATCAGGTTTGTTTCATAATATGCGTTTCAGGAAGCGTTTTAGTTTTTCTTCAACACGTAGAAAATACAGGATTTTACTTTGTCTTAAACTATACGAAAATCCAACGTTTCGGTAACGTCAACGACGTTGGCCTTGTTTATGTACGTTTCGTTTTAAATTTGATAAAGCCTTCTTTTTTTTTTTTCTTTTTTTCCGTGTTGTCTTTTTTTTCTTTTTTTTTTCTTATAAATATTTTACATTTAATACTAACGTTTTCAAGAATCTTCAGTCTGTATTAGCTTCGGCAAGGATATCTTAATGTCAAAATATTGATTTAGATGAAAATTTTAAGGATCGGTGGTATTTTCGAATCGGAGAGTGTCCTGAAACCTTTCTTATATTTGATGGCACAATTTTGAAATCTTATTAAATTTATAGCGTTTGAATTGTCATTTAAATAAATTGTACATTTAACGTTTGCAGACTATAATGGCACTAGTATCGAGAGATCTTTTTCGTAATTGGTGGGAAGATATGGACCGTTATCATCGTGAACTGGATGAGCATTTAAAACGGCTAACAACAAGAGACGACCTATGGCAGCCTCCTCCAATGCCTTCCTTCAGTGAATTTTTCCGTCCATGGAAAAACATGATAGATCAGTTGGAACACGAAGTTGATGGTTCGACCATTGTTGAACGAGACCAAGACAAATTCCAAGTGATCGTTGATGTACAACAATTTGCACCCGAAGAAATAACGGTCAGAACAGATGACAAATGTATCACGGTGGAGGGTAAACACGAGGAGAAAAAAGATCAACATGGATACGTGTCAAGGCATTTTGTGCGTCGATACGTGCTCCCACAGGGATACGACATGGGTCACGTGAAACCGAGCTTATCCTCTGACGGTGTTCTTACTATCACTGCACCAAAACTTGCCCTACCAGCACCTGGAGAAAGAATCGTACCGATCGAGCGAAGCAACGCACCTGCGATCAAGGCTGCTTAATGCTGCATACAACGATAACGTCAATTTTCTTTTTATCGGCATAAAAAAACATGTTATATCGGCAGTTCATAATATATTCCCTTTTTCCATTAAATTCTATAGATTTCCATTGTTTCACTTTAAACATTGAAAATTCTTTGTTTTATATATCGTTTCTTAATTAGTTTCATAAGTATGAATTACTGATAGTTTAATTACATCCTTATGTAATTTTAGCTTGTAAGCGCGATAGGTGTATTACGAGCGTCCAAAGAAGTTAACTATTTAACGCAAGAATGTAATATACATATAAATATACGTACATCGTGACCATGAAAGTGTTGTCATTGCGTAATTAAAGTCTGATAGTACGAGTGTACGTATTTGAATATTTCATTTGAAATTCTATATTTGGTAGATTCTTAATATAAATTTTTCGAATTTATTTATTATATGTGTATAACCTGCCAAAATGTGCGTATAACTGTCATGTTTGTAACAATGATTTAATTGTACGTATGTATAGATACACTTTTGTGGTTTTTACTCTTTTCTTTTTCTCTTTTATTTTTCAATAAATGCCAAGTACCGAAAACAGATTGTTTTCCTTCTAAAATTAATCTCCAAAAAAATACGTTAAAGAATTTTATATTTAATCAAATATAAAAGTATTTACAAGACACGAAACGTGTTTTATGTAGAAAATATTTGAAGCGATATTTTCATTTCATCGTTTCGTACATAAATAAGATATTAATATAATTCGCAACGAGTTTCATTTTTACGAAGGTCCTCTATCTTCTTCGCTTTCCGAAAATGGTTGTTCGTCTTGATCCTGTGGGGGTATTAATTCCTCCAGAATAGTCTCCTCCGCAGGAATTAAACCTTGAATATATCTAGCCTGTTCCTCGATATTCGGAATTTTCTCATAAATAAGTTTCTCAACGTTAATTTTGTTCAGTTCAACTTGTATACGTCTTTTAAGCGGTCCTTCTATCGCATCCATTATTTGGTATCTGTTAAGAAAAGGAAAAATAGTCCTCGTATCGTATAGATAATATACGATGGTTTGATGCGCGAATTGAAAAACTCTAAGTAAAAAAAATGAAAAACATCGAGATCGAACCTTAAAAGGTTTGGCAGTACGTTGATGCTAGCTTCTAGTAAGTAATCAATGGTACCGGCACCGTGAATCCTGGCTTGGATGTTACCTAACTCGAGATCAAGCTCTTCGATTCTCGGTTTCTTTCTGGTATCTATCGGTTGGCCGAATTTTATTTGAACCCTGAAATATTGCACGGTAAAGGAAACTGTGCCAGCTCTCGATAAGAAGCCACCAATAACGCTCACTTCCCAATGTGTTCTTCCTTCGATCTCCTGAGTTCCAACGTCGATTAAAGCGTATACCTTTAAAAGGAAACAACAAGACGATATTTAAATTCAATGTCGCCCACAATTAGATGACATAACAGAATGTAATAGGTATAACAATTATAACCGATTTAATCACTGCAATTTCATTTACATAGTATACGACGTAATACGTAATTGACTCGATTACGCTGACAGATAAGTAACTTGCGTTGCAATTATATCGACAAGTACTAGTACTGGAAAAGGTTTAAAAACTAATTATTTACTGTTCCATTTTCCATGCTGAGCGTAATATTTCCCATTCGATAAAAACTCGCCAAGCCAGTGATCCATGTGTGAGTCGACGTTACAGTGAACATACCAACGCTTTGGCTATAATCCTGGACTTTGAATGGATCATATCCCAATTGGGACACTTGTTTGCGAGCTTCTGCCACTGCCATGTCAAAAGGCGATATAGAGTTCGGAAAGTACTGTGGCAGTTGCGATATTTGTTTGTTAACTTCGCCCCTAAATTTCAGACAAGTTTTAACTGTTCACGTATTCGTTGTATAAAATAAAATTACGCATAGAAAAAAGAAGAAAAAAATAAAAAGGATTTTACCGTATGTTAGTATTGACTTCCTTTAATATGAAGGGCTTAATACTGTCGAAAATGAACGTGCCTATGGAATTGATCACTCCTTGAAAAACCGAACCCAGGAAGCCCAAATTCTTAAAGTCCATGTCTATTTTATCGAACGTTAAATCCATGTCGATGTCTTGAGCTTGTAATTTACCGTCATCGGCAACCTCGAGCCTCGCGATTCCTTGGATATTTACTTCCGTCAATTTGACGGTAAAGTTACCGGCGGATCGTGATAGCCAAGAGGAGAGAGTATACAATCCACGGATATCCAGAGTTTCGATACTCAATGTCACCGAGACCTTCGAAAGCATTAATAGAAACATGAATTTCAAAGAAACATTCTTTTTTTGGATCGGATATAAAGATGATGACGATGCGACTATTTTTTCTACTCGTAAATAATTTTTACGCGAACCAATTTGGCAAGGATTCTCGATGCGATTCAATTAGATGACGTTTCTACATAGTTAGTCATCGGTACGAAAGGTTCCGCCTTACCATCGTATAATTAGCACGTGATTTTCGTAATAATCTCAATTAAAGTAATAGTCCGAATTAAAGAGAAATTATACACTTTGAAAAAGAGGTTAAAAAAAGATTATATTATTGCACGCTGCTATTGTTCTAGAATTGTTCGATCGCGAAACGTGCTTCGCAAAAGATTCTCACTTGCATCAGCGCCAATTCAGACTCCATGTGTACTATCCGAAATTTCGTCAAGCCATAAACGTTCACTTCCTTGAAATTCATGGTGTATATGGAAAAAGAGTGTTTCATATCGGGCACTGGCATAGGGTCCGGTATCGGTGCCCCAGGTAGCCCTACCGGATCGTCTTGCTGGTAGTGCTTCAAGATCGTGCGAATATGATCCCCGAGTCGTTTCTCGCCAAGCGCTATTTGTGCTGCCGTATCATTTTTTCCTGCAAAGTATTATCGTTCGTGTATCGAGACAACAAGTTATACGCATAGAAACTGCGATTTAAAGTTTACCAATCAATCTTATTCAAATGATCTAGTCATCTATTAGTAGATTTATTGTAAATGAATTACATTAAATAACCGATTAACAACCGATCGATATACATGTCAAATTAACAAACATCATGAATATTATAAAATGTCGATTCTGCGAATATTATGTAATTAATATTAACTGATAACATGAACACGCGTTTAATATTCTATGTAAATGAAATAATCTGAAATTATTATTACACTTTAATAATTGTAATTAGATTGTAATTAGATTTTTAGGAAATATTCAATTGTATCGTATCGACAATTAATCGGCCTATGAACTGAACGTTAGTTGAAGTTGACAATTTTCTTCTGTCATAATAGATCAACGGTCTTAAGCATGGCGAAAAGCAAATTTACTAACTTACCAAAAGATTGTTGAACATCGCAAAAGCAAACCAGAGTACAATAGGCAAAGTAAACGAACAATTTTGAGAACTGCATTTTCACTTTTTACGAACAATCAAAATAAACAAGCGTGGTGAGAAACAACGATCAGTATGACCTACAATAGAACAGGCCATGCATTTGACTGAGAGGTGCGTCAGTGAATTAAGTGGAACGATATCTCGCGGGTCATTGAAGGGGCGAGGGTCAACCGCTTTATCTGATCCCCCTTGCCCCCTCCCTTATTCTTGCGTTGTTTCCTTCGTTTCCTCCTTGGACACCCTTTAATACTACATCGTTTCGCTGGTATCAACGTACTCGCATTAGTACCTAGTTATTCACTACGCACGAAACTGGTTAATGAATTAACGCTGTAAATATGAATAATAAATATAATCAAAGAACTGAACAAGCACCACGTATGTACGTACCCAATGGATTTATGCGAATTCTTTTACTTTAATAAACTTTACATATATATTAAATTTCGAGCAAAATTCAGCGTTAACAGCGTACAATCGATTTGTTCGCTTTACAATTTTCTAAGGAGTATTCAGTTTTTTTTATCGCATCACGGTATTACTTCGTTGATCAATTATCTAAGTAGTTACAGTATTATAAGTTAGCATATTAACAGTATTCGCGTTATCCGTTATCGAAGATTCAAAAAAATGTATATGGCGCCATCTACTGTCAAAGATACTAATTTACTATTCGTCCCGTGGAAGATTATAGTCATCGGATGATAAGTTTTCGTTCATTCTATGCATCTTATTGTTAGCTTGGATTATGAAGCTCGAATCACGGACAAGGTATATAGTCTCATGGTCTAGGGGTACGTATGCGCTCGTAGAATAATATGTTCGTAAAAACGCAATATATTGTTTCGATAGTTCGGCGTTTTACCGTTATATGTATAGCGATAATATTACTGTTTCGAAACTTTGCGCGCGAAATTGTAACTTTTGAAATATGCATAAAAGAACGAAATTTCGCCGAGTTTACATGCAGCATTTATTTAAAATAGATAAACCCAATCAGAGATCAGACTCGATAGTCTTTTATTTTGAAAATTCCTTCATGTTCGCTTCGTTTTGGATTTCTTACATATTGTATTATATATATGTTTTACCTGTTATATCGCTGCGGTATTCCCCTTATGTAAATCAATTGCAATGTATCATTCAATCGTAAAAAATGTTATATTATGTAGTCATACAGTTTTTAAAATCTTCCTCGTAAAAATTTGATTATTTATCCATTTCGAAAGTGTCTGTCATTAGGTATATTGCGTGTCAATGCGCGTATGCTTTGCTGATAATATGACGCTGTTTCCCTTGGCTACCATTTATCCCAGAGGAGCCATATACAGCATATCAAAATTTGCCTATATCAAAATTTCTCCAAATAATTCACGAATAAATGTAACAGGAGGAACCAACGCAATGATTATATATATATATACTGTTGTCCAATAAGATTTAAGATATTGACGCATTTCTGTTGGTAGCCCTAGTTAGTTTTACAATTTTGAATAGGTTTGAATTTAACGTATTGCTTTATTATCGTGTGGCAGTGTCATCTTTTCTTTTAATAATTGTATCGTTTTCTCTTTTAGTATGAATGATATTGATGATAAAATAATTGATCATGAAAAGGGTAAGATTAACAACTAATATAGACATTTAGTTATAATTTTACTTTTATTATAGAGCACACATTTTGAAATGTGTAGTATTCGATGTTTTACAATATTGCACTTGTTACTTATGAAACGCAAATTACTTATGAAACCAAGTTTTTCAGAAGTTGAGACTCGGAAATCAGCAGAAGAGATGGACGAACAACGTCAAAAAACTCTTGCTTACGAGTACCTTTGTCACTTAGAGGAAGCTAAAAAGTAGATCTTACCTTTAAGATTTTAGTAAACAAATAATCACTTTTTTTTGCAAGATCTTAAAGTTTTTTAATCTTGTTAGATGGCTGGAAGCCTGTCTGAGAGAAACTCTCCCACAAACTATTGAATTAGAAGAAAACTTAAGGAACGGGGTATATTTAGCAAAACTTGCACATTTTATGGCACCTGATTCTTTACCCTTTAATAAAATTTATGACCCTGAACAGAAGCGTTATACTGCGGTTGGTTTACAGTTTCGTCATACAGATAATATTAATTATTTTTTAAAATCCTTAAAAACTGTGCAATTACCATTGGTAGGTATTTATTATGTTACACGCGGAGCCTTGTTTGAAACAGCTTATATTGATAACAGAAATCTTTCTATAGACTTTCCAACCAGAAACTACAGACATCTATGATAAAAAAAATATGCCACGCGTTATATATTGCATTCATGCTCTTAGTACTCATTTATTCAAACTTGGTAGAGCTCCACAGATTCAGGATTTGTATGGAAAAGTGAACTTCACTGGTATATACTCGATTAAATATTAAGAAGTATTTATATGATTAATTAGCTAGTACTATAGACTTTCTATTTTTCAGACGACGAAATAAATGCTGTTAGTAAAGAATTGAAGAAGTATGGAATTCAAATGCCTTCGTTCCAAAAAATTGGCGGATTATTAGCGAACAGTATGGAGATCGATGCTGTCACGCTTCATGCTGCGGTAATAGCAATTAACCAGGCCATCACAGAAAAAGTATATATATCCTTTCCTTTAGAAGCTTTTCGAATAAGAACTTCGATTATTTACAGCTATTTTATTTTTAGGATAATGTTAAAATGTTAATGGCGCTTCAGAATAAAGTAGTGCAAATAAATAATATTAACCCTCTCTACATTAAGGAATATGGCGATACATTAACAGAGGCAAAGTATTCTAAGCAACAGGCTGCTCTTAATAGAGTGAGTGAACATTAGTTTCGTGATCATCTTTGTATGTTTTTATGTATTAATCGATACGATTTTGACAGTCTCTTAACGATAGTTATGTGCCAGATATTTATGATGAATTGTTAACTCAAGCAGAAATTCAGGGACATATTAATTATGTTAATGGTAAGTCAGAGAGTCTAAGAAATTATTTTATAATCATGTTCTATGTTTAATTATATACATTATTTTCAGTCGAGTGCGCAGTGAAAAACATAAGTCGGTCAATTCATCATAACAATAACGAGTTCGTGAATGCACTGAGAGCATCTGCTTTGTGTTTAAAAGTATATGTCACATTACTAGTTTTCTTCGTCTGCTTTTTGATAATAATATTATTAATGTGATGAATTTGATTAATTTTTTTAGAACATTAAGCATGAAAATGCTGAATTATATAAAGAACAGTTAATGCAGTTACTAGAAAGTTCTGAATGGAATAATATGTATTCGGAAAGCAATCATCATTTGAAACAATTGCTTCAGAAAGAAATTGATAAATCAAATGAAACAGCGCTTAAATCTCGGAAACGTTAGTATTTTAAAATAAACATCGGATAACTGCCTATAATTACCGAATAATTTGATTAATGCAGGTGAAGAAGGCGTTAAACTCTTAAACTCAACTTTACAAAATGGTTTGAAGAATGAGTTCTCTGAGGCCTTAAAAAGTCCGAAATTGGGATTGATCGAACAAATCGATGATTTTGCAATACCATTATATTACGAAGAAATGAAAATCGATCGTACGGAATCTCAGGTAAAAATAAGAAATATGCGGTTAAAACTTTCATGTTAATTGTTATTAATATAAACGATGTTTTTAATAGAACGACCTTTCATATAGTGATATTGTAGTGAGTATTCGTGTATTGTCAGTGATCGCAGCGATCAGTAAAGCTGTAGATACGGGAAATCCAGATTTAGTTTATCAGTCATTAGAAAATCCAGACTGTCATGTTTCTGTAAGTGTAATCGAATGTTTTATGAGCTTTTGAATTTTAATAAGAAATTATAACAATGTTATTTTAGGGTTTGGATCATGAAAACAAAGTGAAGTATTATAGAGCACTGTCAGCAGTTCGATGTGAAAAACAAGCAATTGCTGAGGAATGTCCTTTGCTAACGTACATCGATATCCAAGAGTGTATAGATGCCGTAAATCAACAGCGTCAAAATGACGACGATGGTATATTTTTAATTCTTTATGTAACTCCCATAATTATTTAGTCGTATATCATTAATACTGTTTAATTTCGCAGTAATACAAGTTTTACGTCAACTAAATGCGGCTGTTGTAGAGAATGATCGAGACGGAATTATAATTGCTTTAAAAGATACCGCTTTGAAGTTGCAGAAGTTTACTTCGCCAGAAGATGCATCTCTCTATTTGAAATTATTTAAAAAATGCCTTACTGAGAAACATTTTGATGGTTCTGAATTATGGTTAGAAGATGTAGAAACGATAACAAAAATCGTTGCTGCGGAATCTGAAAATGTCCAAAATGGTACACAGCGTATACGTAATTTGTTCGTTTTACTTATACCTTATCTAAAACTGTTCTTTTAAAGGATTACATGTATTTGCAGCGTGTACGTTTCTGTCACAAGTAAATTTAGGTTTACAACAAAACGATATGTTATTCACAGTTGATTGCCTTCAGACGTTTGGTTTTAAAATATCAGATAAATACAAAACAGAGTGCTTTCAAAGTTTATGTAACTTACAAAAAATGAAGGTATAACTATGCGACACATAAGTATTTCTGTAGCATATAAGATTTAATTTGATAACTTTTACATTTCAGAGTAAAAAGTACAATTGTGCTCTAGTTCGTTATATCACTCCTAAAGGCAACGAATCGTACTTGGATTTGAAAAAGTATAATTATACTTGGGATTGTCCAAAAAATATATCGGAAACATATTATATCAACATGGAAGATATCAAGGTATTTTGTACCTAATTGTAAGAACAATCGAAATAATTGCTGTGGAAAAGCTTTATGAACAAATTTAGTATATTGTTGCTTTTAGGAAATAATAAAAAGTACTACCGCAAGAGAACACGAAGAGCATAAAATCAGCAAACGGATAGTTCGATTGCAAGCTTGCATACGAGGATATTTATTACGAAAAAAAATTTCTGTTAGATTTGCATATTTTTATGACAACGTAGATAAAGTTATTAAAATACAAGCCTGGTGGCGCGGTATATTACAACGTAAACGATACGCCAAATTATTAACAGAAAGAAGAAATTATAGTAGTGAAAAATTTTCCAGTAACTGTTTAAGAATTAAAAATAAGTATGCAAATGTATTAGATTACTATAAACAACATGTAAGTAAAATCAGTTATTTATTTATGCTCGATATATAGTATATTAATAACTGTGTACCATATTTTCTCTTGCTTAAGGAGGAAAAGATAATAAAGATACAAGCTTTGTGGCGTGGCCGTGCAGAAAGACGAGCGTTTCACTCATTGTTGTACATGGAAAAACCACCATTTCCTGTTGTCCGACATTTTTCTGCACTTCTAAATTTTAATGCAGAAGATTATGACAGAGATTTACAATTACAAGTATAAAGGTTTTGAACTTTAACAACGCGTAGAATTATAATTGTTTAAATTTCATTATGAATTTGTTATTACAGCAATTAAAACACGAAGTGGTACAAAACATACGGCATAATCAAACTTTATCGCAACAATTGGATAGTATGGACATAAAAATTGGTTTGCTTATTCAAAATAGGATCACGCTACAAGTAATGTCTATAACAAGAAATACTATTTTAGGTTCTTAATTTGTTTAGAATGTTATACTGAAGAAATGAACGCATTTGTAGGATGTTGTAGCACATGGGAAGAGTTTAGAAACACTTGCGAAGCAGAAAAATTCAACTAGAGATCAGAAGAATGTTTTATCAGATAGTACTATTTCGCATAAAGGTTTGAAATCTTTAACAAAAGAAGGTCGAAAAATGTTAGAGGGGTATCAGCATCTATTCTATGCGTTACAAACTAATCCAACATATTTATCGAAGATTTTATTTCTTTTGCCGCAAAGCAAAACGAATAAGTTTCTTCAAAATGTTATTTTAACGTTATATAATTTCGGATCAAATATAAGAGAAGAGTATTTATTATTGAAACTTTTTGGCAGTGCATTACAAGAAGAAATTAGGTATAACTATCATAATTGAAGAAGTTATAATTAAAATAAAGATAAAACCATACGTACATAGAAAATAATGTAAATTTATAGGTGTAAATTTCAAAAACCGTCTGAAGTCGTAACTGGAAATCCACTCGTCTTAAAAATGGTAGTGAATTACGCACGACAATTACATGGTCAAAGAGCTTTACGACAAATTGTTGGGCCAATCATTGAAAAGATATTAGCCGACCGAACATTGAATATAGAAACGAATCCCGTTGATATTTATAAGTGTTGGAGGAATCAATTAGAAATGGAGACTGGAGAAACACTGTGAGTTTCAAATAATGAATATTCAAATTCATATTATAATTATATCATTTGTTAAATAGGAATCTTCCATATACGGTAACGCAACAACAAGCTTTAAATTACGAACAGGTACGAATCAGATTAAATAAAGGGATTCAATTGTTGCAAAGTACCGTCTTAGAATTCTTAACTAAAATAACAGAATCTCGAGATCTAATACCATACGGAATGTTATACATGGCGAAAATTTTAAACGATTCTTTGACTGAAAAATTTCCAAACGCTCCGGAAAAAGATATTCTCAAAGTAGTTGGAAACTTGATTTATTATCATTTCATTAACGCAGCTATCGTAGCTCCAGATGCTTTCGACATAATTACCTTACCGATTGATAGATCATTGTCAAACGATCAAAGGAGAAATTTAGCCAGCATTGCAAAAATACTACAATTTGCTGCTTCTAAAAAGGGGGTAATTATTATTCATTTATACTATAAAAGTGAAATGCGAGCGCACGCACGAATCTCCTGTATCGAGACCTCGTATCTTTAGATTCCTAAATTTGTACATTGTTTTAGTTTGGAGAGGAAGCCACACATTTAGTGTGTCTGAACTCTTTTATAATCGAATGCCACGAAAAATTTAAAAAATTCTTTCGTTTTTGTTGCCAAATTGAAGATTTGGAAGAACATTTCTGTATTCATGAGTACACCGAGGCCACGCTTATTCAGAAGCCTGAGATCTATATTTCCTTACAAGTAAGCAATTGATCAAAAATAATTCGTATAATCCAGTAGCGATGAAACACGAATAAATTGCAGGAAATTTGCGATACTCACTGCCTCATGTTAGAGTATCAAGACCAAATAGCGCCAGATCCAATGGATCCCTTGCATGATTTGTTAGATGATTTAGGACCTGCACCTACCGTCGCATCTCTGCTAGGAATCTGTAAGAAATAATAAATTATCTTAACGTATTTGAATCGATACGATCTTGCATTGTAATTATATATTATAGCCGATACGATGTGTGAGGCAAATTTAATACGGTTTGGAAAAACGGAGGTATGTCTGGTACTTACCAACAAATTTCAAGTACCCGAAGATGAAGATGCTAGTTTAAACAAACTTTTTATAAAAACTAAAGAGCTATTGGTTTCTGTACTCCAATTCTTGAAAGGACAAACACTAGTAGAGGCTTTGGAAACCACTTGTTCTCCTGTTCAAGAGAAACTCTATGATGTTAAGTGTTCTAGTTTATCGCCCACTCTAAGTATCATTCACAAAAGGTATTGCATTCAAGTGGACAATTTAAGTAGCTCGATAACATCGACAAAGTGTAAAACAACTGCCTTTCAGTTCGTCTTTAAATGATTGTAAACTTCAACTTCGTGCTTACCTTAATAAACTTGAACTTGGAGGATGGGTGAGTCGATCGGATGGATATCAGACTATTATAACAGCCGTATCTAAAGATCTTTGTAACAAAGGAAAGTACCGAATCATCCGAAATAAAGAATTACAAACTTTACGCATAACTAAACAAAGACTGGAAGAAAAGTGCAAATATTACCAGGAACAGGTAGAATATTATAACGAATATATACAACGTTGCTTGGAGAACTTGCATACGGGAAAAGGGTATGTACAAAGTGCTATGTGTTTTAAGAATTATCAACATTTCAATGTTTCAAACATTCGCAACATTCGAAGGTTTTGAAATTCCGAAGTCCTAAATCCCTTCACGATCTGAATAGATGTAAATATGATATGTAACCCTTTTCTATTGTCTCGCTAATTCACAACCACAAACACAAATTATTTGTAGATCTTTACGAGCATTTAAAGCCATTCAAAAGAATAATCATGGCAAGTTACGGTCTAAAATGACATTGAAATATTCAGCGGCCAAGCTACAAGAGAAAGGAATATTATTAGAAGTGGATGGACTTCCACAATCACAATTTAAGAACGTAATTTTCGAGATCAGCCCAACAGAGCATACCGGATTATTTAATGTGCGGTGTAAATTTATGGGAGTAGAAATGGAGAAAGTTGATATTGATATACAAAAGCTGCTTGAACTACAATTTGAGGGTTCACCGATTATGGACATGTTCGGTAAAGCGAAAGTTAACGTGAACTTATTACTATATTTACTAAATCGAAAATTTTATGGTAAAACTTGAAAGAAAATATGAAATACGTCGTTTATCGATATGACAGTTATGCACTTGTGCAATGTTTTATTTTAATTATGAGTTTTTAAACAGACACGTTGAGCTTTAACTTTTATATAGCCTACGAGGATTCAAAATTCGATTTGTAATTTTCGTATAATTTTTAGAAACACGATTAATTTTTGTAAATAATTGTACTTATAAGAATTGAAATTTTTTATACGAGATTTGTTGGTATATATTATAATTGATCGATATGATGTAACAATGCAACGAAATGTATAAATTTTACAGGATCTTGTAAATTATAAGATTATGTACAAGGTAAAATCAGCCTATACTGATTTAATTACCTTTTAATCCCACGTTACGTCGTCAGTATTGTGTATGTCAGTTACATTTTAATAATAATACATCAAAGAATCTATTAGAATACATATGTTTAAATTAGAATTTTTTAAGAGAATGTATTTTTTTTAATTTTTATAAAAATAAGTAAACTAATGATAGTAAACAGTATTATCATGAGAATACTCTTTTCCTTGGTTTTATTTTTATAACCAAATTAAATTGCAGCCGTGTACTATTCTTAGATCTCTCTTTTTCAATAAAGGTCTGTTCGGATATAGTTGTTTATATTTTTATACCGTTAAAATAAGGTAAGGCATATTCTCAGAAATTTCTAAACAAGAACAATAGGCTATCCATTATTATTCATATATTCTATATACATAACTTATATTATTACTTAAATATTGGACAACCTAGTGTTTTTGTGCACTTTATAAAATCTAAAGTCGAATCATTTGAACACAAACCCGAAATTTCGATTGTGTGTATATTTGATACAATAAATTCTATTTTATAAAATATACTACATAAGGGCCTGTTTAGTGGATACTAGCAAATAAGCCTGCACATTCAAAATTAAATCGATCAAGATAAATTATAATTTCTTCGTTAGCTTGCATATTTTGTTAATAATTAAATATGATTTAATTCGTTTTAAACATGCAATTAAGATTTTTAAATACAATCAGAACATTAAAATGCGTGGACAGTTATGCACTTGTGCAATGTTTTATTTTAATTATGAGTTTTTAAACAGACACGTTGAGCTTTAACTTTTATATAGCCTACGAGGATTCAAAATTCGATTTGTAATTTTCGTATAATTTTTAGAAACACGATTAATTTTTGTAAATAATTGTACTTATAAGAATTGAAATTTTTTATACGAGATTTGTTGGTATATATTATAATTGATCGATATGATGTAACAATGCAACGAAATGTATAAATTTTACAGGATCTTGTAAATTATAAGATTATGTACAAGGTAAAATCAGCCTATACTGATTTAATTACCTTTTAATCCCACGTTACGTCGTCAGTATTGTGTATGTCAGTTACATTTTAATAATAATACATCAAAGAATCTATTAGAATACATATGTTTAAATTAGAATTTTTTAAGAGAATGTATTTTTTTTAATTTTTATAAAAATAAGTAAACTAATGATAGTAAACAGTATTATCATGAGAATACTCTTTTCCTTGGTTTTATTTTTATAACCAAATTAAATTGCAGCCGTGTACTATTCTTAGATCTCTCTTTTTCAATAAAGGTCTGTTCGGATATAGTTGTTTATATTTTTATACCGTTAAAATAAGGTAAGGCATATTCTCAGAAATTTCTAAACAAGAACAATAGGCTATCCATTATTATTCATATATTCTATATACATAACTTATATTATTACTTAAATATTGGACAACCTAGTGTTTTTGTGCACTTTATAAAATCTAAAGTCGAATCATTTGAACACAAACCCGAAATTTCGATTGTGTGTATATTTGATACAATAAATTCTATTTTATAAAATATACTACATAAGGGCCTGTTTAGTGGATACTAGCAAATAAGCCTGCACATTCAAAATTAAATCGATCAAGATAAATTATAATTTCTTCGTTAGCTTGCATATTTTGTTAATAATTAAATATGATTTAATTCGTTTTAAACATGCAATTAAGATTTTTAAATACAATCAGAACATTAAAATGCGTGTACCAATAAGAAATAAACGGAAAGTAATTTTACTTTATATATATATATACGTACACGCACACACGCACACACACATACACACGTATATATGTATACATACATACATATATAAATATATACGCATATACATACACACATATAAATGCTACATACACAGAGATTAAAGTATGCAAGCTTAGATGGTCGTTGATAATACGTTGGTACACAAGCTCCTCTATTTATAATTACAAAATCATTGTAGGTAAACAACTCGTATCGTATTATAAATATTTTTTTTACATATTCGTTTTCTCGAAGTTTTGTTTTTACTCAACTTTATTATACAAATCTGCCTTTACACAATTTACGTGACAGATGCTAACATCCAGGTACTGCGTCACGAGGTATCTTGAAAGACATTTTTATAACTTATGGGGCACAAAATGTCAGTAATATTATAATTAGCTTTCACATCTTTTTCTTCGTTTTTTTTGTTTCATTTTTTTTTCTTTTCATTGAATCAAATATTTTAGTAATTCTAATGTAATTAATTATGTGCAAGCAGTACAGTTTCTTAAATCCTCCACGAAGCAGGCCATAAAGTGCATTTCGTGTATTATTAACCATATAGTATATATATCACCATAGTATTAATTTTTATAATAAATAGCATAATAACATTAATTTTTCTTAATAAATGTTGGTTCTTTACTAAATATGTGCACACGTAGGGACACGATATTTCGTATAGTGTATTCAGCAAGTGTTATCGTTTGTTTAAAATATTAACAAAATTTCTAAATTTCTGATGAGTATCCGTCATTTGTCCTAATGCTTCTTCCATCACGTTGCGCAATTTTGATAAATCTGGGGTTTTATCGCAAGATTCAATGTTTAATAATTCTGTGAAGAATTGCTCCCATGCAGCTCTCTTGGCGTACCTGCATTTTTCAATTATTTTTACAAGAACGGCATACGACGCTACAGCTTTATTAGTACACTCAAGTGCAACGTAGACTTCCTGTGTATTAGAATGAATGGAGGAGAAGGAGCTTTTTTTCACTGACCCTTATTCTTCGAAAACTAAATTCTGAAGTTTCCAAATTTCTAAAGTTCTGTATTTGAAAGTTTGTAAATTGAAAAAGTCATCAATCAAGAATCAACAAGGGTCGAGACTCCTTTCCGCTACAAAACCATTCTTTCTAACGGAGCCTACCGTGTATATCAGCGCACTTTTTAAAGTACTTTTTATTCATATATAAATTACCTTGGTATTTTCGAAGTGATGAACCAGCGATTACCCATGTACGAAACTCTCATGTAATTACCAAACAATAAACAATGGCTCGATGCAGCTAAACAATACAAATCAGTCTGGTACGTCCATGGTTTTCCAGTTTGCATTTCGATGCACGTAAAATCTTCTGTCTTTATAACCTGTGTAAATGTTGTATTTTCTGGTAAAAGTGTCATGTCTATACTGCATCCAAAATCTATCAGCTGTATTGTTGGCCTTACATCTTCGGTAGGTCTGTAAATTATAAAATTGATATACAACATAAATACGATTTAATCAAAATACTGATTTCGTCTGACATCAATACCGATATGGAAAATACGAAATACATACAAACGCATTAAAAGAAAATTGTCTGGTTTAATGTCCCCATGAATTATTTGGCATTTGTGTAGGTACTCCACAATTTGCAACATTTCAATCGTAAAGAATATAGCTAAATGCTCTATCAACGGTTTACCTGTGGCAATTTTTATTTGATTCGTTACCGCTAACAATGTTCCAAACTTCGAATACTCTGAAACTAGTACACTACTATTATTAGCAACATATGCCATCGAAACGTCCATAAATCCACGCAACTGAAAATGACACATTAATGTCTTAAAGGTGATAAAATTGGTTAATGTTTCGTTGAGTAATATAATAATCAATGCTCTACCATGTGTGGATTGGTTAGGCGATTTTTTATTTCCCTAGCGATATAAAATTCCCAAACCCAAGCAGGTTTCTGCGTTTTTAGGGCAACTGTCTGACCCGTTTGCAGGTTCACAGCTTTGAATACTTTACCATACATCCCCTTTCCAAGGCACTTTTCCAAATCGTATGCTTCAGTACCTAAGCACATAAACAATATATGAAGAATATACAAAACCATCGACCGTCTATGATATTGTTTTTATAGTAATTTTAATAATACACTAACCAAGCGTAATCATAGAAGGCACAAACTTATTTAAGTTAGTATTTAATCTGACGTATCCCTCAGCATGATGCGGTTGGGGAAATTTAATTTTTTTTAAGAGACCAGCTATTAAATTTTTGTCGAAAGGATTTATATCTCCTGAAGGAAATTGAAAACTTTCTTCTTCTGCTTCTTCCATTGGTTCGGGATGATCTTCGCAATCCATAGAATCAACTTTCTCTTGTTGATCTATTTCGTTAAGTTTAAAATTAATTGATTTTCGTAGATCGCAGTTCTTTTTGATCTCAGAAGTAATCTGATCCACGTTACGTTGCACCGTACGTGGACTTTGGGCGTGAACAGCTTGAATTTGGGCGTGAAGCTTCTGCTCGTAAAGTTGATTAGTAGAAAGCGTAACATCATTGGATTCTTCTTCTCCGCCTTATAAAACAGAGAATTCTTCTTATAAAATGTTTAATGACATTTAAATTATAAAACAAGTACATTTTAACACATTTCGTTAAATACCTATAGTAATAGATTGTTCTTTTATAGGAAGCAAATCTTCTTTCGTTAACGTGAAACCCAACGCAGTGTTTCTTGTATGGGCGGTACTATTACCAGAGCTACTGGAAATATACTCTCTAGTCGATTCTAGTATGACGCTTAGTTTCTCATCGGTTTCGGCATTTGGAGCTTCAGAATTTCTATGTAATAGTAATAAAAGTATTTCACGTAAACATAAAATATTGATGTTAACCGTTAATTGTATTATTCAAAATACATACGTTTGTGATGTAGCACACTGATTTGGATATTGTGGAGTTCCCTCTGATACTTTGTAAGATTGTCTAAAATGATTAGTCATAGGTGTAGAACTTGTCAATTGTGTATTAAATGCTTCTGTGAAACAAGTATCATCGTTCCCCGCTAACGGAGTTATACCAAGACTTTCATCAGTGTATAAACTATTTTCATCGGCTGGCTTCGACGGCATATTTTCTTCCACTGGTCCATTATAGTCAACGACAATAGCATTTTCCTTGTTCTCGGCGCTTTCGAGATATTTAATATCTCTGCGATTCATTCCTGGAGACTTTATGTACGGTAACTCAAGAGGCATTCTATAAGGTTTGCCAGTATCAATATCTGGTTCGTTATACGGAGGATAATGAACCTGTTTTTGAGGTTCTACATTTTGTTGTAACAACGTCGATTCCAGTTGCGAAGGGTATTGTTGATAAGTAATATCATTTGGCATCATATTGCCATAAACTGGATGTTGCATATGTTGCATGTGTTGATGCGTTTGAGGTGATTGATGAAGATGCTGGTTATGCGACGATTGATGTTGCTCAGGATGAGGCTGATGATGAATTTGGTCATGTAAATGTGGCGTATGAGAAATAGTATGATGATGTGGGACCATATGAGCTTGTTGATGTGTTTGCATCAACTGTTGATGATGCTGCGAATGATGCGGCCGAGAATGAGGTTGCATTTGCTGTTCGTGATGCTGCTGCAATTAATCATTTGATCAGAATTAGTACAAGAATTTCTAACGATAACATTTTTTTTTCTATGCTGTTTTTTCGTGTTAATACCTGTATTTGGTACTGGTAAGCGTTATGTAATCCAGGATTGCCGTATGAAGTTTGATGTTCCTGATTCGAATAACTTTGGTGAACGGAATAGTTTTGGTGATTTTCTTGATCGTTGTAAGGTTGAATGCTATATCCTGAATGGTGTTTACTGCTTGACATCGCGTGCTGTGTCATTGAACTATCCATATGTATATCAAACGATAATTTTGTTTTAGAATCTGGAATTCTAGGTGTCATAGGAGTGCGAAAATTAGGAGTATTATGTACAGCATCGGGAGAACGCCACATGTCTTGTATCACCGATATCGCCTCTTTTGTATTCGCTGTAATACTTTGTCCGAGCAAATGTTCTTCGGGGTCGGTAGTTAAAGATGATGTATGATGTTGATGCATAAAATTGGAGACTTGCAGTTTTCTCTGTGAATTTAATTCTGCTTCCATTCTCTGTGCTTCGAGTCTTTCCGCTTCGATCCTTTCAGCCTCAATTCTTTCAGCTTCTAATCTTTCCAGTTCTCTTTGTTCCGCTTCGCGTCTTTGAGACTCCAAAGCTTGATTCTCGACTTCAAACTGCTGTCTTCGAAGTTCCTGTTCTTTAACTTGAAGTCTTTGTCTATCGACTTCAATTGGTTCAACCTCTCTTCGTTGTTGATCTATTTCTCTTTGTGCTTTCGATAAATTTTGTTGTTCAGATCTTTGTCTTTGATATTCTTGTAAAATTCTTGCAAGCCTCTGATCTTCAGTTTCGAAATTTTTATGTTGAACTTGTTCAGCTTCCCTTATATCTTGCACATCGTGCTTTTTTTCTAAAATTTGTGCTCTGAAGTTAAAAAACATCAAACGTCATAGTTATTTTAAAACATTTATATATTGTTTGGATTATTATTGTACAGAAGATTATTATTACCTTTGTAAGTACAGTTGGGCTCTTATTTCCTCCATGCTTTGATCTACATTATTAGCATAAACTAATTCTTTGGGATAATGCGGTCTTAATATAATATTTGGATTTGGGGGGTCTGGTACAAATACAGGTACAGTTATATGCTCTGGATATTTGCTACCATCAAAAAAAAATGTATGATTTGAAAATAATCTTAGCTTATCCGTGTCAAAATCTTCTGCTTGATCTTCATGAACTGTAAATTAAACGAGGAAATGATCTTGGTCATGTATTTATATGTATAAATAATAGTTTATCGTGAATAAAACTCTACCCTTAAAAGCTGGCTTAGAAGCAGATGTAATTAGTGGGCATCGTTTGCTTCCACTATTCCATGGACCAGGTTTAATGGTGTTCTCTTTATGCACCGTATCTTCTACCGGAACATGATCTAATATACTTGAACCCTTCACTGTGCTAGGAACATCATCCTATTGAAATAACTTAATGTATTTATACGTTATCAAATTCCTAAAGTTTTCTTTTCTTTCATTTTTGTTCCATGACTATCTTATACCTCATATATTTGGATCTTGAAATTTGATTTAGTATTATGCGTCGTCGTGGAAATTTGCGGAACGGTACCGGGGAAATGCTCGCGTACTCGATGTCCAGTACGTACACTACTAACTTTTCTGCCAGCTTTTATCGCCCTTAAAGAACTGAAAGCTTGACGCTGTTCGAATAACGATACTTCATTACGATCGTCTGTTCGCCCCAACATTTTACGAGCAACTGCAAGTTGAAAGTTGCTAAAAACAAGAGAGACGGATAAATACAATTAATATTATCGATTATTCGTTTATGTAATCGTATATTACGATTCATACTTATGAGCACAATCTAATTCATCTTGTGGTTCTGCAGAAGCAGATAAACCCATTAAATAGACTTCGTCCGCGCGTTTGTAATCTTCCCTTAATTCTAATTCAAAAGCCCATGCTCTATACATATCAGCAACCATAGTGCCGATTCCATTGTTATGTAAAAGTTGATACAACTCTAATGGATTTTTCTGCATACTTATCTGTAAAAAAGAAAAAACAGAAAATGCATTGTATATTATACGTGGTACAAGTAATGTTTTTTTATACACAAATATATTTTAAATTCTTTACATAATTAATCCAAAGACGAATGTATCTACGATCTTGATGATACTTGGTCTCTTTTTCGAACGTTGCTAAACATTGTTGTAAAAGTTTAGCAATGTGTGGCTCGTGACCACTTTTTGGATAACTTTGTTCCACCCATATTATATATTCGTACCAACATTCTAAAGGATCATCCCCTTCATAATTCTTGATCGCGTCTTCGTACATTCTGTAGCATAACATGATATTATAACGTATTAATTAGAATACGGATATCAAATTTATATTACAACTGAAAAATTATAAAAGCAATTTCAATTGCTATTTAACCTACTGTTTCTCTTGTAAAAGTAATTGTTGAGCATCTGCATCCTCTTGTGCTCTTAATGCAGTTCCTAATTGTGCAGCATTTCGTCCATAACGTAATGGTTGAATATTTTCTTTACAAAGTGCTATGACGGTTGCAGGATCCATTCTTAATTCTATATTTTCTTAATTAAACTATTTTATATTCTAGAAAAACCAATTTTAAACAATCAATAGTTAATGGAACCATTTTACACTGTGTAATATGAGACTTTAAAACAACATCTAAAAAAAAAGAAGAAAGTGGAAAGAAAATAAATGTTACAGTTTAAATGGCTTGTCATTTAGTAGAGTATACCGCGGTGTATTAACAACTATAGGTTATTGTAGTGTCCAGCAAAACACGAAAATCGAGCCAATGTCAAAGTCGCAAGTAGTTCAAGATGTATTCGGTTAATACAAACAAGTGTTCAAGCTGTTAAATAACAAACAGTAAAATAAGCGATATTTTTTTTTTTCTTTCAAAAAAATACACTTAACCTTTCACGCGTACCAAAATTTCGCATAATATTCTTTGAACGGTAGCGGACCTTCAAATTTGAATAAATCTAGTCTTGATAACTCCAATAACGACGCTAGCAGTCTAGGTTAGGTTAGTTTTCCATTTAACGGCTACAGAGACCAACGGTTTTTCGCTGTCTTTGATATTTCAAATGATGCAAGAGTAACGTTTCACTGACCACGGATTTTAATTCAATCAGCTATACGAAAGAATCGAAAAGCGATGCGAAGGAAGATTCACTGTGCTTAACGTAGTTTTCACGCAAATCCCTATTGAAAATTACCAATAGGACATCTGTTACGGGGGAACCTTGCATGATCTTTTTCGAGTAACAATCTCTGTTTCACCACTATTTCTATATTATTCGTTTCACAGAAGATTATACTCATTGAACAAACGAGTTTTCATTCGTTCTGCGCATATAAATTCTGATTGGTTAGAACACCCTATGGAACCGAGAGTGAATGCGCATGCACTTTTACGATGCTTGTGACGCAACTCGAGTATACCCAGTGAACTTTTATTTTCCATAGTTACTGCACTAAGATAAAGTTTATTTGAAATCGAATATTCGAAACCCATTTTCGGAAATAATCATTTTTTGCGGTTTAAGCGACTGTAATATATTGTTTTCTAAAATCTTAATGTTCAAAAATTTTTAAATCCTGGAATTCTACAATATTGAATTCTCAACATTTGAAAGCCCTTGAAATGGAAAATTCAAAAGTTTCACAGTCCCACTGATATATTTTTGACTACCATATATAAGATCGACCGAATAAAAAAGTATGTAGTCACGGGACAGAACTAAATGGCAAGAGTCTTTTGAAGTTAGCCGAGGTGCGCGAATTAAATACGATCTGTGAAACAAATAATAGTAATTTGACAGATAGTTTAATTTGTGTTCTAATTATTACTTGTTCACAATAATCACTGTAATGTTGTGAAACGTAAAAATTTCATTGAAGTATTTCAATTGCCGATGCTATGTTGACTTAAATATATTTTTTTTTGTAGTAAAGCTTACTATATCGTGGATATCATTATTATTTTCTGTTGAATATCTAGTTTTAAGCACGTGGACCTATATATATATGTACATATATATGTGTGTATAAAATTATGCATAAATTCAACATGAATTCATTATATTATTATATAAATTGTTTCCGTACATTGTCAGTGGTATTAATGAAACATAATCCCAATTATATGCTCATGACTGCATTTGTACATTACATAGTTCTTAAATTAAAAATAATTATTAATACAACAATTAATTGGAGCATTTTACCCGCTAATGTTTTTCATGACTTTCTAAAACAAGTTTACGATAACGAAAATTATTATATAGATTGTAACTCTTGTTTATTAGCAAATATAGACAATTTCAAAATATTGGTACCTACTTGGTTTTATGTTTGCTCCAAAGTCAGTTTAAAAAAATATAAGACGCTAGTTATACCTTTAAAGAATATTTATGCAAACAAAATATTTGTATCCGAAGTAATGAAATATAACATAGAGAATACATTAAATTGTAATGTTGAACAATGTTTTTTATGTAAGTACAATCAAATTGATTTTAACATGCAACAATCTTAATAATTTAAATAATTGTTATGTTTAAATCTTTTCTAGTACCAATAAAACAGAGCGTTATTAACTTTGCCGAAGAAGCAAAAGTTTCTATGATTTCGAATCCACACGAAATTACAGATGATTTGATAAATATTCTACTAGAAAATTATTTTTCTGAACCTAGATTTTTAAGAAAAAATGACATATTTAGTATTGATGTAAAAGGACACGTGTTAGATCAAATGTATTTGCATATTAACTCTTTAACGTCTGTTGTACATTTTAAAGTTAATACCATTATAATTAATCGTACGGAGTGTACAACTAGTTGTTATATTTTGCGCGGAGAAACAACACTTGTTCAAGAACCTAATGTACATAGTTATCTACCTCGAAAACATTCCTATTATGATCAACTCAAAGAGACATTAATTGAATTGTATCCATCGAGCATCGCCGTGCCCTTGGAACACTTAGAACGTTGCATCTTGCCATTCATTAAATATGGTAAAATATTAATATTTAAATACATAAATGCACACTTATTAAATACCGAAATTAAATTTTTAATTTTAAATGTTAGTACTTTCTTTTTCCTTTTTGCAGAAATTCAGTTATCCATAAAACCAGTATTTCTTGTTAAAGGTTCACACGGTTCAAACAAATGTAAATTAGTTCGAATAGTAGCTGAAAAAATGGGTTTAAATTTTGTTAACGCAGATTTTGCAGAAGTTCAAGCTTTAACATCGGCACAAACGGAGGCTAAACTACGTATCGTGTTGCATAATGCAGTGCAATCAGTACCGTGTATACTTTGTCTAAATAATATAGAGGTATTTTGCTAATATATTTATATATATTACCAACAGTTTTGGAGATTCTAAAACAATGTTCATAGGTCTTTGGAAAAAATGCAGAAGGTCAGAAAGACGAAAGAATTATATCAACATTTTTGGCTGAATTAAATTTATTATACGACAAATGTCTAAAGTATCCAGTTATTATAGTAGCTACTACAAACGAGTCCGATATATCGGCAGAATTGTACAGAATCTTTATCGAAACTATTCATATGGAACACCTCGATCAAAATCAAAGAACAGATTTAATTTCGTGGCTGCTCGCTAAACGAGATCTCGATCATCAAGTAAATTTGTACAAAGTAGCTGGTATATGCTCAGACTTCAGGTTCTTAGATTTGTTAGCGCTAATATTGCACGCAGTAAAATATTATTGCAAGGACAGTAGCAGAAATTTGAAATCGGTTATACTTTTGCAAGAAAATTTTGATAAAGCTTATGGTAAAATTGTACTCTTTATAAAAGTAGCTACCATTTAAATTCTTTCTAATTTTTTCACGTTCATTTGTAGAGTACATGCAATTAATATATACCGACAGTAAAGATGCACCACGTGTGCCAAAAGTTTACTGGGAAGATATCGGCGGTTTAGCTTCTTTAAAACACGAAATAATGCGTAGAATTCAGTTACCTCTAATGAATACCCTAGAATTTGGTCAGTCTGGACTACTTTTATATGGACCACCTGGTACTGGAAAAACTCTACTTGCCAAAGCTGTAGCTACAGAATATCAGCTTCACTTTTTATCCGTCAAAGGCCCAGAAGTGTTAAACATGTACGTTGGGCAAAGTGAGAAAAATGTTAGGCAAGGTAAATGCATAAACTTACATGTTAAATAGGTATATGAAAGGATATTAAAATTAAAGAAACCTATTATCTCCGTATAGTGTTCGAGAAAGCAAGAGCGGCAGTTCCGTGTATAATATTTTTTGACGAACTGGACTCTTTGGCCCCTAATCGTGGACGCAGCGGTGATAGCGGTGGTGTAATGGACCGTGTCGTATCTCAGTTACTAGCTGAAATGGATGGACTTGATTTCTCCAACAACATATTTATCATAGGAGCCACGAATAGACCGGATCTCATAGATCCAGCTCTTTTGAGGCCTGGCAGATTCGATAAATTGTTATATGTAGGAATTCATTCTGATCGTGAGTCGCAAATTAACGTGTTGAAAGCGCTGACTCGTAAATTCAAGTTTCGCGAGAATGGAACAGAATTAAAAAAATTAATAGATCAGTTACCTAATCGGACAACTGGTGCCGATTTGTATTCCGTTTGCTCAAACGCGTGGTTAAACGCTGCGCGCAGAGTTCTCGGTAAACGTGTCGTTAATCAAAATACTGTAACAAACCAATCTATGTTTAACGAGACAAAGTTAAACGAAGCTATTACCGTCGAATTAGGAGATTTATCGAAGGCTGCATGCGAGTTGGTTCCTTCCGTTAACAAAGAGGAAGCAGAGAGATACGAAAGAATGCAGTTAGATTTATCGTCGATGTCGTAACAGTTCTAACTACTTTGATCGCAAAGCATCAGGTACAAACAATGTTCAGTCTTATAAACGAAATGTTATTTTATTTGGGGAAATATGTAAAACAATTTTTACAAGTAATGATTAAATCGAAGGGGATAAATCTAAATTCTATCCTAGATATTGCACCGAATGGCTACTCTTACATGCTAAATGTGCGACGAAGAACGTAGCGGTACCGCAATTTTTTCTCGATATCGGGGCCTTTAAACAGTTCTTATCGGACGATGATAATTTACGATATAATTACATTGATCGAAGTATACAATGTAGAAAAATGAGATAGTCATATTTATTTACCGAATTCCTAAATTGAATCTATGGAATTTTATCGTAAAGACTGAGAGGTTTCTCTTTCCGTGGACATCCCGTAAGTTCAAATGATAAATTGTATTCCTTTAAAGCTTAAAGGATGATCAGTTTCTCCGTTTCTTTTTCGTTCCGCGAGACAAGGCCATTTACAAATTTCATGTTATCGCAAACCGCGATACTCGCAAATATACATGTATAAGGGATCCATAGTAACGAATTGTTGCTGTTTTCATATCCTTTTTTTTTTTAACAATCGGCACTCTATAACGCACTTCGTTCGGTACAGAACAACGAACACGATGTTCCTTTGAGTATAGTCGCGAGGTAGAATCAATTCGGATACAATTCATGGCAACGAAACTTACTATGTATTGTATATATATAAAAAGGAAAAGTATTTCATATGCGCATATTTACGTTTTTACACGAGTCAACGTCATATGAAAATTGTTGCGATAAAAGCCGTTGAATTAAAGGTTATTTGGGATTGCCATTAAACGTGCATAAAGATTTTCTTAACAAGAAAAACTTTACAATTGTACGAACTGTAATCGCAGAAATAATTTTAAAAATAAACAATTGTATGATTGTGTCCTGCGAATATATATATTGTGTATATATATATATATATATACACGATTTAGTTCAAGTCATTGGTTCTGATGATACTCGGTTTCGTTTTCCATGTATCGTTACGATATAAATGTACTCAAAGATTGTTTAAAACATAAATATCACATTTGATAAATACGCTAATCAGTCGCTATATGCGATCGTGAAAGAAATTCCGTGCAACGATTCGGTTTTACGAAACATGAATTTTACAAGAGTGTCAAAAGGTTGAAATATTTCGTAAAAATCTGACGAATATTTTATTTTTTAGAGAAGAAATTAAGAGCAACAAGAATACAGTAGTGCCTACCTAACTGTCGCGATATTCTTTTCACGTCTCCTAAAAATCGCTCAGTAACTATAAGTAAATGATATTTGGAAAGAGTTCAGCTACTCGCGTAACTATTACAGAGTGTGGAAGATTCACGACAATTAGGAAGGTTTCGTGCAACTTTGTCTCTCTTAGTTACGAAGAAGTGTAAGAGAATTAATTTGTCTCACTGCGCGTCTTATTTTAACCACGTTCTTTATCTGCAAAGATCCGAAAACTAGGAAGGATTTTAAGAAAAGCCTATAATTTAGGAACAGATTAAGACCGTGGACCTACGGAGAGTCTAGAGCCGGAGCAGTTTAGAGTATAGATAGCATCTAGGGATGGCTTAAAGTCTAAGGAGTGTAAAATCCAAGAAACAGCTAACAGAAGTTTTCATCTTCGCATACATAGAACGTAGATAAATAATTTAAGCGGTGAAATACTTTTTCCTCGCACTTCCTACTAACTATGAGAAATGTACACTGCGTATGACCGGACTGTACAATTTATGGTACCGATCAATGTGATCGTTGTAAACTTAACTAAGCGCATCTGAGTCCTTTAAAAATTGTTGAAAACGTATACAGTTGATCCTTGAAAAGAGGATGCTACATAGAACCGAGTTGTTGAAGGGTCAGTTGCACTTCATCGTTATGTTAAGTATATCGAAAAACACTGTTGTTCTTTGAGGATAATCAAAGAATTATCATGAAAAGCGTGGTACACGATGTCGTTTGTATCAATCGCGGAAAAAGAAGAAATTTTGTACTCGCTGGCTGCGAACTATCTCGTCAAGTTCAATTCTTTATTTACACTTAACGTATCTTCTCGCAGCTTTTTTCTTTTTTTTTTTTTTTTTTTTTTTGTTTATTTAGCAGTCTTGTTTTGTTTGTGTGTACGTGTGTGTGTGTGTGTGTATATGCTTGAATGCATGTATATACCAAGCATGGGCACGCGAACTACGAAAAACCACTTAAAAACGAGCAGGATACACCAAAGATCCTGTGAAAATTCGAAAAATGGGTATAAATCATCGAATGACCGGGGAAAAATGTCGACCGTTAAGGAAGAACTATTGTACTATTTTAAATTCTCTCTTTTCCGATAGGCATTGTACAAACTATATGTCACGGTATTTAACATAGATGAAATTTGTGATTAAGAACTATGGGGAGGGGGTCTTTATTCGCTACATCGAGATTGTCCATGTTCTAGTTGCCCATGCTTAGCGTACATCCGAGAGTAACGTAGGCTTCATGTGGCCAAAGGTAATAACAGATAAAGAAGCATCGCACTATTTGCTTCCCTTGTTGGGAAAACTCGGAAAGAGTCTGAGGAACCTAGAGGCAAATATGGCATGTAGTGGGACACTTCTTTTCGTGTTAACTAAGTTCTGTTTTAATGAAGGAAAACCTAACTTGTACGTGACCGTATGTCTAAAAAAAAAAAGAAATACACTAGCATTTCGAGACATCTTCCAGGAAAATGGAAGAATCAACGTACGCGAAAACGATCGAAGATTAACAAACGTAGTCGATGATGGTACTGCCGATTAATCGAATACGACGAGTTCTCCTTATCGACTCTCTCGGAGTGTATATTGCTCGAATCGCGGGTACGCTTAAGCTCGCGATAAAGGCTATTCCTCCGTGAACCCGGAATAGTAAATTCTACACATTTTTACACGTGGTTGTTTATGAAAAGATGCGGCAATCGGAGCCAGTTACGAGCCCTCGATATTCGAGCCTGCAACAAAAAGAAGGAAAAAACCATTTAACTAATATGCCCGTATATCTATCTAACACGTTCCGTAACTTTTGTCCGAAGTTTTCGAATTATACCACTTATTTCGGAACGCTTTGTATATAAATAGATTTGATAAGAAGTTAACACGCGAATGAAATGTTCACCGTAAATTTGAAATTTTACGGAACGTGTTAACTACGAACAACTTGGCGTTCTATTGCCACAGAATATAACAATTTTTAGGCGTATTCGATTGTAACGAATCTATGATATAGTATAAAAAGATAAAGAAAGAGAGAGAAAGAGAGAGAATGAGAAGAGACAGGAGAGAGTATGTGAGTGTATAGAAAAGACTGTAACGGGGTAACCTCTTATCGAAAAGGGTTTTACATTGAATACTCGGTAATCGTTAGGTTTGCTTTTTACGCATACCTGGTCAAGACGATTTCGTGGCAAATTCGTGCAGTATGTCACAAGCCATTTCAAGATCGTTCCTAGTAATACCGAGCGCTCTAATCACGGCGTCTTGCGCGAATCCGAGAGCCGTCAGCTTGGAAATGTGTTCGACGTTCACATTCTCGTATGCCGCGGTATCTGGCTTCGCGGAACCACCGGTAGGATCGTCCTTACCTCTCATCAGGGCGGACAATCGAGCTGTATTCGCTTCCAGATTAATGTTCCTCACGACGTGCTGTCTCGTACCAGGTATCACGATCGTGTTCTCGTAATGATGATCCTGTCTGTGCTCTTTGTTGGTTGTCTTCGGTGGTCGTGGCACTGACAAAGGAGGCGGTACAGGAGGTACGTTATTGCTGTTTGCCGTTTGAATCGCGGAAGATGTGCCACAGGCACGATTTGGTTTTTCAGGTAACGTCGGTGGTGGCTGTGGTTGAGACGCGGTGACGTGATTCCCCTGCGATCGACGAACATGAGCTCTGCTTATAGGAAATGGCGCTGGAGGTATCGGTGGCACTGGCAAAGGCGACGAAGCACGATGTAACATGTCGTATCCTGCTTCAGAGTTCACTGATGGAATAAAACAGACAATTGTGCGTTACACGGTACTGAATTTTTCATGGAATTATAGTCAGTAATGCCACGCTATTGTGGTAATACGTGCAATAGCGATACTGTGCGAAGCACGATAATACGTATTACGCTAAATTATACGATGCGTGATAATACTACTCTAGACCGTACAACGCGTGGTAATACAAATCGTGATAAATGGGAGAAAGGAAGAGAGCTTAGCGAGTCCTAACGATATCGTTTCATATAAAAGGTAGATATAAGATGTAGAACAAACGACGACAGAGTAGAGATGGTAAGCTCGAGAGATTCTCACGGTATGGATTATCATCATTCGATTTTATTTTAACTGGAGTGTGACTGCGTATGTTCTCGTCAAGCGAGATTGTTGGGGAAAAACGGCAACGTTCTTAGTCCGACGGTTTCGCTCTTACCACGTGTGGCAAAGATATGCAGTACACGCAGAAAAAGAATACCTAAAGCCTACACTCCAGTTCGAATGGTTATATGTAACATTCATCGAGGCTTTCTAGAGTAAGCCGTGTACGCCGAAAAAATATTTTCAATGCTTTACCAGCGTTCGAGTATGCTTTGTTCGGTATTGAAATATCCAATGATACATCCTGCAAACTCTAACAGTGTTAAAGCATTATAATAGATACAGTTACAAACGCATCTCTTCTTCGCAAAACTTATCCGGTATGGAGTCCCGACCTTACACATACTGTTACTTTGCTTTCACTGAAGAACCTACTATTATTGTTTTGCTGATTGTCAATATTAGAACTGAACGCTGCATTAACTGCAGCAATTGATGGTGGCGGAGGAGCATTTTCTTTGGGCACGGTTAAATGTCGACCATTTCTAGCGTGACTATTTGGCGTAGGCGACGGCGAAGGACGCCGAGGAGGCAGCGGTGGACTTGGCACGATCCTTCGCGTCGAGACAGGTGAATTCGTTGGACTCGAATCTTCTTCTTCGTCCGAATCATCGCAGATTAATCCGGAATGACCGTTGCATAGATCCATTATTTCCTAAAACAACGATAGCAAGAAAACAGACATTAACTTTATTATTATCGATTAATTCATTTTCTTATGTTCTTTCATAATATTGTTAACTATTTTGTTATTTAATGTTTCATTTCATTCTATTATTAGACTACGATCAAATTTTCAACTAAACAAATCAAAGTAATTGTACAGTGTTGGTAATGTTCATTAATCTCTGTAAGCAACTTGAGAAAGTTGTTCGTAACTTTCCTTTATAAATGAACAAAGTACGTAAGAAAGGAAACCTGTATGCGGAAATACGTCACAATTAACAACGAGCATAATTACAAAGCGTAAAAGCGGAGAAAAGAGGAGAAAAAGAGAGCCATAATGCATGTGTGTCCACTTACCTTGATACAGTGGTAAAAAAATATTTCCTTCGGCTATGTACATTACCGATTAGTTTTCGATCATGCAGCGGGCAGAGCAATGGACCCAGTAGATAACGTTATGAAATAATAGATAAACGATCATGCGAGCGATAATAAACGATAACATCTTGGCTCGTTTATTAATGTGCCCTGTCGCTGAAACACTGATCCAACAGCCATAGAAAACAAAACTAAAGAATCCAGCAAAATGGTTATGCATACGCATGTGCTGACCTATATAATCGAATGTTACATTTTCTAAATAAACGAACAGAAAAAATATGAAGAACATACTTTTCAAATCCCTGATATTATTTTTTACAATGAGTAGGAAAAAATTGTACGCTATAGTTTGTAATGTTTATGAATCATTTATTTTAGACCACTTTCACTGCTGGATATCTGCACAGCATGAACGGATCTAAACGATTGTTTTCAGTTAGCAGCACTATTCATTGTACAAATTACGCTAATGGTTACACGTGAACGCAATAAAAAAAAGAAGACTATCCTTTTACGAGTGGTTCTGTGGTAATTCTAGATAAATACATAATACTACGCTTAAGAAATGACTACAAACTTTCTGGAGCCGTAAACTGCCAATCGATATGCTAAACAAACTGATTCTCGTATAACAAGAATCACTGCATTTCTCAATACTTGTGCATGCATCGATATGTAACAAATCTGTACGGTGACAGTATATTGAAAGAGAAAATAAAAAAAAGGGGCGAAAAAAAGAAAAAGAAAAAAAAAAGATACGTATATACCATAGCATATGAAATTCGATACGATGTGCCACCATTACAATCACTGATACAAATCCTTCAGATTCATTTAATGCGTAAAACGGAATAAATAATAAATATTCTAAAGTAAGGAAAATAATAATAACAACATCTTTTTTCCCTGGCAAACTGTCGCATGTCGTTACATCGTTTCTCTCGCCAACAGGTACATAATTAAATTCTAATAGAATAATACAAAAACGATGAACGATCGTTACCTATAATATATTTATAGACTGCTTAGCACTTCTGACGCTTATCATAAGCCACGCTCTCTATCCCCATTTGGAAGATAAAATTTCCGTGAGCCCTATTTATTTTATTCAGACTATCGATAACCGATATTAAAGTATTATTGTGGCTGGCTCGAAGGATACACCGAAAAGAGGGAACGTTGTCCGCTTTAAGAGATTTCATACAAGTTAAATATTTCTTTAGAAAGACTCTGAAACACTGGATACCCATTTGATATAGTTCCGTATTTTGTCATTATATACATATGTATAGTGTACACTTTAAAATATGAATATCCAACTTTTGTGAATCTTCGAAAACAAAAATATAACTTCTTCAAAATTTCTCAAACGAAATAACGCACCTTCTTCTCTTAAACCCGTCATTTTGACCACGTCATTGCTTACAATCATAGATTTAATTTGAAATATACACGGATTAAGTATCAACGAATAAAAAGAAATCTGAAGCAAAATTAAAAAATTGAGATGTTTGTTTAAATACTTTTCCTACTCAGAACAAACAACTATTCAATACTGATTTCTTACGTCTAACAAATTTATCCTTATAAAAAAATATTAATTTGACATTACAGATTTTCTATTTGGCAAGTAACGAGTAATTGTATACGAAGATAAAGCTTCCTAATTTCAAGTTTTATAATGCACACACCGCAAAAGAAACCATTGTCAGATACATTAACTGGCACATGCATTTAAAACATTATTTGTCCTTTAACTGATCGCAAACGAGTGCGTTCTTGTACAAAAAACCGAATTAATTCGTATGTGTACGTTGTCATAAGTTTGATACGAGGATCAACTGCAGTATTATTCTTTTAAATAAACATCATGTGCCTTTTGTGAATAAAATTTAAGCGTTTTAAATAAATCGTTGTACACCGAATACAATCTAGTAACTGTATCCTTAAACGATACGAAGTTTCATTTCGTGAAAGTTTAAAGTTACGAGTGCAAACACTTTGTAACAATGGAATGAACGATGAATCCGTACAATAAGCTCTTTTGTAAGACTTTTGTAAATGCGAAAAAAGCAACCTACCTTAAAGTCTCCATAAATCCGACGTTTTTTTCAACATCGAGATATGTACGAAAAGTAATTAAAAAACCAATAATATGTTAGTGAATTGCAAAAACGTTGGTATTAATTGTTCGCAACTGATACTTTGTGAAACTCGATTCTGCCAGACATTTTGATATGTACTTCTGTGTAAAGAAATAATACAGAAAAAAAAGAACAGAAATATGATTCAAACAAAAGTTTTATACAGAGACGAAAAAGTTGGTCCCCTTTTTACATTCGTTTAATCTCCGAACATCAACTTCGATAAGTTCGTCATTGTATTTAAACTTACGTACCTTGTCTAAGATAACGTTTGATCAATAACTCTCTAAAATGATATGACATGACGTTCGTACAAACTCGAGAGATCTCGTATGAAATGCGTGAAGCATTTTTCTTTTTTCTTTTCGAAAATGAGGCGTGTTGCTATAAAGTTGTTATACATAGAGCACATTTAATAATAATGAGGGTAGGTGCTACTCCTAGTCGGATACCTCGGTGTCCGGGTCAAGGTCCCGCGTGGGAGTTGATGCGTTACTAGCGGAAGTTGATTGTGTTCCTGGTCGATGCGTTCTTCGAGGATCAAACGGATCGATTACTATCTGTTCAGTTCCTTTAATTTCTGCTCGACAAAACGGACAGCCCTGTCCTTCAGAATCCTGTAAATCGATACGTTTCTTTTTATACTCATGAAATTTTAACTTAGATATTTATAAAACAGTTTTGTAAAAGCTTGTCAAATATAAACGTAAATTAAATACTAATACCTGCCAAGCTGTTAGACACGGAGTACATAAAAGATGTCCGCAAGGCTCTATCCTTACATCTTTGTCGTTTTCTGCACAAATTTTACACAATTGGAATGTGCTACCCATTTCGCAGTATAATTCATACTGTTCCGCCGTAACTTTTATATGTTCTTCTGGAGTAGGCTGAACTGCCCATGTTAAGTCAGGATTTATATTACGGCCATCAGGATACAAATAACTAAAACCAAATTACGAACGTTAAAAGTACTTTCGAATTTTATTCGGTGTATCAAAATACACTTACAATCCTTCTCGATATCCATCGAGTAGTGCTTGACACAAACTTTTATTGTGGGGTATAGTTTGCAGAATATCCCCATCCGAAGTAACATAACCGATAGCCCATTGTCCTAACCTTGTACAGCTTAATCTGAATACGTAACTACCAGGTCTAGTACTACAATACTTTTGTAAACGTGCTTTCACTTCGTCGTAAGTAAGGAACGCTACGTATCCAGGATGAGTCACAGCCAGAATTTTCCAGTTACGTAAAAGCGTGGACCATGGTTGGAATAACCTGTAAAGAAGAGTTATTTTTCTTATCTTATGAAAATAAGATTCGATAAAATAACATTCTTCTTTTACATTTTCAAATTTACCTTGTGAATACGTCAAACTCAAAATTTGAAATATAGTCATTGCACGTGAGATCTATCGTAGACTTCAATGCCATAGCTTGCAATCCAGAACTAATCGGATGAACTTCGTTTAATTTTTCCTTGAATACTTTCCATGGAACTAATGTACTAAAAGTAAAAATAAAAATTATAAGAACGTTTTATAAATAAAATATAGGAGAATCGTAATTTAATTTGAACTATCCATAAAGAAAGTCTTAGCTTACGTTAAATCTATACATTTATGTTAGGTTACATTAATAATTATTTACTTTTTACTTTTTATGTACATTCGCCTTTAACTTTTATACCATTACGCATAATTCTGTAAAGAATGAATCGAAAGTTTCAAATTGTCAATGTCATCTTTTAAAAGCGTACGTCCAGTATGTCATCATGAAAACACATATTGCGCCAAGTCGGTAACCAATAAATGATAGCAACATAACAGCCAACTAGCCAGTGCAAAGGTTGAACTCGAGAAGTACGGTTGGGTGTTTTCTCTTCACGACGTTTTCGTAACATATTACTGGTAAGATTCATTTAATTTGTTTTACGATCATATATTATCGATCATCGTAATTGTAGTCGAACACTTTGATTGTTGTATTAAATATTAAAAGTTAAAATTAAGAATGGGTTAGTCGTAAAATATCAAAGCAACTATCGTAACTTGATCGTAGAAATTCCTGGAAGTACGCAAAGTGAACGACAGATGGCAATCAATTTTACATGTGTATATATATATATGTAATGACGTATTCATATCCTCAGAATTACTTATTTTTTGAGTACATTTTTTACGTATTAATACAGCGATTACTTCAGTGGTATTACTTAAATATCATATTACAATATAATTAAACGATCGTGCAACTAGTGAGAGAGAAGAACACGTAATTTTTTACATCTACTAAATAGTGCGAAATAACCTATAATTTGTTGCATATTTTATCAATCTTATAATCTTGCAGTAAGTACATTATCCTTGAATTTTATAAATTATACACTATGATCTAAAAACGTTTACATCAGAAAGTGTACAGATGTCTATGCTGGTAGTTTCAGAAATACTTCCTTTTACCCTGTACATCAAGGAATGCACTTCTTTAAACTGCTGCTGCCGGCGGGCATTAAACATGCTCGAAATTTTGCAGGCATGTAATTCAACAAGTCCGACACATACGAGTTTTCCTGACCGCTGTTAAAAAAGAATTTTAAAAGCATTTTTTTTTTTTAAAGTCTAATAGTTCCAAATGTTATTAGTCAATGCATGTACTGTTCACGTTACTATCCACCAATTTGGCAGAACTATAACCTATAAACATATACCTTAATGACGTAATTGGAAGTAATCGTTACATTTAACTTTATCCTTTGTATGCTACGTTGTTTGGTTTACGTTACTTTTTGCTATAATAAACAGGAATTTCTCACTGAATTTTCCAATTAACTTAATAATAATAATAATAATAAATGTAGTGCTATCCATACACGTCTATTGCGAGTTTATTGCCCGTTTAATAATATTAGTTTTGCTGATATTTTTATGCGATGCTTGCAGTATTTTAAGCAGAAACGTACGTTAGTCGAATAAGTTTCGAGGAAAAATTAAAAAATTTAAAAAACTTATGTATCCGAGAACAATAAATAATTGTTCTCTTTTAATAAGCATATATCGGAATTCGGATTTTATTCGAATTTTAATTGAAAGATTATTCGAACGATGCTCGATACCAGATTGAAACGCACAAAACGGGTCTAGAATATTTTCAATATCGATTTCAGTTGCAGCAACAGCAGTAACCATGAGCGGAAACAACAATTACAAAGAAGCGAAATCGATTTACGACTTCACTGCAAACTCGATCAAAGGCGAAGAAGTTCCTCTGTCGAAGTCAGTTGTTAACTCATTAAATTATGTATAATACGATCGACAGCGATAGTGGAATGTATTATTCATATAATTTACAGGTACAAAGGTCACGTATGCCTAATCGTGAATGTGGCATCAAAATGCGGCCTTACAGCAACAAATTACAAGGAATTGAACGAACTCTACGACGACTATGCTGAATCCAAAGGTATCAATTAAATCGTTCTATCTTTTTTCTTTTAATTTCGGAAATGATTATAATTAATTGTTAACTTCTGGGTGCTGTAGGTTTAAGAATTTTGGCTTTCCCTTGTAATCAATTTAACGGACAAGAACCGGGAAACAGCGATGACATATGTAGCTTTGCGGATCGACAAAAGGTAAAAAAAATAATTTCTAACGAAATATCGTTAATGTTCAGAGAAAGTGAGAGATTGTGTTTCGATTCAGGTGAAGTTTGATTTGTTCGAAAAAATTGACGTGAATGGAGACGATGCACATCCGCTTTGGAAATACCTGAAGAAAGAACAAGGGGGAACTCTTGGGAATTTCATCAAGTGGAATTTCACGAAATTCATCGTTGACAAGGAAGGCAAGGTGGTGGAACGTCACGGGCCCAACGTGGATCCCAATAAACTCAGAATCAATCTCGAGAAATATTTTTAAACGTTTCATAGACTTATCTTCCGTATCTGCAAATATTCGCACCAGTTGTATTTTTCGAATATATTTAAGAATAATACAACGATCGCAGAGCATTCCTATTAAGAACGGAACTAAGTAAAAAGAAAACACACGCGTTACCATGTACGTTTTACGATGGCTTTTACAGACACGAATAGTATTCGTTTCAACACAAGCTTTTTGTTCCTTTTCTTGGCGAGTATTTCACATTTATATGGATTTTTATAGCTTTTCCACATGAAAACGAACAAATATCCACTTTTTTTAAACAAATATTCACAAACGAATGATTCTTTGTACCATTGCGTGTACGCGTATGCATACTAAAAGCAAAATAAAATAAAAAAGATGTAACTAGCGCGAAACTTTTGTTCGTTTAATTTATTCTTTTAACGCGATGCACCTGAACAGTTTGATATTTTTAATAAGTATTTTGCGCGTTGTATTTTTACTTTTTTCAGGCGACAGGAAAACATAAGTAACATAAGTGGAAATTCGTATATGGATTGCAATGTAACGAGAGTCCATGATGCATATGTAAGAAAACTTTTCGGTAACTCGAAGAATTCATATTCGAAATTTTCCGAATTATTAAAATAGTTGTATCGTATAAAATTTAACATCTGTAATTACAAGTTGGGTTGTTATTATGTTGCTAAGAATTAATTCGAGCGGATAGATCGAGGGGAAAAAAAAAATTGGGTCGATGTATCCCGGTTACATTAGACCAACAGGATGACATAATTAAAGGCCATCGTGTCTTTCGACCGGGTCAAGGATGAAAGATGGATATACACACATAAACGCTCCTTTCTCCGCTCCTCTTCTCTGTTTCGTTTGTACGTTTGAAATTCGTATTTCGACGCGTAAGGGCATCCATCTGTTGGATTCGAGTGACGGGATGCAAGAGAAGAAAGAGAGAAAGAGAGTAGGGTGATTCGCGTGTCCTTCCTGAATTTCAATCCTGAGCTGTTTTACGTCATCATCAAACTAGGTCACGTCCTCTATTGCAAGAGTGCCATCTCGAAATTGAATGTTCCGCGATATATTCGTACGTACTACGTCCACGCGTATACAGGTTGTTTCATAACACGTGTAAATCATGCCGTTCGCAGAAAAAAGCTTGGATCGGTAATGATAAGGAATAAATAACTCGAAGAGTATCGACTGAAATCAACGACGCTTCCTAGCGAAAAGCTCTCTTGCCAAAAGACCGAAGCCATAAACACTCACCCTATTCCTAGTTCATGGCAAGCAGTTCCTCCTTCGTCGTTCACGCCGGCTATCTCGTACACGTCACGGCTATATACGACACACGTGTTTAATGAGGATCTTTTTTCGTTACTGGTCACTTTTGTATATTATGAAAGAACCTATACCTATATATATGCGACGATGCGTGGTTAACGTACAAAACGAAGCTGAGAGATATTAACGGTATAATTAGTCGTCCTTGCTTGCTGACTGATCCGAGGCTCGTCTCCATTCATAGATCGTTGCTTTTCCAAAGCGCGCGCGCACGTACACGCAAACTCGTTTTTCGCGTCTTCTCGTGACGTTTTCGATTTCTTCAAGGACACATCGAAAATCAAACTAGCAACACGACGCGCAATCACATGGACGGTTTTTCCATGAAAATTTGCCGAATAATTGATCGAACGAACGTGAAAATAAACATAAAAACATAATATAGCGTATTTCTCTACGCTACTTATAACATCGAATCATGCAGTACGACTGTGGGAAGAGCCAACGGTGTGTAGAAAAATTCGTATAAAGGTGGTAACGAGACGAGAGTGTTAAAAACTTTGATCAGAATCCTTAAGGGAATATCATAATCGTAAAGAAAAAGAAACGGAAATGGCAGGCGAAATTTGTACAGCATACAAGAAATGCAAAGATAGATATCTACGTGTCCGTGTTATCGTACTTTTAAATTAAAAAACGAAAAATGACGAATACCTGTGTATCCAAGATAAAAATAGACCTCGACAAAACGACGAGATTACTTCAGCCAAGGAAAACAAACCTATTCGTCGAAGTTATCGTGTAAAATAAAAAAAATAATATACATATGTACATGCGCGTACGCATATAATTTTTCATCAAGATTTTGATGAAAGACTTTTGATCGCGTCATTCATAGACATATAGTTGACACTGTAAAGTTTCGAACAACCGATAACAATTATTGAATGCAATTATGTAATATACATATGTAGAGGAGGAAAATATAGCCACGGGAAATGTTAGTGGAACGACTGAAGATGGTGCTTTCAAGGATATGCTATATTCGTTTGAAAGGGTTCTATCACGCTTATGCGAGTCGTAAAAGTAAAAGATGCTTTTACAGGTACGCACAACTATATCGTGTATAACGATATGAACTTTTCAGACAAAACGCTTTTCATTGATCTTCGGGGCTAGACAGTGATTTTGCAAAGGCTCTAAAGTGCTACAACGTGTTTACGCGTTGGTCGCGTTCAATGATCGAAATAATGTCAAGTGCCGTGAACTTGTTGCTGCAATTGCTGAATCGAATATTCGAACGGTTATTTAATTAACCGACGACAATTTGTAGAATTTTAATCGGCAATCTTACGATACATCGTTATTAATAGTAATTAAGAAACGAAAAATATTTGATATTCGGAGAAATAAATAGCATGTTTAGGTGTTGATCGTGCAACCGAACGATGTTTTACAAGATTTACGAAACACTGGATGTTCGCGAGACCAAGGTGTTGTTGGGGCAGCGCACACGGTCGTAATCGGCGACAAAACGTTCGAGTCAGAAGAGAACTCTGCGATTAGACGCAGAGTAATCGCGTGCAACGTATATGGGCAAATTCGCCACGATAGATGGCGAGTAAGTCAAAGCTTGTATGTACATTACTGGTCCAGACAGAGCACGATACAGAGCGACGCTACGCGTCACGCCGATTCGTACAATTCGCTCGTTTAATTTGCTTTAATCGCGACGTCACGTCCTCTTCCTTCCGCTTTGGCTCACGTCCGGATACAAGCTTAACAACGAGAGCTGCGAAAGGGGAGAAGAGACGGGGGAAGTCTGTCGACTCTTCAGACACGGGATAACTGATACACATCAAAGACCGCCTATCAATGCCATTCAACCCCTACCGATCGGAATTAATATGAATAAGAAAAAAATAAGAGAAAAAATGACGGGAGCATCGGGACTAAAATACTTGTCGATGTTTAACGCGTCGAACCGAGGCACGTAAAATTCCACTGCGATCCATAAAAATACCTGTGCGAAGATGCGAGAACGTATTCTACTGACCCGATTGCGGCAGGTATAATAGACTGTATGAATGAATGCTTCCCCAAAGCATGAAGCAGGTCAGGTTGATCGTGTTAGCTGCGACGCATTTTTAAGCGAGGTCGTAGCCAGGATAATCCAACGCTGTCGAGAGGGAGAGGTGACCAGGTGTCATTTTATCAACTTTTACCACATTGCTATCTATCATAGCAATATGTATACGATCATATTTTATAACTTACATTTTATTCGATTATTATATGTGCCACAGCGAAAGATAAATGTATAAATACTGAAAGGAGAATTACTACGCGTTTCATGAGCGGTCATAAAATAAATATATTTTCGGAATCGGAAAGGTCGAATATATTTTTCTTCCGGTCGATCGAGATATCGCAGACGCCTTCGAGGATTTATTTATCGCGTCGTAATGCCGAGCCGTTTCGACTTTATAACGATATATATGCGTGTACAGGGTGATCGATAAGTCCTCGAATATTTTTTCATTCCGGATAAACGATAATGCAAAAAGAAAGCAAAATGTTATTAAAAAATATCTAAGACTCGATAAAGTTTTGAAAGCGACACGATGATCGCTACACCGATATAGACGATTTTTTTTATAATTTTTAGGTACTTCTTAATAAATGTTTTTAGCGTTGTATTTTTTATTACCGATCATCGTTGTCGATGCGTCGAGTGTGAATCGAAATCGACACTTTCTCTAGACACCATAGAGCACCGTTTGCTTATTCGATAGAAAAAGCCTGATATCTCGAGCATAATCGAATATCTGTGAACGAAGGTATATCGTACGTAATTGCTTAGCCGAGAAATCAATGTTTTCGTTCGACGTACCGGCTCAGGTGACTTCGCGATTAATAATTCGATAAGAAATTTGATAAAACGTTTAAAAGAGATAGGAGAAGAATACGCGGAGGAAGGAAAAGGGACCACTTTGTTCATGAAGCAATTTTCAACGAGATAGGAGGTTTGACAGGCGGAGACACGTTAATGAAATAATCGTAGGAGACAAGAAAGCAGAATGTTCAACCTCGTTGAATTCCATTCTGTCTTGCCACGTTACTTTTTCCTTCTCGCGCGGCTTTTTCCAAGCCACATCCGGATATCGTTATATGTATCGCGAACAGCGTAGCGGAGAGAAGATTCTATCCCCCCGGTAGCGCCACGGCACGGCACGGCACGGCACGGCACCGCACAAAGTATATACGATCCTTCGTAACACACGCGTTATACCGGTATACTACTCGTCGCTACAATGTTCCCCGCTCTATGTATCTCGAATAGATGACTTCGGTCTCTTTTTCGATAAAAGCTCACCCCTTGCCATCGCTTCCGGTACACTCGTCACTGAAAACATCCATTAGCGGCCGAGAGCGAAAGCGTTCCTAGCGAAACACGTTCGATTATGATTACGGAGTACTAGCTAATTATACTTTACGTAAAGAGCAGTACCGATCGTCGATTAATTATCGACATTTTATCGATATTCGCGCTAAGGACGAATATTGTTTCTGATGCGATAAATTCCTTTCGATTCTCGGTTATCGTTGAGCGAAAACGAGAGAAAATCGTCTCGATGTTGCGTTTAATCGAACAGCGAGAAGAGGTTAGAATTGTTTGCATAGAGGAGAACCGGATGTCCACGGATCATTTAACCGGAAAGCAAAAGTTCGCGCATCGGCGTAATCGAGTCGACTCGCCGCATGTTAATCGTGCCTGCGATCGGCCGCATCCTATGTTCGGAGTTCGGGAGAGGAATACTTCCTCGATAAACCTAATTCTGTTTAAGCTTCTCGGAAAATCGCCTGGCCTTCTTCTTCGTTCATTCAGTTTACGAGTACACCGAGAGAACCGAAAAAATAATCGTTTTCGAGTTAAATCTGATAAAAAAAGTGAACGGACGACTCCTCGATCGGTAATCGATTTTGTTCGATTACTCGCGAGACAGCGTTTACTTCGTTGGGCCGCCTTATTTAATTTAACCGATTCCAAGAATGGAGGGGACTAAGTATTAATATTTTATCGTCTCCCAGGAAGCTCATTCTATTGTTAGCCACGTATTTTCTAATTTCACCGTCGGGAAATTTTACGATCGCCCGTATACCATTACCATTGTTATTTCCAGTAATTGTTTGAAACTCGCCGGTATAAATGAAAAGTGATAGATACGACCTTCTCGTGGATACGAGATAAGCCGCGTAGTAAGAAACAAGCAAAACGAAGAAAACAGTGTACGTTTATGTAGGAATATTAAATAACCGAAGAATCGCGTTTGCAAGAATAAAAATGGAAAACGGAATAAGCGAAATAATCGCGTACACGTAATATCGTTGCGTATGCAAAATCCATGGCAATGAGCGCGTGTCGAAAGACTATCCGTTCGCGGTCTCGTGTTCCGGCCAATCGTCGCGATCTTTTCGTGGCAGCAGTCAGTCATTCATGAATTGGCTCGAACCGCAGCGCTGCACGTTTATTTATACCGGCTGATAAATCAGCACGTAGCTCGAGAGTCCGCGACTACCGATCTTCGATATGTTCACTGAGAGTTATCGCCTTTTCCAGCGTAAAACTTTCGCAAAACGATACCGAAACCAGACCGCCCCCTAACAATAGTAACCAGGAAACGGATTTAACGAGACCGGATAGCCTCTCCTACGAATTTCCTTGCTCGGATTCCATTCTCTTCTGTCGCGATACAAATACGTTCCATATCGTCCAACAATTTCCTTCTTCTTTTAAATTTATCCATAGTTTTACGTCGCATACAATTACTTTTTCGTATATAAGAGCAGATCATCGAGATCTACTCCAGACGCGAATCAACTCGAACAATTCGTATTTTCCGAATCGCTCGACAAAACTTTTCACCGATCTACAACTTTTAACGACATAATTGCCTTAGATATCGATCTTAGTTTCACAGATATACGCAATACTATTTTCGATCGGTGTCGGAGTACTTGGTTACGGAATTTACCGATTTGTGCAGCGCACGCCTAAAGTAAATAATCATAAACGCTTGCATGTTAACGCGTGTTAAAAAAACGTTAAATGCAACTGGTTGCAAAATAAATTTTATTTTATTTTACGCCTCCGTCGAGTTACTCCTCCGAACATGGACCACGTGTTATACGTCCACGCGACGTTCCAGCTGATATATCACCGTGAGTCGTATCGTCGCACGGTACGTTATATTGTTATTGCTGCATTATCGTGCGTTATATCGCCACGCGTTCTAGTGAATTTCTTGCTCTTGCAATTCTGTTCACGGCAATAGGCGCACAATTCGAAGCCGAGATAAATGCTTGTATTATACATTTTGCTTGTCCGGTACGCAATTTTGTAACCGGTCTCGCAAATGTTCGCGCCAGCGCTTCTTACGAACGAACGTCGATGAACAGTGACCGATCACTAACGATGCTTTGCTAACGGTTCAAATACTAATAATTTACATGGTTCGATGCTCCTCGGCGAAGTATAAATGGAATTCTGATTACACCGGAAGTACCTTTGTGTCGATACAGCGGTAACTGTTACTCGATACTCGGAATAAAATCACGACTGTGTAAGTATATACATAGTTTAAAGTTTAAAGTGTCCTCTATCTCTAACCGGAAACGCGAAGCTGCTCGAACGTTAAAAAAAAAAAAAGAAAAAAAAAGAAAAAAAAAATACTGTGAAACCTGATAACCGTGAGTGAATTTTATAGTCTGCTATCGTACGGTTATCTGTTCAAAATAAACAGGCACATAATAATAAATGACTTTTACGTTTCGAGGTCGTGTAGAAGGACAGGTTTACGCGTGAAAAAGAACACTTCCGGTGAATGAAACACGCTTCGCTGATGCTACATCGTCGTTGTCAGCTGCACACGAATCGACACGTCCCGGTTTTCGCTCGGCGACGGTAATGTCAATATCAATGAGAGACGCACGGCCGTTTTTAGGTTAGGTGTGCGCACGTGCGAGTCACAGCGCGCGTTATTATTCGTTTTTACGCACGTCAGATGCGAAAAGACACGCGGTAGGTCGACAGGTGTACCGTTTACGCGAACGGAAGTACGGGGGAAAAAAGGAAGAGGATCGTTAACGATACGCACCTGATTCCGAAGCTCTCTTTCCAGAACTCGGCCGCATCCGCCTTGGTAATACGAAACTTGTGTCCGGCAAACACTCCGTTAGGAAATATAGCTTTCAATTCGGACAGCATGTGACTAAATACGAGGCTCAATTTCGTTAAATTCCTACGATAGTGAGAAGTCTCGTCGAACATCTTCTCTTTGCCCTCTTTGAACAACTTGATAGCCTGCTTGCACTTTCTCATCAGATTATTGATGAATACACAAAAATGTTCGTTACTGTGTAACACTTGCATCCTGTCTTCGTACTTGCTGTATATCAGTCTGAGTCGTTGATATGTATCCGGCAGGATGTCGAGTATGAACGGCGGCGAATTTTTCAAATTCATCCGTTGATGTTGACACAATTTCACCACCTTGTCCATGAGCTTCCAGGTCTTGTCCAACATCCGCTTGTCGGTCGAAAGTTTCGGCAGTGTCATAGGGTCCGCAAAACGATCATGAAGCTTCTGGAATATCGAACCTATGTGCACGGCTCGTGTACGACTGCTATGTCCTCCCGACGACATCTTGACGTGTGCGTGCATATCCCTTTGGCACCGGGATTTCTCGCTACTCGCTCTCGATGCGAGTCCCGCGCACTTTTACACTTCACCTTCGCGATATCCACCAACACACCTTGCTCAGGTTAGCCTTATCCTACACTCCTCTAACGCGATATATCGCATTTCCTTTAACGGGACGCGTTCGCTACTTCGACGACCTTTTCACGTAGTCGCGACCACGAGATATACTCTAACGTTGCACGACACCGCATCCTAGTCTTCTTGCTTCCTACTGACAACGACAACACCGGATAACTATAACGAATCGACACTGACACGACCAAAGCGTGCCCGTGGCCCGTGGCTCATTAATTATACTTTCATTCGCGGCCGCATGACGCTCCGCGGCGCTTCCACGACGCGGCTTTTTCGAATCGTTTCGCTCAACGTTCTAAACTCTAGTGCTCGTTTTACTTCAGTTTTTCTCCGTTTTCACTTAACGGAGTAGTCTCGAACGAAATATAATTTGTTTGATCGGTAAACATTCGAAGAAAAAAAATGCTTTAGTAGAACAAGACAAACGTGTATTTTCATGTTTACTCTTTTAATACATGTCTTTATAGTATTTAACATATGGAATTTAGGTACGGTAATAAATAATTCGGAAATACGAAACAAATCGATTAAATTATAAGATAAAGAGGATAATATTATTAATGAATTTTATAACGTTAACGCACGTTATACGATTCCACGTATAACGATTGACGATTCGTAGAATCGTGTGAAAGTTTATTGGTTTATTTGTTACACTTAAAGTGCCGTTGAAAAATGATATCCAGAGTGTCCAGAAGAAACGTGTTTCTACGTTTCAAAATCGATATTCGAATCGTTTCGAAGTTAGAACGTTTATGAATTTAATAAGTATCTATACGATACATATAACACGGTGAATAAAGTTTCCTGACGAATCTTCCGCAAATCAGAGAGGCAGGTTATGTACGGGAATCCGTAACGTGAACTCTTTTCGTGCCTCTCCTCTCAACCGTTGTCGGCGATAATTCACGAAATACCACGTTATCTTGTATCGATGGTCGATAAAGGGTAGCGAATAATTAAATGAATATTTTAAGTAACTATGTGCATTTTTCTAATTTTTTCTAATACTTTCTTTTTCTTGAAACCTTTCCACTCAACTTACTTCAGACTTCGTGTCTTTTGTATCGCGTTACCGCTTTCAATGTCGTTATCGATTATTCCTAGTAAGTTTGAAAGTATACACGATTCGATCGAGTCGAAGCGATTTCCCTGTATATTTTATTGTGTAATTCGGTATTGGTATTTATAGTTTGTTCTACTATTGATAACTTCAAGATTTAGCAGTTTCTGTATTGTCAGAACTTGCACGATACAATGCAGGCTATCTTCTATCTAATCAACTTTCCATTGTAACAACAGTGAAGGTGTCGTCACCGATTATCGAAGTGATAACTTAATCGTAGTAAAATAAAGCTTGTCAGCAAGAACCAACTTGCAGGAATGGACGCTAGAACATAATATCTTTCGTCTGAAACATTAAAAAATAAGCAATGAAATTACTAACGGAGGTATACATGAACGAGAAATCTCGATCGTTCTTTGCAATAGAATTTTCAATTTACCTGTCATTTGATCGGATTTCTTCACAGCTGCCCATCCCAAACTTCTTTCGACTGCCATCTTCCATTTTTTGTACCTAGCATCTCTCTCTGTGTGAAAAGGAAACATTTGAAAAGCTAAAACACCTGTAACCAAGTTACAGTATTATTTCAATCTTTTCTACCTTCTGGCGTAGTTGTTGGCAAAAACGTGTCTTTTGGTACAGTTTCCACTTCTTCGCCTTCGAGTTCCCAAACGCTTATACCTTCTGCGTGACCTGCAGCCATTGCAACTCCCAATGCTGTCATGTCTGGCATGGTTGATCTAACTGTCGATATACACAGAAATATTAATAGGCGATGATAAATTTGTCGAAAAGATTTTAAATAAAATATACTTACATACAGGTGTGCCGCAAAGGTCTGCTTGTAATTGCATAAGAAGGTTGTTGGTAGACATTTTTCCATCCGTGTTCAACTTAGTCAATGGAAAGCCACAATCTTTGAGCATAGCTTCTAAGATATCTCTTGTCTGGAAGCAAACGGCTTCTAACGATGCTCTTATAATATGTTGTTTCGTGGTAAACGCGGTAATACCGCAAATAATTCTATGTGAAACATTGAAAAAATCAGCCCGCCGATACGTGTATGCGGAAAAAACTTTCGAAGATATATAGTATTTACCCTCTCGCGTCCTTCCTCCAATAAGGAGCGTACAATCCCTTAAAAGCAGGCACAAAGTAAACGTCACCGGTGCTGAAAACACTTTCAGCCAGATGTTCACAATCGCTAACATCTTTTATGAGTTTCATATTATCCCGTAACCATTTAATGGCAGCCCCTGCCACTGCAACGGAGCCTTCCAATGCATAAACGGCCGGACTTGTTGGACCTAATTGATATGCCACCGTTGTAACTAACCCATGAGATGAATACACTCGCTAAAAGGAATTTGTATTTGTATTTATACTTAAACACACGAATACACGATATCTTTCGCGAATTATTCCTTTTGTCAATACGTACCGTTGTTCCCGTATTACAGAGCAAAAAGCATCCGCTTCTGTACGTGTTTTTAGCTTGTCCTTTTTTCAAACAATTTTGACCAACTAACGCGGACTGCTGATTCCCTAAGATCTAAAAATAAAAGAAAATCACTGTAACGAAAATGAAAATTTCAAATGTTATATCGTAAGGAAAGAAAAAACATCGTTGAATTTACGCCTGATATAGGGATTCCTTTTAATGGATCAATTTTGATATGTCCATAAATTTCAGCACTGCTTCTGATTTCTGGCAACATTTGCATAGGAATATCGAAATATCTGCACAATGTGGGATCCCAAGAAAGGGTTTCTATGTTCATTAACATGGTCCTTGAGGCGTTTGTTACATCGGTAATATACAATCCACCATCTTTGCCTCCCGTTAAGTTCTGTAACCATTTTTCAATGAATTCTCTGGATCTCGAATTTTCATCATCTATTATGCCTCTTGCTGTAAGTCACAACAATTGTTTGCATATCCTAAACAAGTTCTACTCTTAAACGAGCAATACTCACGTACCCAAACGATCCACGTATCCATGGTGCCCACTTTACATTGCTTATCCCGCATTGCTTTTCTCACAGTGGGTACGTTATCTATTATCCAGCGGATTTTTAATGCCGAAAAATATGGATTTACTGGTAATCCGCACAACGGTTTAATATGATTTTTACTTTGATCCGGGAATTTCGCTATTATCTTATCGACGATCGAACTAGTTCTAACGTCGGACCACACTAAAACAACGAAAATGATTTAACGAAGCGATCAATGAATGATCATATCGTGGCGATATGACAGATGGTCGTGCAGCGCGTCGCGTAATCGCGGAATCTCGTGCTCTGTAATGATGACAATATAACGAGAGTCCACTACTGTACTTCGAATTTCCTTTCAATTATTCGATCGGTTTAAATTCGCGGTTAGAGTTAACAATCGGCAACTCCATCGTCATCGTCGATGCGTTAACGGATCTTATTATTCTCGGAACACACCTATAGCATTGTATAGCGGTTCACCGGTCGTTGCATCCCATACTATGGTTGTTTCCCTTTGATTCGTGATACCGATCGTTACTATCTCGTCAACTTTCAAGCCAAGTATATCGAATCTTCGTATGACGTCCTTAATGCATGCCTTCACCGCGAAAAGAATCTCTTTTGGGTCTTGTTCCACCCATCCTTCCTGCGGACAGATTTGTTCTACGTCGATTTGATGGGATGCTACCTCGGCTACGTGTTTCGCGGTGAACACCTGTAATTCGATGCAATTTTTTCTAATTCATTGCTTAATTACTCTCGATAATATATCCATTAACTATTATTAAATGATTTTTATTATTATAATATCAAAACATAAAAAGTCCTATATAATTGAATGAGACGAAAGTATCGCGAAATAGTACTTGTAGCCTATCAAATTATTTTATATAGTAGCGTATATTAAAATAGTAGCGTACGTTTGTTAAAATACTATCTTACCACAAAACGAACTGTTCGTGTACCAACATCGATTACACCGATAAGGGGTCCTGGTTTCTTTCCAGAGCCCGGCATTGTATCTGAAAGATATACGAAATTTGTTAATTCGTTAATGCCTGAAACTCCTTGCAGAAACTTTGAATACGTGTAACGATAAATAGAATAGCATTAGGATTCGAACATCGAGGCGAGCGTCCTATATAATATCTGAACGAAAAGTGAAGGGGAACACTGGCATTATAACGCATGATATTCTTCGTTATCGTGTTTTATTCTACGCTTCGATGACCTATGTATAGATTGAGCAATAATATTACGATTAGCTGTGAATTCCCGTAGGTAGTGATTCGCGAAAGCGGTTTTATCAAATTTTCCTACCCAAATATAGGCACAGTAGATTTCCGTTATATTGCCACTTTCGCGCCCACTAACGGTGTTTTCTCGTCGTAGTAGACCAACAAGTAATTCTCGAGGAGCATCGCGGTATCTACTGGAGGAAACTTTTTTTTATCGGTTCCAACAATTTACGAAGGTTTCCAACTTCCAAAAGTAACTAGCCATTTGTATATATAGTATTTTGCGCTTCCAAAAGCACCCTAACGATTCTTTACCGATTAAACAACGGATTGATTAATAACGATGTTTCTAATGACGAACAAACGTTATATCGTTGGAAACTGGACTTCAGATCTACGATATCGAACGAACACGATACCACCGTAAATACATCGACTATTTCTCATTGTCGGATCTCAATTTCTGACTTATACGACTGATAGAAGCTAGTCTCACCTTTCGCGTACGAATTCTTCGCTATCCTCGAGATACAATTCCTTGCGTTAGGAAAGTTTTTTCCACGAAAGTTTTCTTTTAAAAATCGAACTCGATGATATTACGCAAAGTTATTTTTCGAAAACAAAATTTTCGCATAAAATTCTGCATCGCCAGTTATCGCTATATATCGTAACGACTTTTTTACTCGGAACATAATAACGCATACTATTATACGATAGAAATGGAAAAAAACGCGTGATACGTTGCGACGGGAGCTCATTATCATTTGCCCCTGCTCTTTGATAGGTCGATACAAGTAATATCGCCGTACAAAGAGTAAGCGACGCACAAAAGGGATAAATTTCGAGACTATCGCGTTTCGTCAAAATTAATTCAATTCAAATTGCTTTTTATTCTTGATTTACGACGCAACAGAAGTTTCACAACCTTGGGAATGAACAATTTTTTAAATTTAAAATCTTGGAACGTCGCATTATTAACTATCAAAAGTACGTCGTAAGTTAGAAAATAAAATTAATGTTTTATTCGAATGACACAGAACATTTTGACGGAAAAAAATTTTCAAGAAAAAAGATAGTCGCGTTGCCGGCTTCCACAGTTGAAAGTTTTACAAATGCACAGAGGAGTTCCAAATGCATTTGTAAATTAATTTCACCCACTGATCAACAACAGCGAGGAGAAATGAATTAAAATTGGTTTGGGGGTTTTTTTTATGTGTAACAAACACACCACAATACCATTTTTCTTCGCAAAGAAGAGTAATATTATATAAAGACCTTTTTTTTTGTTTGCGTCACAATGTTATTTAATATTAGTATGGGTTGGCCGATGAAAAGCCGCGAAAAATGCGATAACATTTTCCTGGGAAGCATCGGACTATCCGAGAGGTAGATCTCGGTTTCTTCCTTATATACGAACTGCACCTCTGACCAAGCACTAGCGAGAAATTTGATCAGTTGTTCGTAGCCACCTAGCGGTCAAATATTAACACTACAGCTTTCTAGATGTCGCTTGAATGACCGCGTAAATTGGAAAACTACTATTTTGCGGAGGAAACGAGATGACACAAAGTATTCGTATGCACAATTTCGATATACCGATATAAATTTACAATGAAGCTATTTAAAACACGAAAGAAATTTGTTTCCGACGAACCGTTCACGATGCAGGAAGATGTAAGTTTTCTCGTAGCGTAATTAAATTTTACCACGAGAATTCACGAATTTATAGAAAGAATATTTAATTATAATCTATGTACTTTCGTGCTCCTTTGTACTTGATTTAAATTTATGACACTGCGGCCGTAGATGTGACTATAAATTATTCCAGATGGGCTAGATACACTATGTTTCGTACGTAAAAGAATATGCTTCTCTAGAGAAAATGACAACACTTATTAATTTTCAAATTTCCTAAATGCCGAAACTTTCGAATGTTCAATTTTCTAATTACACGATATAGACAAACGTATTCGCGTGTAGGTTATCGTATTTAATCGTAGCGGATGCGCGTTAAACACACGCATGCGCGTAGATCGAAATTTGGTAGATGTTCAATCTCGTGAAACGCCGCCTTTCGATAGGCAAACGCGAACGAAGTGGTCGATCACATAGAGGCTCGTTCGTATTTACGATGACGATGCATCAACGAGTAACGACAGCGTGTTGCACGTCGGACAGTTTCTTTCCTCCACCGACCGCAACAGCGTCCACACAGGATTACGTAACTTGTTCTGCGCATTGTTTCATCGCTATATTTCTTTAAACGAACTTATCAAGAAAGTATATAGATTCGAAATAACGCAGAAAATGACATTATTCCGCGACGATCTAGCGTTTAACCAACAGGCCCTTTATCAAGAATCGTAAGAGTGGAATAGTTTTGAAATTGACCATCTGTAGGAAGATTCGTAATAATACGATCCATCGGCATGCATTCTTTGACCGAGTTACGATATTCGTTTTATTCTTCGACTCTGGAAACTGTGCCAAAATCTTGCACGTTTTTCACTTGTCTAATGCTTTCCACCTAGCTAAGCGTGTTAATTATTAACTCATATACGTGTATAGTAATTATATTTTTAAGCATAATATACAATTTCCAGAAATACGATCGTTTATAATATAAATTATAATGATTAGAACTGTATTAACTGTATGCCATATATCTTCTGTTAGCTATAAAGATAAAAGACAAAGACGTCTGATTACTCGCGATAAGAATAACACTGAACGTTATACATCCTCGATAATCCTTCGTAACTAACGAATTTTCTATCAGTAGAGGAAAAAATTTGTTCGTTATTTATCCGGAAGATTACATAAACAACGTTCGAATGATTTCTTGGGGAATTTAATAAAGTCTCGTACAATTTCTTGACTAACCGGTTATGTTACCTTTAGCTATCGGAACAAATCGATATGTCTACGTATAGAATTTCATCGGTTAAGTTTCTCCAATTGGCAATGAAAGAGCAGTACGAGGTCGTCGATCTAATGATGTTTCGCGCGATGTATTCTACACCATCTATCTAATAATTAAACCCAAAATATACCAATGACGTTGATAATGCAGCTTCTATTCTAAATGAACCCTTCTGTACCTTTTACATTTTTATTGTGCCTACATTATTCGGTATTCGGAATGATTACGGAATAAATGTACCTATTATCTAGACAGACTTTACGATCGTGTACTCTTTTGTACCAATGTCGCACCGATTATCCTGCCGATTCTCCTTTTATTTTTAGCAAGATTACTAGTACACGACTCTCGTGGTTCAACGAATATGAGTTCTCCGAGTACTACATATATATGTAAATATGTAAATATATCGATTGTACATTTTAATCTTAACTTGATTAGCGACTAAAGGTCAGATTTTTCTTATCGACTATCGATAATCGAATACCTTCGAAAACAGATTACATATTTCCTACCGCGATAAGTAAAAAGTCGAGTAAAATGACCGCTTAATCAGTGGTCTAACAATTTTCTCGCTGAGAAAATTTATCTTCGTAGCAAATTCGAGTCGACTTACCTGCTTTCTCCTTGAACGAATAATACTTGAAAATGCTTGTTTTGCGGCCAGTTTGACTGCGTTCCAGTTCCGGAAAGGTGGTCTCGTCGCCGAGCGTTCCATCCTTCTCGCGCTCCGCTTCCTCGTCCTCCTGATTCTTCTCGTTATCGTTCGCATCCCCTTCCACCTGTTCTCTATCCATGACCCGTAATTAATATACCTTTGAGAACAGCGCGTGTGCAGGGTTCTTCTTAACACCAAATAACTTGGACGGTTCGACAACCAACGATCCTTCCACTAAAAGACAAGAATTGCAAAAGCAAAAGGGTCCAGTACACTGTACACGCGATCGTTTATTAGCACACCTTCGCAAGTGTCCCGAACACATTCGATCGAGGGAATGCACGATGATCGTCGTCGATGCTTTTGCCTTCTGCTTTTCCCTCCCTTCTGTCTCCCTCTTCGTCTCGACGTCCAACCAATTTGCACCGTTTCGCGTCTGCTCTCGTCTTGAATCGTAGCCGTCCCTCGTGGTTGTAATCGTGATTGTGCTTACGGCCAACGACGACACTAAAATTAACCATGTCCATCGTGTTCAATTTCGCGCGCGCTTCCTTCTCCTTGCAATCGCGAAGGTGTGTACACGTGCGAGAGCGCAACTTTCATTCGCTAAAAGCGAACATACCAACCTCTCATCGTTTGCCCTTATTTTTACGAGAATGTGCAGAGAAAACTTGGGAAGACTCGAAGAGAGATTAGAAGTTTAGAGAAAGAACTTTGTTTGGGGTTTGTAGGAATTCTTAATAATTGCTAGTAATGTTCAATGCCCTCGTACACCGTAAAAGGCCAACATATTTTTCGAGCTTTCGAAACTTGCAACTTTCCAAATTTTTAACACGAGTATACGAGTATACGTCCGATGTCTATCGAATCTAGAATTTAGAATTTAGAATCTACTATGGATCCCCTTGGGATTATTTTATGTAAAACGTTAGAGCATTACTTCTTCTACGATTCCCCTGAACTGAGGGAGATCTAAGCTCCACGCCATGCACAAGCACACTGCATCGCGCCAATTCCGTCCCGCTTAGGCGCTATTTTCGTACGGTCATTGCAGAAGAGTCGTTGCGCTTTTCAAGGGCAACGCGACGTGTCACGGTTTGCGCGGGAGAATGCAAACAACCAATAGCAAACTTTTAATACGTTCGTTCGGAACCATTTGAAAATCGTAAAAAGCGCCTCGTGTACATCCAAGTACAATTCAATCGATCGATTTTTTTCTCGATCAGTTATACATTCGAATGCCATCCACTGTCGATACTTTACCGATGCAAAATACTTCAAAAATTATAGCGAATGCGTTTTCGAAGAAAACGAGAAACGACCGACGGAACGACGAAAATGCATATGCAGCATTATGTTATCATTTACCGTAAGATATTTCTGATTAAACGATGATTTGGTTGACGGGTGAAGGTGAACAATGAAAATTCTGTCACTTTTATTTTTATCCTTGCGTAAGATTATTCGTTTTATACGTACGATACAACGAATTTTATACACACTAAATGCCATTCAAAATGTATGCTATTATTAGCTTATTTTCAGTGTTTAATATCATCGATTTTACAATAAAAATAGTCTGGTATAATTTATTGACGTCGAAGTAAAAGAGCACTGATGGTCACACTATTGATTTGGCATGGAGAAAAATTTGCAAAAAAGATAGTCATCGTCGACTTCCACGGTTGAAAGTTCAAACAACTTCCACAACGCAAGATGATCACTGCTGCTTTGTAATTTACACAACGCTTCAAATTTTAAAGCGCGAAATTATTTAATTAGTTTTTAGATACGACGTAAAAGTACACTAAAGAGAGTACGTACATCTCATTTGTGTGTGGCAATATATAAGGCCGCAATGCGGTAGTTCTTCCTGGGAAGCATCGGACTATCCGAGAGCTAGTTTCCTGGTTCTCCCTTATATACGAACTGCACTCTCTAATGAGTACTAGCGAGAAATTTTAGCAGCTGTATGCAGACACCTAGCGACCAAAATAAAGTACTCGATTCTACGGTTCCCTAGATGGCGCATTGCGTACCGCCAAAATATGAATACATACCTCTATTCTTGATAAAAAATGATTCAAATAATCTAATAAACATACGTAATATTAGTAAATCTATTTGTTACTAATAGACGATAGGAAATATCATTTTCTTATCGCTATTAAACTATTAAATATAATTTACATAGATATAATTTATTGCTAGTCGTTTCTAATAATTCTATTGGATGCATCCAGCAAATCGACTTATTTTCACGTTTTACCGGATGCGATAAATCACTTATTTTTACGTAATAAATAGTAAATAACTTAAAAGTATGAAAATCTTGAATATTCATTTTAATTTTAATCATTTTTTCGAATTGGCCTACTAATCACACAGATCAATTAATTAAATATATTCGCAGTCACTTTGCGTTACTTTCCCACTCGATGTTTACCATCCACGTGTTATAGTATTATGAAATTGTTGTATCGCGGTACAATTTATAACGTTGCACGAATTTCCCACGAAACATCTTTATTATACAATTTTATTCGACTAATCGTGATATTTTCGAAAAAAGAAGTATCATTTAAGTCATCGGAATAAGAAAAACATGATAAATACTCACGAAAATATTACAATTGATGACCGGCAATGAACACACAACGCCTCGATGTGAACGCAATTGACAGATACTTTGATCATCGACACTTCACCTAAATCGAGGTACATATGCCATATAGACAATGCACGAATAAAAGCAAAACACGTAATATTAATAACGCACGCGATAAGATATAGTGTTTGTCATGTTTTTCCACTTGCTACGCCATCACTTATTGTCTACGTTGTCTGCTGGAAAACGTAGGTCATCGGTAGCCATATGTCGAAGCCAGCGCCATATACCTACGATGTTTCCTTACTTGTATTTTCAAAGAAATCTTTATAATCTTTCCATTAATCACCATAATAATTGAACGGTACCATTATTACCTACGATTGGAACTTTGGAGATCGATTGTTAATTAAAAATAACAATAGTTAATAAATATAACATTTACGCTTTGCATTTATGAAAACTTACGTAATTCATATACACATATATATACATACTTTTGAAAAATATCCGGTACAATATTTTTATCATGAATTAATTTATATTTTAAATAACACTTTATTATTTTATACATTCAGATATCTCGATTTTTATTCAAAATGATTAATTGAAGTACATATTAATTAAGTGTATACATTTGATATGTATATTTAAAAGAACATTATCGTCGGATCATATCTAATGACAAGCTTTCATTCATTCTATGCGTATCGGTTGCTGGTTACGATTGGTTCAGTACACTCTGTTACCCAAATTAATGCACATGCGCCCGAGAGCTCATTTGAGTTGCGTAAAACACCAATGTTTTCTTGTCTCTTTTAAGCATTCGAGTACAACATTCGTTTGAATTTATATCAATTAATAAATATATTTGTTAATTTGAAAATAATTATATGTGTATCTCATAGTTTCAACATGACCATTCGTTTAACTTCTCAACAGCAAAATGTTGAAGATCCAGTTGAAAAAATGTTAGAAAAAACTGGCTGTATGGAACTTCATTATCAAGTTCAAGTATAAATCTTGTATTTGGGAATATATCGGTGAATATTATAAAGTAATTTATCATTTATTATTGTATTTCTAGGAGTGTATAGCAGAAACTCAAGATTGGAGGAAGTGTCAACAGCAAGTAAAAAGATTTAAAATATGCATGGATAAATATCAAAGAGAAAGAGAAAAGTCATACGCATCTTAGTAAATATGTCTGTGATAATAAATTTTATAAAACGTATATTCATTTATCCTGTAAAGTATTCTGCGAATGAACATTTTAAAATGGTACTTGTTGTGAGGTCAGATATAGTTATGGGAAAAGGTAAAATTGCGGCGCAATGTGCTCATGCTGCAGTAGAATGTTATCGTCAAGCATCGTGTAATACAAAATATGAACACGTGTTTAATTCTTGGTTATTACAAGGTCAACCAAAAGTTGTTCTAAAAATATGTAACGAAGGAGAATTAATGTCGTTAGCTCGCAGTGCTCGTAAAGCTGGTCTTATTATTTCTATAATACAAGATGCGGGTAAAACACAATTATTGCCTGGCACAGTTTCTACGCTTGGAATTGGACCAGGTCCAAAACAAGCCATAGATGAGCTAACCTCGAGTTTAAAACTCTTGTAAGCTTTGATACCAGTAATTTTATCTGATAAAAAAATGTCCTTTCTATTCAATATTTTTAAAGAACGAATTAATCCGTAATACTTAAATAAATTAGTATTTTATTAGAAACATCACAATTTATGTTTATTGATGCTTTATTATGTTGATTGATCCTTTCTTTATTTTTTCACTGACACCGTACATACAATACCAAGAAAACGTGTTTTTAAAATATTAATTCTTCAATTTTATGTATTAAAACATATAATATTGCTTTACTTTAAAAAACGTGTTGGTATTTTTTTCCATTTTGCGATGTAACATTCATAAAATGAACAATTCGTTTACAATAATGATTTCCATTTTCGTTAGCATAAGCATAAATTTTCATAAATAAGTTTTAAAAAATACACCTATAACACTTTTTTGTATGATCAAGTATATTATCTATGTATTACTATACACATTAACATCATGTGAGAAACACTGTATCAAAATTGAGACTTATATTTGCCCAGCTTATAAAGCTTTAGCTTCTACTTCAATATTTAATTTATCGTATGGTTGCACGGAATTATGAAAAATATCTACAGCAACGTAAATCAACAGTAACAAGGTAAGTTTTGCAAAAAATATTGCTACTCTATATACTTTGAACATTAAAATATTAATATATATGTATATTAATTTTAAAAAAAAAGGTAAAAACAATTTTAGACTAAATTAATTTACATTCAATAATCTCTATTATGAAAATACATATAAAATTTATAATAATTCTTATTAGTCATTCAAAGTTACGTACAATGTATGATACTCTGTTATAATACTGAAAGAATTATGAACATGTATAGAATATTTGTTATAAGAGTTTTAGGTATAGTATATTAATACATAATTTGATATACACATTATAATTATGTATTCATCTATACAAACATATTTCGTTAAAATGAGCACAAAAAAGGTCATCAAATTTATTTTTCTTTTTATATTTTGTTAAATGTGCATTATTGTGTGTATGTATGTGTGTGTGGGTGTGTGTGTGTGTGTATGTATACATAGTGCTCGTAAAGCTGGTCTTATTATTTCTATAATACAAGATGCGGGTAAAACACAATTATTGCCTGGCACAGTTTCTACGCTTGGAATTGGACCAGGTCCAAAACAAGCCATAGATGAGCTAACCTCGAGTTTAAAACTCTTGTAAGCTTTGATACCAGTAATTTTATCTGATAAAAAAATGTCCTTTCTATTCAATATTTTTAAAGAACGAATTAATCCGTAATACTTAAATAAATTAGTATTTTATTAGAAACATCACAATTTATGTTTATTGATGCTTTATTATGTTGATTGATCCTTTCTTTATTTTTTCACTGACACCGTACATACAATACCAAGAAAACGTGTTTTTAAAATATTAATTCTTCAATTTTATGTATTAAAACATATAATATTGCTTTACTTTAAAAAACGTGTTGGTATTTTTTTCCATTTTGCGATGTAACATTCATAAAATGAACAATTCGTTTACAATAATGATTTCCATTTTCGTTAGCATAAGCATAAATTTTCATAAATAAGTTTTAAAAAATACACCTATAACACTTTTTTGTATGATCAAGTATATTATCTATGTATTACTATACACATTAACATCATGTGAGAAACACTGTATCAAAATTGAGACTTATATTTGCCCAGCTTATAAAGCTTTAGCTTCTACTTCAATATTTAATTTATCGTATGGTTGCACGGAATTATGAAAAATATCTACAGCAACGTAAATCAACAGTAACAAGGTAAGTTTTGCAAAAAATATTGCTACTCTATATACTTTGAACATTAAAATATTAATATATATGTATATTAATTTTAAAAAAAAAGGTAAAAACAATTTTAGACTAAATTAATTTACATTCAATAATCTCTATTATGAAAATACATATAAAATTTATAATAATTCTTATTAGTCATTCAAAGTTACGTACAATGTATGATACTCTGTTATAATACTGAAAGAATTATGAACATGTATAGAATATTTGTTATAAGAGTTTTAGGTATAGTATATTAATACATAATTTGATATACACATTATAATTATGTATTCATCTATACAAACATATTTCGTTAAAATGAGCACAAAAAAGGTCATCAAATTTATTTTTCTTTTTATATTTTGTTAAATGTGCATTATTGTGTGTATGTATGTGTGTGTGGGTGTGTGTGTGTGTGTATGTATACATATATATGTTACCGGCAAAACCCGATTTTAGGATAAACTAGTTTTTCCTAGGCCAAACCAGTTCATCCTATATAGGACAAATCGGGTTTGGCCTAAAATCGGGTTTGACCTAAAATCGGGTTTGGCCGGTAAATATATATATATATATTTATATCTATATATAAATACATACATACATATAATTAAAAACTACGAAATCAGGTATATCATAAAAATGTATATACTGGTACAAGATTAAAAGTTTGTTAGATGCAATTGTACGATTAGATTATTTACTTTTTCGTGTATAATTAATAAACAGTGATGGAAATGATGTTAAGCGTTAAATCAATTATCGACGCCACATGCATATAATTTAGGAGTATGACATGAGTAAATTAAAATCAGAAACTTACAGTAGTAATACTGTAGAAAATCCTTTACATGTCAAATATCTAACAGCTGATTATGATTATTATGTACATTAGGATAAAAGTTGTATGTTCATTAATAGTATCTCTATAAATCTAAAACATTTGTACAATAAAAACACGTATTTATTTTCTTTCTAAATTAAAAATGAAATACTTAAGGATACTCATATCATACTCACCCATTGTATTTTTCTTTCTTTCTTTCTTTCTTTCTTTTTTTTTTTGTATTAATTATTGACTTACTATCACATATGTAAATTTGATTATTAATAATATATTTCTAATTACAGAATGCGCAGAATATATCAGTCTCAAGTAGTATGTAGTAGAGCATTATCGACCCTAAAATTTTATAGTTTGGCAGATACAACAGGTCAAATGCTAAATTTGACTTTTCACGTGTATAATATTTGCCTCTTATATCTCGACATATTATTAAGTAATTATTTTTGTAAGTTCTGGAGGTTCTACATAATTGTTCAATACATGCGGTGCTTCGTTAAATTCATCAAGTTCATCCCCATTATCTGCTCCTTGCGCGAGCAAAAAGTACTGTTCGCTTCGTGTTGGCCAAAGTAAATGTGCCATCACACAGTACGCAAAACAATCGGCGGAGTATGTGATACCTACCAAAATAGGAAGAATAATATAACACTGACATTCTGTACAATTTAAATTTCATAACTGACTTACCCAATAGAAGTTTAAACCTCCATAATGCACTTACATGAAGAGCAATAAGTGCTATAATAGGTAAATAGATGAACCAAACTAACGAAGATGCACCAAAATGAAGTAGAAAATTCAATTTTTGAGTATTATGCTCGTACGTCATAGTGTTTCGTAGCTCGCACACAAACCAAATCATAATCGCACTGCGAAATAAGAGTATAAACCAGCCTGGCCATGTCTGGTACTCGTCAATATCTTCAATGATGTCGACTTCCGTCTAAAATCATTATTTCTTAATTTGGTAAAAGTTGAAAAATTTCTACGTAAGATTATACAAATAAAAATATACCATGTTCCAAACATATAGTAAAATATGGACTACCCCGTAACATAGCCATATAGTAAAAACCAATGGTTTCCATGTCAGTTCCATCCTTGTTACGGCCCATCCTTTGGCAAGTAATAGAAGCAATAACATGAACGATGTCTAAAAGATTATATTATTTTTAACAAATCATTCCATTGGAATATATAAATATATTCGTTACGACTTACTCGTGATAAAATATCAAAAATATCTCCAGCAACTTCCAACTGTTCATAGCCAATTCCGTCAAGAGCAAATTTTACTACATGCGTTAAGATTAAACATACCGCTATAAATTCTAATAGTAAACTAGCAGTGAATAATCTTGTTACAGGATGTTTTTGTAATCTCACTGCATATAATTGTAGTGGCACAAGTATAATGTAACATACAAAAAATAACAAGTACAATTCTATTGTATTTTGTCTATCATACGAAAATTGATACGTCAGGCTATTTAGGCCACTAGTATTTGGATTACCATTTACTAGCCAAATATCATATTCTAATTCATCGTGTTTATCGTAATATTCCCATTGACAAGTAGTCGTGTTTCTATAACATGCCACTAAACTCATATACCAAAAACGTGGCTGCCAAAAATCTTGTATAACATACGTAAACTGATATCCTTTCACGATATTCCATATGGAATCTTCGTCAGGACACAACTTACCCTTTGGACAAGGTACTCTCCTTTATAAAGAAAGGAAGAAAATTAATTCTCTTAGATTATAGCAAATTATGAAAATGTCCAAAAATGACATACCTTAAAAAGTCTTGACCTTCTTCGTTACAATGCACATCGTACGAAGTTTGATTCAAGGTACTGAACATAAGGGTACAAGCAGTACTTTTATTATTTAGTGTACGATTACCATAATATTCTAAAAAATGACCTCGATCTAAAACTGCCAAAGTGATTGGCGCAGAAAAATTAGTTTTGGACGTTATATTGCCGAAAATGTATCCATACGAATCTTTCTGTCGATGACGATCAGTCTTTTGAAAACCAAATTTGATGAGAAAACGAAAAAATTCCTTCGTGTTAAAAGTACCCGAAATATGAGTAGATTCGACGTAATCCATTTGTAACAAAAGACAGGACGCGAAACAGATCAACAGACCTCGTCTAAGTATCGTCATTATTAAGCTGGGCTTAATATATCGTTTTTCAAGTTAGATGTCAAGAAGCATCAATCACGCAATTTTTTAACATTTTCTTACTGAACACAGCTGTTCGAAATAACCGTACCGCACTTTAAGTTCCGTGACATTCTCGTACGTGTCAAGAAGTACCGCATTTCGAACGGGTCATGATAACAATTTCGTACGCGTTGAGACATTTATACACGCAGCAGAATATTTAAAAACGTCACCGTACATTTCATTCGTTAAACACTAATGATCCATATCCATACATGTAATTTAAACTCAGATTTGCTATTGATTTTCCCCACCCAAACAGACCGGTCACTGCAAAATGTTTTATTATTACGATTATCGTAAACTTTTATGCGCTCGTCAAAAGAACATTAGCTTCTCGTGGCTCGATACTTGTAACATGCGACTTGCATGTCCAAATCAACACAATTATGTTAACCTTTGTTAGTTTGAATCTAATTTCGAATTAACCTTTTGCCCTCGAAAATATTTATATATTAAAGCTCTTTTATTAAGCAGTTGGTGAAATTTTGCAAACCTAACTTTGTATATCACTATAAAACCACTTGTTATCTGTTTCATTAGATTCAGAAGTTTCATTTATGTCGTAGACTTGACCTTTAAACAATGTAAAATAAAATACATTTTCGCTTTAATTAATTTCATCATTTATTTATAGACTAAATAAAGTATAAATTTAAAGCAATAATTATAAGTATAATGCCTTGTATCGAAGTAAAATATAGATAGTAGGCTCGAAATCCAAAATGATAGCGATAGCTAGTGCGAGTTGTTTCGTTATATTTAAATAACAGTTCCAGTCGGTAACCCCGCTTACTTTTTTATCGGCAATAAGCAGGTGTCGCCTCTTCCATTTTATGCGTGGTGACATCTACTTCCTCTCAACCGTCCCGTTGGAAAATATATATAAATACGCACTAGACTCAATATAAAAGTTAAGACAATGTGAAGCGTTTTTCACGACAGAATTAATTCTCAGTCGTTTATGAGAGAAAACCTTTTAGAAAATATTAAAATAACTGACTATATATTATGTGTTGTAACGTACTTTTCGGTTAAGAGGAAGTAGATGTCGCCACATTTGTACGTCTTACCCAAAAAGAAAAGTACGAAACTATATGTCCGCGCTGTCTCTAGCTGAGAAGCATACGCTAGCTGGCCTTCGAGAAGTTCGAATTGTCTGTAAAGAAATTTTTGAAATTCGCGATGGAGGATAAAGCTTCGAGTGGAAGTAGTACCGCTGTGGATACTGCAGAAAGTAATAGCAGTGCAGCAAAGAAAGCGTCGAAAGCGAAGTCTGTAAAATCTCAACGATCGAAGACTTTGCATCCTCCGACTTCTGAAATGGTAAACGCTGCCATTAAGGAATTAAAGGATCGTAAAGGATCGTCTCTACAAGCCATTAAGAAGTATATCGCGACAACGTACAAAGTTGACGGCGAGAAATTGGCACCTTTCATCAAGAGATATTTGAAGGCGGCAGTTACCTCTGGCGCTGTTGTTCAGACAAAAGGTAAAGGTGCTTCTGGGTCGTTCAAACTATCTGCGGGCAAGGGCTCCGAATCTAAAACCAAGGTTCAAAAATCCGTGAGAGCAACCGAATCGAAGAAAACGAAAAAATCTGTTGAAAAGAAAACAACGCCGGTAGTACGGAAATCTACAACGCCGAAGAAAGCGAGTTCCGCAAAGAAGACTGAAACTACAAAGAAGACTGCGGCAACAAAAAAGACTTCCGTCAAAGTCGAAAAGACTAAGAAGATAGAGAAATCTAAACCTCTGACCGAGACGAAGACTATGTCGAAAAGTAAAAGGACGGCAAAAGCACCTGCTGCAAAGACGAGGACTCCGAGGCCGAAGAAAGCTGCTATCTCGAAAACCGTTAAATCTCCAGCTAAAAAATAATCGAATATCCTGACAAACTTATTATTAAACAAATGGCCCTTTTCAGGGCCCCAACTTTCTTATACGAGAAACAATTTTGACAATCCTAACGATATAAGTAAGCTTAACAGAGCTTAACTTTCGACGTGAAATACGTTATATCCTTTTTTTGTACGTCCAACGCACAAATATATGTATTATAGTCGTTAAATACTTACATACTTTAAAATTAATTAAACCACAAATATAATTTTCTGATATACATTAGCTGTATATTTTTAAAAAATTACCTAAAGATATAAAAATTAAAGAAGAAGGTATGAATCGGAATAGAGTTCTGAAAGAAAAATTTGTTCTTTTTATAACCGAAATATTTATCGGGTTAGGAATTTACTTTGTATTTCAGAATAGTATGTACATATCATAGCTCGTAACAAATATTCGCAAATTAATACTTTTGTACTTAACGTATATTTATGCCTGTATGTAATTTATATTCGATGGAACTAATTTTATGCAGAAGTTTGCGTTAAAAATAGTACATATATCGCACTTCAATGTGTACAATAATCTGTCTGGAACATATATTATGAATAAAATACATCTATAATAAATATAAAATTGCATCTATTAACACAATATATAACGTAAAACTGCGCAATAACAAAGAAAAGCACAGCTCCATTTAATTATAATTTAAGAAACTTAAACTTTGTATGTATAAGCTTTCTTCGTTGCTACGTTCTACCGCTATGGTTTAATATTATCTTTTTGGTGACAAGACGTCAAACTAGATCCGTAGATTGTGCTATTACATTTAGATCTTGCGACGGAAGTTATGCTTTTAATTATCTTTGGACAGTTTTGAAAAATCGCGGTTTCGAATTTCAAATCATATTGATAGAAATAAAATGTAGCGTCTAAGTATGCTTTTGACAACCTTTTAATATCGCGGATTAACAATTTTCAATGTTTATTTACTTTCAAATAATACGATCGTAGAAGCGACCTAATTTATTTAACCCGATTTCGCTACTTATTGTAAATTTTTCAATAATGTTATAAAATTGTTCATTATTATTTACATTTAAACATTCATAGGATTTTGTTCAGTTTGTTTTTGAACGATATTAGGAAATTAGGAAGATGGATAATTTGAGAAGAGGAAATGTAAAAGTCGAAGAACGAGAAATGTTTCCACGTGTTAAATATTTGTGGCCCTGAAAAGGGCCGGTCAGAATAGTAAAGTGTTTTTTACTTGGAGCTGGTGTATTTGGTAACAGCTTTAGTTCCTTCACTGACAGCGTGTTTCGCCAACTCACCAGGAAGTAGTAAGCGAACAGCAGTTTGAATTTCACGAGATGTGATCGTCGAGCGTTTATTGTAATGAGCCAAGCGAGATGCTTCAGCCGCGATACGTTCAAATACGTCGTTTACGAAACTATTCATGATACTCATGGCTTTACTGGAAATGCCAGTATCAGGATGGACTTGTTTCAAGACTTTGTAAATGTAGATAGCGTAGCTTTCTTTCCTCCTACGCTTCTTCTTCTTATCAGTTTTGCTAATGGTCTTTTGAGCCTTGCCGGCTTTTTTCACTGCTTTTCCACTGGCTTTTGGCGGCATGGTTGCTAAGATATCGACTTAATATTAAGACTTGTACGAGGACGAATCTCTAATGCGAATGAACTCCTCGGCTTCGATATGGCTTTTATTAGGAAACAGAGTAGTGCAAGCGCGCCAATCAGAGTATTCGTCGAGTAGGTAGGGTGGGAACTCTTTGCTCCGATTGGTGCGCGTGCGCCACTACCTAACCGTATATATAGAGAGCCCGACGGTTAGAGAGATTATTGTCTAACGATTCTTCGTCGGCGAACGTGTTGTATTCGTAGCTCGTTCATTATTTGTCACGATGTCCGGACGTGGAAAAGGCGGTAAAGTGAAGGGAAAGGCAAAGTCTCGATCCAATAGAGCAGGTTTGCAATTTCCTGTTGGTCGAATTCATCGTCTTTTGAGGAAAGGAAATTACGCAGAACGCGTCGGTGCCGGTGCTCCGGTTTATTTGGCAGCTGTAATGGAGTATTTGGCCGCTGAAGTTTTAGAATTGGCCGGTAATGCTGCTCGTGACAACAAGAAAACGCGAATTATTCCGCGACACTTGCAACTTGCTATCCGTAACGACGAAGAATTGAACAAATTACTTTCTGGAGTAACAATAGCACAAGGTGGCGTTTTGCCTAACATTCAAGCTGTACTTTTACCGAAAAAAACCGACAAGAAGACATAATCTTCATACTTCGAACCAAACGGCCCTTCTCAGGGCCACCAATTTTTTTCAATCAAAGGAATAATAACAGCGTTCAACATTGTTTTCCTTTCGATAAAAAATTTTCTTTCGCTCCATTTAAAAGAGCTTCAATAACGATTTTTAAATTTCGTAACTCTCCTATATCGAATCGATCACGGAACGAAGTAAAATTTCATTTTCTTTCTATTTTGTCCCGTGAATATTTTTCATATTTGCATAGTTCGCACAATTGATTCTACAAATATTTATTGAAACATTTTATATTTTAAACATGAAACATTTTCAAACAAAAATTTCAATATTATTAACGTAGCTTATTGTAACTTGCAAATTTTTAATTACAAGAGAAGCAGTATCGGGTATATGCAACTTTTTCAAGTATCGATAGGTTCAGAAGTAATATACAACGAATGAAACAAGTAAGATTTCAACTGCAATTTTATACTTTTATGGAATAAACAATTTCTTGAAAACGTATTCTTTATTGAAAATTACAGAAGAATAAGCATATAAACACTCTTAATATAATATGATTTGTCTTTATTCGAGAGACCAAGGTACTTACATATGTGCATGTTTATTATTGATAGGAGTTACGTATGGCAACACAGCGATTTATATAGAGGAATTATTAGCGACGAGTGCATGGTAGAGACGCTGGGAAATGTGGCAACGTTGTATCGGCACCGCCATTCTATCATTCGTAGTCGATAGGTTAAGAATTTCTATATACATTTTCTTATACAATTTTAAAAAATATATTTCTTAGATATACGTAAGTTATTTGATCAATTCTAAGTCTGTCCTTCGACGAATATTCGTGTAATAACAGCAAATAATTTTGAAGAAAGTGTACATAAAGAAGTTGTTCGTGTAGCGTTAAGATTAACAAACGGAATTATTTTGCTCCATTGCAGAACGGTTATGAGTTAACATTGGATTAACGAGAAATTTATTATCCGATCTTCGTGTCTAATGTTGGTTGGTTCTTATGTATATTTCAATCGAAATTACTAAATTAATATATTTAAATGCACAATGTAGGACGTAAATCATAGGAATAAATTTATTAACGCGTAATAATCATTGAAAAGAATTTCATGAAATGTTTCGAAGAAGGTTCCTTTGTTCGAAAAAAAATTGTGGCCCTGAAAAGGGCCGGTTTGTTTAGCAATCGTTGATAATCGCACGTCGACGCAAATTTCTTTCTTAACCTCCAAAACCGTACAGAGTGCGTCCTTGCCTCTTCAACGCATAGACGACGTCCATAGCCGTTACAGTCTTTCGTTTAGCATGCTCCGTGTACGTAACTGCGTCACGAATTACGTTTTCCAGGAAAACTTTCAGCACGCCACGAGTTTCCTCGTAAATTAATCCAGAAATACGTTTGACACCACCACGACGAGCCAAGCGACGAATAGCTGGTTTCGTGATACCCTGGATATTATCACGAAGTACCTTCCTGTGACGCTTCGCTCCTCCCTTTCCCAATCCTTTACCACCCTTTCCACGACCAGTCATTTTTCAACTCGCTCGATATGATGATGAAAATATTCGTAGAAGACGAAACGTGTTCTGACGCATCGAGTACGAAAGCCACGCTTTTATAGACGAGACAAGGTTTCTAGCATCCCCTCTCTTACCACGCTAACCAATAGCGTGCGTTTGAAGGAACCGCGTACTCGCACGGTACCTGGCCGAAGGAAGGGGAGAGCAACCGGCTACGAGATGTTTGTCCGAGCAAAAAGAAGGGCCGCGCATAAATCAATACGACAGAAACAATGAAACGGTTAAACATCGAACGAAAGAACGAAATGGCGATCGAAAGATGTATCGCGTTCAATTTTTATTATCTCTTTTTGCATAGTGAGTAACTTTATTAGTTGCAATACAATATGGTATAATATAATATAAGTAAAATATATATTTCGAGTTACAAAGTATGATTCGTTGTATTTTTTACGATATATGAACTGTGGAAATCTAGGTATATTTATTAGGAAATATAGTAAATCGGAGTTCGAAGGTAGAATTTCCGAATGTGGTGACTTGGAAAGTTTTCGAAAGCACGCTATCTGTATTTGCGAAGGCTCAATAATAGATTCTGGTAACGTGTTCGATCCACGATATAAAAGTCGAAACTCTCGTGAAAACTGCCGGTCTTTCGCTAGGACACATGCCGTCGCCGTAGCTCACGATGCCAACTTGTAGCGGTCTATTGTTCATTGTAACGAGCAGTGGTCCGCCGCTGTCACCCTGTACGATTATATTATTTCGATTGGTTAGTATCGAAAAATGTAGGACATAGAAAAAGAAGAGTTTCTGTAAATTTCTTCTACCTGGCAAGCATTTTGTCCGAAGTCATTTGCTGTACATATATTCCTATCGTCTATGCGCCAAAATTGATTACATTCGCCGTTACTGATTATAGGTAATACAGCGTATTTCAAAACTCTTGTACCGAAGCTATTCTGTCGATCCTTTCCCCATCCTACCACGTAGGCGTTCAGGTTCGCGAACGATTCCCCTTCCTCGTCGTAACTGGCCAGTCGTATCGGTTGAATTTTTTCTGAGAACACGATGCTCGGTTCAAATATTCATTGTTTATGTATTAGAACAATGAAATGATCCCGTTCGATAAAATACGTACGAGTGAACGGTATGTTTTGAGGCATGTATATCAAGCCAATGTCGTTGGTGCTCTGACGGTATCGCGGATGCGTTACGGCTCGCGTCGCGATCATCGAGACACCTGGGCCGTAATTAAAATTGTACCCTATGCCTGCCTTGTCGATGATTCCAAAAACGACGAGAAATTTATGCGGCAAACTAGCGACGCAATGCCCCGCCGTTAATACCCATCGTCTCGAAATCACGGTACCGCCACATTGAGAGATAGCACCATGGCCTAGCAATCGATGAACGACCGCCATAAAAGGAAACTGTTCGTCTTCGGCGTAATAACCGCCTGCTATCTTCTCTGTATCGTCTGTTTCGTCGATAGCATAAAACAACGCTTTCGTTGATTATATCGATGATTATATCGATGAACGAGCAAAAAAGCGAAAGTACTTACACGGGTCCGTTGAAAATGTCGATTCGACAACGTTCGCTTGGGCATCTTCGTTAACGGAAGATACATCGAGTGGATTTTTTTCAAGAATTTTCTCGCAAGCGCCGTAACGGAGCAACAGAAAGACGGACACTAGCAGAAAATGCATGCTGAACTGTTCGATGTCTCGGCATTTCTCCACTATTTATGGTATTTTCCATAATCGTGAAAATTACCCGAAGGGACACGTTTATCGGATTCCAAACTTTCGAATATCGGTTCCACGAAACGTCTCGATAGTAGATAGCACCGCAACGGATTGCAACGGTTTAATCTTTTATGTGATCATTTTCGAAATCGACGATATTTTTCAACGCACACCGATAGTTATTCGAACTTCGACAAATCTAATTGTCACGCCAAAGTATAATAGTTTCGAAGGTAGTTTTACGAGCGAAGGCGTTTCAGAGATCTTGGTTGGTTGATGAGGTGCAAAACGAACAAATAAACATTATTTTGCTTGTAATCGTGAGAAAAAAGTAGAAAATTTATTGCGTTTGTACAAGATTCGTTTAAAAATAATGGCCTGTAACGGATCGGATCCAGTCGATGTAACCGGTGATTCTGGAAAAAACGCCGGGTCTGTTGCTAGGACAATTCGCGTCTCCGTAACTGACGATTCCAATTTGAAGGGGAACACCGTTTTCTACTACGATTAGAGGACCTCCGCTATCACCCTGGAAACGTACAAGCAAGTTTTTACGCTTCTTTAGTTCGTCTAAACGTAAAGTTAGGTTAACATTCGTTTACCTGACAGGCATCTTGGCCGTAATTCGCTGCCGTGCACACGTGTTTCTTTGTTATACCCCAAAATAAGCTGCATCGAGAATTGGAAATGATCGGCAAGGTAGCATACTTCAATCTCTTTGTTCCTGTTCCGACGAATCGATCTTTACCCCATCCGATAACTATGCCCATTCTATTGACGAAACTGTCTTCGATATAGCTGCTACCAGCCAATTGAATCGATTGTATATTTTCTGGAAACGATAATAATTTGCTTAGTAAACATTTATAATAATGTATAAATAATAATAGTGAACGCAAAACCGATCGATATCCCTCGAGGAAGAACTTACCCGCGAACGGTATATTGCGTGGCATGTGCAATAAACCGATATCGTTTATCGTCGGTTTGAAAGCAGAATGCAGGTATGCTTTGTTGGTCATCATCGAAACACCGGGTCCTTTGTAGAAATTATATCCCATACCGGTCTTATCGTTTACCCCGAAGACAACGAGAAATTGTCGAGATGGATATGCTACGCAATGACCAGCCGTTAATACCCATCTCGGAGTAATGATGGTTCCACCGCATTGCGAAACCATTCCTCTGCCTAACAATCGATGCACTGCCACCATGAACGGAAACTGATTTTGCCTCGCGTATCGTCCTCCAAAGATCCTCTCCGTGTCCAGTTCGTCTACGTATTTCGTAATAAATATACACGCGTTATATTTATAGTATATTACTAACGCTACAATCAGCAAATGTCCTAATACGTTACACTTATAACAACTTATAGCCGGATCGTCTACGTACCATCCGTTGGTACTGGAAAATCCTCGACATCGCTATCGTCGTTCGCGACCGAACGATTGCTTTTTCCGATATTTTCCAACGAATTTAGCGACGTTGAACTACAACTAACGTCGCGGTCCAACGTTAGAGCAGCAACGAAGAGGAAGACGGTTGTTACGCTTGCCGAAATCATTGGTAAACTGTGTAAAATCTAGCCATCGCATTGCTATATATACATGCATACACCCGCTTTGTCTGCTTATCCTTTAAAAGGTATAACGGCACCTTTGCCGGGAAACTACGAGACCCGAAGGTAATTTAGGAAAGCTTTCGAATCCGCAAAAATATTCAAGCGCGTACTATTCGAAACTCGACCGTTGGGAACCGTTCGACCCGTCCCTAAACCCAGGGGTTCTCGTCCGTTCCTTTCCTCTTTTTCAATACCTGCCTACGACCTTGTAAAACGCTCCCTTTTTGCGACGCAGATGCTACGCAGATGTACGCGACCACTGCCTACAAATTCATTTGTTTTCGTTTTCCAAACGCTTATTAGTTATTTTCGCCTATTATTTATTATGTATACGTATGTCGTTTACAAACAATCGAAAAACTAGCTATCTACAGTTATATCAAATAAATTGTTCAAATAATTTCTCGCTTCGGGCTTATACGACACGCGTGTACCGTATGTACCGGCTATGTTCGCTTGACAATTTCGATATTCGAAAAGCTATAACTTTTACATTACACGAACTGTAGTCGAAACGTTTCGACGGTTAAACGCCAGCTTCGTATTTATCGTCGATTGACGCGATGTTACAACTGTTTATACTATAAAAGGGAACAAGTCCAAGTGTATTCGCAATACACTTACAATAAACGTTCACAATTACGCTACTTGGTAAATTTACATTGCTAAAGACATGGAAAAGACTAGTAAAATTTGGAAGAACATTAATTACAATTATTTATGTATTTATGTATTTATGTATTTATAAAGCTCTGAAAGAAAAGTTCATCCGCGTACAGATGTAATCTCGAGCAAAGGGCGATGAAATATCGATGGAACCACAGATTCGCCGTGGAAAAGTTTCTCTTTTTTGCATTAAAAAACGAGAGAGGTAGAAAAACCCCGACGGCCACGGGGGGTCAGGATTGTCTACTAAGACTCCTCGGTACGGCTAACGATAGATGATTCCTGCCTCGGACACCGATAAAATGCCTGTGAGAGACCAACTTCTTTTTTCCGCTAGCCGCTTGCAAGGATTTCAATAGAAAAACAGCCTTTTTAAGGACCATTAAATTTTACTTTTCCAAATGAAATGCTTCGAACGCTTTCGAACATTCCTTTTCCATTCACAATTCGTTTATAATACGAATAGAATTAACGATGCTTCGCGAAAATCATGCGCGAGACTATCAGAATAGTTTGATAAGTTTTTATTACAAAATATTCGGAACGATATAGTATTTTGTATTTTCCTAGTAAAAATGTTTAGTTCTGAATAAATTTCGAGAGATATGCTTTACAATTGTGATGGAAAAAAAACATGGAAAAACCCGGAGCTACGAGTGACGAAAAACCATGGCCTGCTTGAGAGGTCAGTTTTTGTTAACGAGCGGTTGATTTTTCGAGAAGAGAGACGGACGAGTCGATTCGAGTCCTAATTTTCGATAAGCCTCATTTTATTTTCCTCGTATCCTCCTTATTTTTTCTTCGAAATTCATTTCGACGTTTCTAATTCGTTAATCGTGCAATCAAATTCTTTTGTTTAATTTTCTTTTTTTTTCGTCGTTGTCGTTATTACAATCTATATGTATACTACATATGTACCATGGATCCCCTCTCTCGGTATTGTTCGCCGCACGGTGCACCAATCCGTAACGAAAACGCTTCTCCCCTCCACTCACGCATCGAACCAATCCCGCGTTTGTAGCTGCCGCGTTGGATAGCATATAAGCGCAACACGCTGCCTCGAAACTTACATTGCTGAACTTTCGGTCTAACTGAACATTTGGCTGTTCCGATAAACTCGAAAAGAAATGGCTCGTACGAAGCAAACTGCCCGCAAGTCCACTGGCGGTAAAGCTCCGCGAAAACAACTGGCGACAAAAGCTGCACGTAAAAGTGCGCCTGCTACTGGAGGAGTGAAGAAGCCGCATCGTTACCGACCTGGAACCGTTGCTCTTCGTGAAATCCGAAGATACCAAAAGAGCACTGAGCTTTTGATCCGTAAACTACCTTTCCAACGACTCGTTCGTGAAATCGCACAAGATTTCAAGACCGATTTGCGTTTCCAAAGTTCAGCAGTTATGGCACTTCAGGAAGCTAGCGAAGCGTATCTCGTTGGGTTATTCGAAGACACGAATCTTTGTGCTATTCATGCTAAGAGAGTCACTATTATGCCAAAAGATATTCAATTGGCACGTAGGATCAGAGGAGAAAGGGCTTAAATTCAAGCTCTAGTTTTTTTTTTTACAAACATCGGCCCTTTTCAGGGCCAACAAATATTTGTCTCGAAGAAACAACCTTGTTCTTTACAAAATACTTTACATGCAATAAAATGATTTCTCTGGCAGACATGCGAACAATTTTTCCGATGAGGAAATCGAATGGTGGAAAATAAATTTTGATACTTGAATATCATTAAATTAAAAGCAGTATACGTGTGTATTTTATACGAACGAAACAGTTTTATCCATGTAATTCGATATTTTATTTAACTTTTCAATTTATCTATATTTTTAATACCAAACAGTGTGGATACAAAAATAATGCTTGATTACAGAAAAATTCCGATTACATATATTACGCTCTCGGAAAACATCGTGGTTGTCGATGTTGGAAATGTCCGTATTTTTCCTTTTAACTGGCAATGAACATCTCGAAACATTCTTTTGTATTACTAAAACAAAAAAACTGATACTCCTTTTATGCGTAGAAAGTATTACATGCGGCGTGTTTTTCGAGGTCGTGAAGTTAAATTGTTTAATTACTAGTCGAATTTTGTTATTCCATAACAAAATACTATAAACTTACTTACGTTATGTTCATACATGCAAGTAAAATACGTAAAGATATTCAGAATTTTTAAGTATCTTAAAAATAAGCAATTAAATTAATTTATTTATAACAATCATATTTTACACCACCTAATTTTATTAATCTATCACATGTACTGTATTTTTTAAGGTTTCTTTAAATAATCTTTAACTTTCGACAGTTCTTGTATTTCGTAAGAGCAAATCTAATATACATGCACGTTGAACTGAACGTGTCAAACGTGAAAGTTGTAAATTGTCGCATTTCATCGTTTTACCAAATTATTTGACAGAAGTGTAATAACGTATTAATTTATAGTTAGTGTTGTTATTAAGGATGTTATCATATATTTAGTTTGCGTAAGATTGTAGAAATTATAAAATTGGTAAGAATAGAGGTTATATTTGAACTTCAAATGTACTTTCCTAGTGTATGAAATTTATTGTATTTCTGCTTATTAAATAATCATTCTACGGATATTTTATTTTGTTCCTTAATGCTTTTAAATAATTTTGTATGCAATCTCATTTGATAGGTCACTGATTAAATGAGAAGATGACATCCAAAAACAGTAACTGTATTGTATGGATAGACCTAGAAGTACGTATATTTCCTAGTCTAACTCGCGTAAATGTACAAAAATATTGCATCAAACATTTTTGTTTTAGTTATCTGGCTTAGATATTGAAAAAGATACAATTATAGAAGTTGCTTGTGTCATAACGGATAAGGATTTGAAGATAATGAGCAAAGAATTTAGTGTGGTGATTAATCAACCGGACACTGTTTTAGATGCAATGAATGATTGGTGTACAAAACATCATACCAAAGTAAATTAATTATTTTCCAACAAAGCAGTATTTTCATGTTAACTCGTATATTGATTAATAAACTCTGTGCATTTACAGTCAGGTTTAATAAAAGAGTCTCGATCTAGTCCAATTAGTTTAAAAGCAGCAGAACAGTTATTACTGAACTTTTTAAGTAGCTACGTTCCAAAAGGATCTTGTCCACTAGCTGGTAACACTATTTATCAAGATCGTATATTCCTATTTAAACTGATGCCACTCGTTAATGATTATTTACATTACCGAATTATCGACGTTAGTTCAGTTAAAGAACTTGCCAGGTACTTGCACTTGTAACGGTTATATAAGTTTTTGTGCACTGTATTAATAATATAATATTTATATTTATTTGAAATTTATTTTAGACGATGGAATCCAACAATTTATACAAATTCACCGAGAAAGAAATTTTGCCATAGAGCTTTAATGGATATCAAGGAAAGCATACAAGAACTACAGTATTATAAGGATAAATTATTTATACCTGATCCATCCTGTAGAACATGATTTATTATTAATAAAATATAGCAAATTGAATATTTTTATTGGAAATTTTTTTTTTTAACTTCCTCTTAAAAGTGACAATTTATTTGGAAAAATTATTTTATAATAGTTGTTTTTATCGTATTCAATTAATCACTTTTGTCCTCTTATATATTATACTCTAAAGAATTTAATATAATCGTGTATTTACTGAAAATATTGTATTATGGTAAGTGTTGAATAAAACAACGTTTAAAATGAGTTAAAATTTACAGATGTTTCGATTTGTATTAATTTTGGTTAATAGTAAAGTGTATTTATCACATTATCATTATTTAATAAGAATACGATAAATTTACGTTTTTTTAAGTATTCAATTATTTTGTTAGTAGTTTTACAGATAATTTGATGCAAGAGACCTCTGTCGAAATTTATGCGAACCCCAGTATTTAAATCTTTCAACGGTTAGCATTGCGAGGAAGCGTTTGTACACAATATGAAAAGTACCGTGTTTGTATGCGAAAAACAAGCGTGTAAATAGAAAAATTACAGTCGAACAAAGTGTGAAGATTTAATTCATAAAAATGAACGACACTCGTAATTCAAAGAAGGAGAAGAAGCAACATATACAAGTTTACATTCGTGTCAGGTAAATGATTAGATTGTTAGATGTGTATACAATTTTTTATATTAAAATATAATGGTATATTGATATTATTCTATTTCGTGTTAGACCGATAAATGATTCTGAAAGAATTGGAAAATCAGTAACAGTTGTGGATATTCCGTCTAATAAAGAAATAGTCGTTCGAGATAGATCACCGTACGATAAATTCACGAAGAAATTCACTTTTGACAAAGTATTTGGACCTAACTCGAAACAAGTAGGTATTCCAGTCCAGTTAAGAGTATTTCAGGACCTTTAATTTATTAATAATATACTTTCAGTTAGAAGTATACAATGTAGTTGTCAGTCCATTAGTGGAGGAAGTTTTGGCCGGATATAATTGTACAGTGTTTGCTTATGGTCAAACTGGTACAGGGAAAACTTTTACCATGGAAGGAACAAATAATGATCCATCATTACATTGGCAAAAAGTAAATTTAGTCTATTATTTTTTTTTCTTCCTTTATTAATGTCAATAAATGATATAAAAGAGAATATGTAACACATAGGACACCCTCGCTGGAATCATACCACGTGCTTTAAGTCATTTATTCGATGAACTGCGTATATTAGAGGTACAAGAGTATTCGATAAGAGTCAGTTTCTTAGAATTATATAACGAAGAAATATTTGACTTATTATCTCCTAGCGATGAAGCTGCTAAGATAAGGTAACTATATATATAAAATTTTTATAATGTAAAGTTTGTTATAATTAAAAATATATACATATACTTTTTTTTAAGGATATACGAGGATCCAACCAAAAAAGGTTCAGTGATAGTACATGGTTTAGAAGAAATGCCAATTCACACTAAAATTGAAGTATTCAAAATTCTTCAACGAGGTTCAGAGAAAAGACAAACAGCAGCTACATTGATGAATGCTCATTCAAGGTTCATATCTTAGATCAGGGTTTTCCAAATTTTTATGAACCCTAGACCTACTTTCGAAATCAGTAATTTTTCGAATAAAAATATTACATTATTACTCTCAAATTCTATATACTTTAATATTTAACGCGATTCATCAGTGGGTCGGGACTCACGCTTTGGCAATCTCTGTTCTAGATAATAATGTATCTATTGAACTTAGTATAATTCAATATTTAATATTAATATAATATTAGTAAAATCCATTGTTCATTTCAGTCGTTCTCACACAATATTTTCTATTACCATTCATATAAAGGAATATACTATAGACGGTGAAGAATTAGTAAAGACGGGAAAACTAAATCTAGTTGACTTAGCGGGTAGTGAAAATATTGGGAAGTCTGGTGCCGTTGATCGAAGAGCGAGAGAAGCAGGCAATATTAATCAGTCTCTGTTAACATTAAGTCGAGTTATAACGGCGCTTATAGAAAAAACTCCACACGTACCATATAGGTAATACTTGCAGAAATTTGAATTTAATACTTATAAAGTCTGGTTAGATCTCGAAATTTTTTACTTTTATTTTCTTGTATATAGAGAATCGAAGTTAACGCGGCTGCTCCAAGAATCATTGGGTGGACGTACGAGAACTTCGATAATTGCAACAGTGTCTCCTGCCAGTATTAATCTTGAAGAAACCTTGTCGACTTTGGATTATGCACATCGTGCGAAAAATATAACGAATCGACCTGAAATTAACCAAAAATTTTCTAAGAAAGCATTACTTCAGGAATACATAGCAGAAATTGAAAAATTAAAAAAAGATTTATTAGCAACTCGTGAACGTAATGGTATTTATTTAAATCCAGATAGTTACAACGAGATGCAATCATTAATAGAATTACAGAGTAAGGAGATAGAAGAAAAGTTACATTACATTAAAGCGCTCGAAGAAGCTATGCATTTTAAGGAGGTAATTATTTACATTGGAAGATATATTAAATTCATAATGATTTCTTATTACTTGATACGCTAAAAGATATATTAATTGTTGGTTTAGCAACTGTTCAACAAATTAAAATCTAAGAATTCTGAACAAGCACATGAGCTACAAAATACAACAAATCAATTGGAAAGTACAGTAAATGCATTGATGATAACATCATCGTATTTGGCAGTATCGGAACAAGAGAAAGAAGAGCAAAAATATCTTGTTGAAAAACATGCTTCTACGGAAAATATTCTCCTGTCGCAAGTACAAAAGGTTTTAGATGTCGCTGATACAGCTACCGCAGATGTACATAAACTTCATGATAAGGTTTTTCGTAAAATGTAAGATATTTCATATGAATTTCAAGTTATTTGTAAGAATTTTAGTTACTAATTATGTATTTATAGACAAGTAGGGCAACAAAATAACTGTCTTGGACAACAGTTCAAGAAATATATTAAAGATCGAATTGTAAACATCGAAGCTGATGTTTCAGAACAGGCGGAGACTTTGATCAAATTCTGTACCTTTGTGAAAGAAAATATTGGTAAGAGAAATAAGTAGTGGAAATACCAAATTTTTACATTAAGCTTAAACTTACCATTTTGCGTTTCCAGATGCGCAATCTATTTCACTTAACGAAGCTATTGATAAGTCGATTCAAACGATATCCGGAAGTCTTGTTAATTCCGTGCAAAATATAACCGATGAACTAAAAAGGAACATAAATGATGCTGTAAATGATTATATTTATTGCACGTCTAATAATATTAATTTTAATGATAACAATTACAAGATATATATATATATTTTTTTTAGAATTTAAAGCATCAACAATGGTTTGAAGATGAGATAAAAAATGTTACGACCGTAGCAGACAAAGAACGTAGGGTATCAAAACACATGTTCAGTATTACAGAGAAAATTAAGCAATTACTGGAGAATAAAATAGCCGAAAATTGTCACGTTTTAAATGCCGATACATCTTGTAAAATCGACAGTTTAACGGAATCTGCAAAAGAATTAATTACATCAATATTTATATATTCGAACGAGAAGTGTGATCGTTTAAATAACAATATTGAAGAAGTCAAAGAAAACATTGAAAATATTCGGCAGAGTCAAAATACTGTTATGAAAGAACATGCAAATTTTGCAAAGGTACGTGATTTGTACAATTGATAAATTGTTTTATTTTTAAGATTGTATACTTGTAGGTAATGGAAGATTTACAACGCTGTTTTAATGAGCTACAAAAAGAAGAGAAAGAAAATTATTCCTTGACGCATGATGCGTTAAATGATATCGATGAAACGTGTAGTATTGTAAATAACCAGATTTCGAATACTTGCCGTATAAATATAGAAAATGGAAATCATGTACAAGAGAAACTTCAAGATAATTTAGAAACAGTGAAACGAGAGGTTGCAGTGGAAACGGAAAAGGCAAGAGTTGTTGAAATTGTTAGATGAATATACACTTTTTATTTTCTCATATTAATGGGATCGTGTCTCGCAGGCGTGGACATTAACGGAAAATACTGTCGCACAAAGTAAAGTGTTAATAGATCAATTTCAAGCATATTTAGGCAAAAATTGTGATACAGTTGCGAATTACAAAAATTGTGTGGAGCGTAGTATAAGAGAATTGGAGCAGAAAATGGAAGAAGATAAGAGCCCCCTTTTATCGGCAATTAATGTAAGCTTGAACATAGTATCAAAGTTAGTATTAAAATTCTTTTATTATGTATCATAGTTTTATTTTAATGTTTATAATTTATAGGACGTTTATATGACAGTTTATAACGCAAGCGATAAACACGCAAAGTGCTTAAATATTTGTAAAACAGCTTTCATGAACGTGTGTATGGAAGTAAGTAAAAAACTTGAATATGAAAATACGAGTGCAGCAAACACGAATAGTAGGATTATCGCAGAAATACAATCGATACGTAATCAGGTTGACAAGTTTTTCGTCGAGGATCTGTTTCGCGATGTTCCAACAGGTATGATTTTATTTATATTTTCTTTATATCACATAACTGAAAGTTATTTGTTTCGTTTGAAATAAATAGGATATACTCCAGTAAGGAAAAGCTTTCAATATCCAAGGAAACTTATTAAAACATCTCCTCCTGAACGAATTCTTAATAGATATAGAGAAGCACTTAAAGAAATTAACGATGATAAAGAACACGAAGTAAGTAATATAAATTGATGATACTAAAGAATATATAGTAACATTATATTATAACACATTAATCCTTTATACGAGTATGGTAAGTGTAATATAATATAAAATATAATTCAATTGCTTTCTAGACAACTTTTGCATTGAACAATAACACAGAAATAAACAAAACTGTGAATGCAACCTGAGAAATTGATTTGAGCAAAAAAAAAAAAACTTTTATGATATATGTAATATTTGGAAATCCGATATATGTAATTTTGTATGTATTTTATACAGCTTACGACGAAATAAAATTAAATGTATCATGTTCAATTGCAAACATGATACTGTGACAAATCTTTTTAAACAATATTTATCCTTACCAGTAAATAAATTATCATTTTTTTTATTACATTAAACTATAAATAAAATACATAAATGTTGTTTGTTTCTTAATTCCAATTATTAATTTTCGTAAATATGTTCTTATACCAGTCATCGTAATCAATAATTAATATAACATAAAATGGTAAGGTTTAAATGTAAAGTTTAAATTGGACGTTCGTATTCGAATGTTCAGTACTGCGAGATAAATCGTATCAATTTGAATTGCGACCATCAGTGTAACTATGAAATGTAACTTGCTTTGTACACCTTGTATTATAAATCTTCGAATCTTCAGATTCTCAGATTTCTAATTTTTTAACTCTAAATTTTCCATAATCGTTTGGTCATGCTGCTGTAAAAATGAACTATATACATGCGTGCATATTCTTTTTTCTACGAGAAGAGTGATTGTACATGTCCGGGATAGTATACTAGGTCTGTTTGATTGAGGCACACCGCGCCTAACCTAACAATGTTGAGCGAGCGAGTAAATTTCACGCTAAAGCAAAAATAGTCAACCGTGTCATCCAATTGAATTGGTTCAGTAGTGCATGAAGTGTTCAATACAACAGTATTTTTCAGAGATATGCTATAAATGTTCATTACAGTACCTAATTAAATTCAATTTTGCATTACAGTCTACGGGGATATGGTTTTTCGGTAATTATTCCTCAGTGGCATGCGCGGGCGGCGCGCAGGAGGAATATATACGATAATGAGTATGCAAAATCGTTAATTACTCACTTTCTGAACACAGTCTATGAACTTTTATGATTAAAGAATGGTCACCAATGCATTATTTACATGGTTCGACCATAAAAGTTCATAAATAATGTCCGGGTAATGAGTAATTAATTATTTTGTGTCAGCATTGCGATACGTACATGAGCCGCCTATGTCAATTCTACTGCGCATGCAAAGTGCAATATTTCGGCACTTTGACGACGTAGTATGGTTCCTGAGGCATTTAGAAACAAATTTCTATTAGGGTTTGATGCGTTTTGATGCATAATAAAGCCAGAAAATCAATTTTTGTCGAATTAGGTCCAAAACGGTACAGGTGGCGCCATCTAGCGGCGAGCGGCGGAACCACGAAAAACTAAAATTTTGATTTTCTCCGAAATTAGGCAATTTTACGTATTTCTGAGGGTCAGAAATTGTTCTGTGGCCTCTCTAGAACTGAATGTAATTATAGCCTGCTAGGATAATTATTAAGGGAAATAGAAAAATAGCCCAATTCATGGACTAAAAAATTGGCGTCCATCTAGCGGTGAAAGTTGGAACTACAAAAACATAAAAATGCAATTTTCTCGAAAATTAGCGTACTTTGAGTCCTTCCGAGGCTCAAAAAGTGTTATGTGATCGCATTAGAAGCAAAATAAAGCAATAAAAGTTTCCTAAAGGCTTTAATAAAGAAAATAAAAAAAATATAATTTTATGGAGAAAATTTGTGGCGCCATCTAGCGGTGAACCTGCGAACTAAACTGAGAAAATCGTATGCCCCATCTAGCGGCGAAACTGCGAACTAAACTGAAAAAACGTATGTCCGAACACGCGTTTAGGGGTCAAGTAAAAATTGATTTTGTGGGCTTAATAGGCAAAAAAATGAATAACTTATCCAACAAAAATCGCTTTAAAATGTCTAAAGAAGCATACTACGTCGTCAATGTTGCGAAATATTGCTTTTTATATTTTTCCTTAACGCGTATTGGGGCATACGTTTTTTCAGTTTAGTTCGCAGTTTCGCCGCTAGATGGCGCCACAAATTTTCTCCATAAAATTACATTTTTTTTATTTTCTTTATTAAAGCTTTCAGGAAACTTTTATTGCGTTATTTTGCTTCTAATGCGATCACATAACACTTCCTGAGCCTCAGAAGCACTCAAAGTTCGCTAATTTTCGAGAAAATCGCATTTTTATATTTTTGTAGTTCCAACTTTCACCGCTAGATGGACGCCAATTTTTTAGTCCATGTTTTGACCTATTTTTTTATTTTCTTTTCTAGCGCTCTGAGAAGGCTCTGGTGGCAATATATAGGCTCTAGAGAGGCCACAGAACAATTTCTGACCCTCAGAAATACGTAAAATTGCCTAATTTCGGAGAAAATCAAAATTTTAGTTTTTCGTAGTTCCGCCGCTCGCCGCTAGATGGCGCCACCTGTACCGTTTTGGACCTAATTCGACAAAAATTGATTTTCTGGCTTTATTAGGCATCAAAACGCATCAAACCCTAATAGAAATTTGTTTCTAAATGCCTCAGGAACCATACTACGTCGTCAAAGTGCCGAAATATTCATATTTTTATTTTCCGTATATGCGTGTTCGGCCCCTCGTTTTTTAGTTTTAGTTCACCCGTTTCGCCGCTAGATGGACGCCAATTTTTTAGTCCATAAACTGCATTATTTGTAATGTGAGCAAATTCAATTTTTACATTGAAGTCTATGAGGATCAGTTTATTCGGTACTTATTCCTCCGTGGCAAGTCCGATTTAAAATTTTTTTTTCTATGTCCATCTGGATGTACATACGCATGTGCGTGCAAAATTTGATGAGAATTGGTTGAGTGGTGTAAAAGCAAAACGCGGACAAAGAAGTTGCAAAATCAAGTGTATAATAATTGATACAAGGGATCAGATCTAATCCTCATGAAAACTTTGTGCCTATACTGGACAAAAATCCTAATTGCACCAACGATCACTCGTGTTTGCGCCGAGTCGAATTCCAATAAGTCGAATAGTATCGAATAGTATCGAATTCAATTGCATCGATTCGTTCGTTTAGTTTAAACACACCTTGAGATGTAATGAACTCGTGGATAGCGGTGTGTACGATATGGCGTGGATTGTTTTTGTTGCGGCATTCTGTCAAGTTGCAAGATCAATTTGACACTTCGCAATGCGAAGTGTTCGTGATATTATTAAAACATGGGCTTTTTGGAGGATACATTCGTGATTCTTGTTACACAGGTGGAAATATATTTCCACTAATAGAAATTTAATCCTAGTGGGATTTTTAGATATTATACTATTAGGTTACGAACGTATAATTCTCTTTTGTTGAAAACTACAATTATAAATGTTTATGTTACTTGAATAAGTGTTTCTGTTGATATTAATAACATTTTCAAAATGAAATACATTAGAGATATGAAATTCTTTGAAACATTTTGATACCGAATGATACTGATTATTGAACTAAATTAACTATTTAGGACATTGTATGTGTCATCATAAATTTGTGTTATTGTATTAATTAAGATGTAAATGTAATTTATGTTATCTGTATGAATATTGATACTGCCCTAATAAATCTGGTGGTTTAAAATCGTGTGATTCATTTTGTAAAGAAACTAAATGGATTTGATTATTAAATTTTAATAATATGTTCGATTATGTGCAGTCAAGCTTCATAGTTTTGTTTATACTTCATTTTCTATTGATTTATATTACATATTTCAGGTGATTTTCTTCTTAGGAGGATGGGTATTTTTTGTAAAAAAGTTATTTCGGGATTACGAAGTTCATCATAGATTAGTACAATTAATTTTCTCCACAACGTTTTCATTGTCCTGTACTATGTTTGAGCTAATTATTTTTGAAATAGTAGGAGTTCTTGATTCTAGGTAAGGAAACAAGTCCCTCTTTATTGAACACTAATAACAATATCTGTTTAGTTCTAGATATTTTCATTGGAACGTTGGTCTTTATATGCTTCTCTTTATGGTAATTGTTCTGATTCCATTTTACATAGCATACTTTATTATCAGTAATATTAGATTTGGTATGTATCTCAAATACGTTGGCATAATGTTGATTATACTATCAGTTATTGACTTTAATTTATTTTTGCAGTAAGACTGAGATTAATACGACCATTAACGGTTATTGTATATCTTTTTTACCTTTACTTGTTTTGGAAAGTGGGAGATCCTTTTCCAATTTTAAGTCCAAAGAAAGGTCTTTTATCTATCGAACAAGGTGTTAGTAGAATAGGAGTTATCGGCGTTACCGTTATGGCACTGTTGTCAGGATTTGGTGCTGTTAATTATCCGTACACCTCGATGGCTTATTTCATGAGGCCAGTAACATACGCCGATGTTCAGGCTATAGAGAGACGGTTATTGCAAACAATGGACATGATTGTTGCTAAAAAAAAGCGGATAGCACTAGCTAAAAAGGGAGAAGTGGTAGGACAGACTGAAGCTCGTTCTCGGCTTTGGGGTATGCTCGGGCCTTTAAGCGGTACTAAAAGTAATCAAGAGAGTATGTACGATATCCTTTTATTTACGCGATATATGTATAAAATAATGAATCATATAGTGATCACAATATTTCCAGGTATTAAACAGCTACAAACAGAAGTCATGGCACTAGAAGAATTATCCAGACAGTTATTTTTAGAGGCACACGATATTCAGATCGCAAGAGAACGCTTAGAATGGGCTGCTACTTGGCAAGGAAAATATTTCAATGTTTTAGGATATTTCTTCTCTGTATATTGTACGTGGAAAATATTTATCGTAAGTACTAATGTCGAAGGTATTTTTAAGAATCTTGTACCGAGTCGTTCGACGTTCAATCTTTGACTTTTTAGTCAACGATTAATATAGTTTTCGACCGTGTCGGCAAGAAAGATCCTGTAACTAGGGCAATCGAAATCGCAGTACATTGGATGGGTTTCAATATTGATGTTACATTCTGGTCGCAACACATTTCCTTTTATCTTGTTGGTTGTATTGTTCTTACGTCAATCCGTGGTTTATTATTAACCCTTACAAAGGTACACTTAAACTTCTAATTAGTTTTTGTTTTTATTAATATATAACATTCTTAATATTGTTCATTTCAGTTTTTTTATGCTATATCAAGTAGCAAATCATCGAATATTATTGTGCTTATACTTGCTCAAATAATGGTAAGATTTTTCTCTGGTCGATATAGATAAAAATACCAGAGGTCTTTTTGTAAATGAAGTGGTTGTTTTTTTAATATACATAGGTTTATATCTTTTCAGGGAATGTATTTCGTATCTTCGGTACTTTTAATGCGAATGAATATGCCTGCTGAATATCGAATAATAATAACTCAAGTTTTAGGGGAATTACAGTTCAATTTTTATCATAGATGGTTCGACGTTATTTTTTTGGTATCTGCTTTATCGTCAATCGTGTTTTTGTACTTAGCTCATAAGCAAGCACCGGCAGAACGTATTTGATTCAATAGAACATTGTTTTTTTTCGTTTATTTAATTAAATCAAGATATTTTTTTTGTTTTCGTGTTTACAATTCTATTACAAAATCTTTTTCTGTAATAAAATTTGTTTTTCTAGTTTAAAAATCTATTTTAAAAAAACAATTAATTCGATGTATTAAGTATTTGAATATTTTTTCTCTAGATATATGTTGAACATTTATATTTCTAATACATACGATGTTTTGTTGACATGCATAATTATAAGCTTCAAAGATTGAATAATGATTTTACAATTTTACTATTTGATCAAACGGAAATAGCTTCTTTTCAAACTTGTCAAAGTAATAAATATATCATTTACATTAACTCTACGTTGTATTTGTTCTTTTGCGGTATACAATGATATTTTGATCACAGATAGCTGACAAAATTACGTGAATAGAAAATTGGCATTACTGTATGATTACTGAATGTACGATGAATAAAAATGCAATTTTAATGGATTAGTTCGATAGTCCATTCTTCTCCCATATTTACACCCGGTTTACGCACAGTTAATACATTATTATTTGGATTGTATTTAGTTTCCAAGGTAACTTTTCCCAAATCTGAAAGAAATGTAATTTCAATTATAACTGAACAAGTTTCGCATCTCGGTACATAATTGAAAGGAAGGTAACGATGTAGATGTTTATAGAAGAATACATAGGAATTTACGGATGCAGGAGCGTTTACGAGGGGATATACGGATGTATCGATATAGGGACTTATGAATAGAACGATGTAAGAATTTCGGGATATACATCTCGATGTAATGTATGTTTCATTTTTTATAATATAGATTTCAATTACTTACTGCGCGAAGTTAATACAGCCGATTTAACTCCTTTAGGTGGATTTGCGATGTCTACCCTTTCTAACCAGCTCTCCGTTTGATACGAAGCTAATTTGTCTATGAACGTGGAAGTTAATTTATTCCCTTCAAAATTAAGTTTCAAATATAGATATTTTCCATGGCGATATTCGAAACTGGTCTCGTCATCGATGTACAAGGTGCCGTTTGCTTTACCAGAAGAATCCGTTATCACTACCAAAGTGTATGGATCGTTTTTCATCGCGACCGTGCTACGGCGTATTCTCATTTTACGCGGAACGATGGAACCGCCTCTTTGGAATACCGGAATTTTGTGAAGAGTTACAGGAACACTGACCAAGCCTGGCTGACGATACGGTTGCATGGTATCAACATCGTACCAGGTTATTTTGCCTTCTCCAGGGAAGTATACGTTAACATCCGTAACGGATGGCTGAAAGACTGGACGTACGAGTATAGAATCACCGACTAATATTTCATCGTCGATGGCGTAAGTTTCTGTTTCGCTCGGATAATGAGCCCATAGGGGTCGTATCACAGGGACACCAGTTGTTTCATGCTCCCGGAAAAGCGTATACCATAATGGCAAATAGGAATATCTCATTCTGAAGGCTTCCCTGACCAGTTGAGTAGTTTCATCGTTATATGTCCAAGGTTCGCGTCGTTTGGTTTCGATGTGGGAATGCTGACGATAGAAAGGAAGCCAGGCACCAGCTTGATTCCACCTTATAAACAGTTCAGAATCCGGATTTTTGAAGAAACCTCCAACGTCCGCACCACAGAACGACATTCCAGAAACAGCCATGCTAAGACACATTGGATAACTGATACGAAGATGCTCCCACTCAGCTGTATTGTCTCCGGTCCACATAGCCACATAACGTTGTGATCCGGCAAAGAATGATCTTGTTAGAATAAACGGTCGTAGAGTGCCTCCTGATCTTCTGAATAAAGCTTCGTACGTTAACATGCCCATGAGAAATCCATTGATATTGTGAACGCTTCTGTGTTCCCAGCCACCGTGATGGATTACATCTTTAGGCATAGTTACTTCGGGACCGTTAAATACGCTTGGTTCGTTCATATCGTTCCAAATGTACACATCATTAGTAGTACCATGGAATTTATCCAAGCTATATTGATTGATATAATATTCTTGTACTAGTGGATCAAAGAAGTCTAAATATGATGCCGCTCCCGGCCAACACCATCCTTCGTAATCCTTTCCATCTCTCGTTTTAACGTAATAACCGAGTTTCGTTGCATCATTATGAAGGAAATAACTGTTATCGCGTTTAATATGCGGGTCGATGATAACAACCAATTTTCTACCCTTTGCGGTCAAGTTGTGTATCATTTCGAGAGGATTTGGGAATTTACGTTCGTCCCAAGTGAAGTATTTTTTACTATCGGTGTATTCGATATCTAGCCACATAACATCTAGAGGTAGATCATGCACGTCAAAGTTCTCTGCTATTTGTATCACGTCATCCTGATCGTTGTAATTCCAACGAGACTGGTGATATCCTAAAGTGAACATTTGCGGCAAAGGTGCTGTGCCCGTTAAGCCAGTGTACTGTTTAAATACGTCTAAAGGCTTAGGGCCTAACATGAAGAATACATCGATTACGCCGGATTCTGACATGAAGTGGGCATCCACTTGTGACTTTTTGCTAGAACCAGATACCAAATTTACGATACTTTCTACGACGTTATTGTCTGCACTTGATAAAATATCGATCCATGTTTCGGCAACATTGTGCCAAAAAATACCGGTCGTTCTCTCTTTACCGTGAGCATAAAGAACAGGTATTGCACCGTAAAGTGACATTCTTTCGTTGACCTCGTATTCGAATACGTCTAAATTATACAGTCTGTACGGATGAGCTTGTTTAGTTGATTTTAATGCAAAAGAATCGGCATGTTCTGGTACACCGTACGCGTATTCCGCTCCTGGGAAGCTAAAATCTAAAGCAACAGCCTCTGGACCAAACGGTTTCGAGTCATGATGAGTTTTGAAATTTTCTTCCCATGCACCTGGATCACTTTCTGCTCCGTCGCCCGGAGGTTGCTCATTATTCGCTACATCGATATTTTCTGCAGTTTCTTCTTCTTCGGGTTTCCTATAGAAAACGAATGAACATTCTTTACCAAACTTTATTAAACCATAGAAAAGTACAATATAGCATTCGTAGTTATATCAATATACTTAGGCTTTGCACGATGATGCTCGTATCTCATGAGTCCTCTCGCATTGGCGGACACAACTAACGTATCTTGAGAATACAAGTCCATTCTAAATGGATTAGCATATAATATAACTTTGTTATCTCCATTTGTTACAGTTACTTGATCTACAGTTTTTTCGACCAGTGTCAACTCGGATGTTTGAGGTTGGTCTTGAAGAGCATGTTCAGGTTCATATCTGGGACGTAAAGGATTCTTTTCGTTGATACGGAGTCTGAATGTATTATTTTTCAACGCCGTCAATTGCAACGTATAGAGAATCCACGTATCCTTATTAAATAAATCTATGCTTATACTGGATCGATTATTAACCAACGTGTCTAACCGCAGTTGATACGGCGTTTTTCCAGGTTCAACTTTTCTGCAGCGTCTAATGGCACAATATAAATTGGGTGTTTTATGGGGTTTCAAGTAAATAAAGCAGACATTTATAGAGACAAGGTTAAGGATTTACCTGCAAAAACTGCTTTGGTCGCATGTTTTAAACGTATCCCTATTGACTGCGTCAACAAGAAAGGAAGAACAGACCAATACTAATAGTAATGCCACCCTATAATATAAAGAACTGAATATTTAAAACATTAAGTTATGAATGGTAGGTTAAATTTTATTTTGGATTAATCGGAGAACGAGTTGAAGAGTATTTAACATCGTACTCCCGATTTATCGAAAACTATTTTTTAACGATAAATTTGTTTTTCTTGTGTACGCTAAACATATTGCAACGGTTTCGTAAATAAGGTTGTTAAAATAGAATAGTGTTGCATGTTGTATTACTAAAAAAAAAATCATTTATATCAAATACGATGTTATCATGGACACGTCAGCGTGATCATGATTGAACTGTAAAAAAGTAAACACTAGAAGAATAACGTTTACACCTTCGTGTCCATGAAAATCGTTAAAAGCGAAATATTTCGTGAGTTAGAGCTGTTCGTGAAAGAAAAGTTAGTTTCAATTCTTGAAGGTTAAAAGGCCGAAAATAATTAACTTACCGCACGTATGAAGCCATGTTGAAAAGTAACGTTTGCTATGCCGCGTTCTTACTAATTCGAATGAAATATAATCGATCGCATAGATGGAGTCCTGTTACCTACCAATCATTGTCGGTAAATTACTTTTTGAAATAATAATTTTTGAAACATTATATATAATTTTATTTATCGTTTAATTTTTGTTCGGAATATCGAATTGTTAATAATGTATGTTTTTCCGTAAAGTGCTGAATGAAATTCTTGAAATATAATATACATAGTATACATATATATTTAAAACATAATGTTTAGCAATTTTTTTGATAAATTTTTTGAGAAAATTTATTGTTGAATAGTTACATATTGTATAAATTAATAATGAACGGGTAATTTCGTGTTACTGATGGCACGTTTTCTTTATATAACATCGCACATTTAATTTATTTGAATTACAAGAGTAATGGCATTCAGTCGGCAGGGAAAATACAATCCTATATAACTATATTACACGATATAGAAGTTTGGCACTCGGATCCGTTCACTTCGGGGATGTAAAAAAGCCTAACTTTTCTATTATACGTATTCGTTAATTATTAACACACGATTTTCTTATCCTGTTTCATCACACGATCGAAACTATTACATTAATAATTATAATATATTATGAATTTGCGAAACAGTGTTTTCTATGCCGCGTAGTGTACATATGTCATATATTTATACATACATGTACATATAATAATAATAATAATAATAATAACAACTGTCGTTTATTATTATCATTATCGCTATATTAACATCGATTTTAGAGCGTTTTCATCATTACGTTGTATCTAAAGTTTTAACGAAATCATGATTAAGGTCACTGTGAATTTGCGCAGGCCTAAAAGAGATACAACGTTAAATACTTACTGACAGATTAGCGAGCGATTTATTAAATTTGTCATAATACTGAAGAGATCGAGCGAATCGATATCGAGTTCGAATTAAAACTGTCAGTTTATGGGTAATCCGGGTGATCATGAATTTATGAAATATTCGGTTAAAGAAAAATTCTTCAATTATCCGAGTATCCGAGAGATACTCGAACTTTTGTGGCTCGTGATTCGTGACAGATCGTTCTTTTCGTTGTTTCGTAACAAAAGTAAAAAGTTGCGACATTATCTTTGTATTTGAACGAAAGATTTGAACTCGATCGGTAAGAATTCGATAGATCGACGTATGTGATACAGAATCGATAGAAAGTACGCTTGCAACACGCAAAAAGATATGTGCGATAACTCGAGTGTTTCTGTTGCATTGGTATGCTTCGAACGCACATGTATATGCATTCTTAAAAAAGTTGCGAATAATTTTTATACATTTTTTACGCGCGCGTGTGTGTATACGTATATAAATCCGAAATAGTCAGTTAATCTTTATAATACTATTCTTTTTACAAAATTTTACGTACAGGTATGTATATTGTTTCGTTTTTGGTTTATGTCTCTAGATTAGATGCTCCCGGTTTTTCTTTTCAATGAATATTCGTGTGACACCATCGGTGTTCCGGCTCTGCGATTCGACGATTTACTTTATTCTTTTATTCTTGTTAAGGTATTACCCGAAGGATGAACACCGATGTAGAAACATTTCGATTCGACGCCGAGTGAAGAAGAAAGGCCGCGAACTGGCCACTGTGCAGGCCTCGTGGGAAATATTCTTACACAAGATTCGGTAATCTCTTAGGCACATTCGATCCAATAATAATCGATGATACAGTTTCGACTTTTGTATCTCTTTACATTTAGTAAGTCTAATTGTTCGAGATTTCGAAAGATTCGTGGCCACTAGCTCGATTCACCGCGAATCACTTGGTACGATCTCCGTCACGATATAGCTAAGTTGTAAATGGAAATTCTTGTTAAGCGACGTCCAACGAAGTCGAAACTTTCAGGATCCCTTTATCGTCCTTAAACTCTCTCCCTTAAAATCTCTCGGCATTCGAACAGTTTTACGATCTCGCTATATCGTGGCGAAGATTGCGCAAAATGTATCTCCTTTCCTAGTTTCGATACACATATACATATAATCGACGTTTTTGTTCGAGTACTTGGTGTAAAAAAAGAAAAACAAGAAACGCGATGGAAACTCTGATCCTCGACTCGCGATTGTGTAGAATGACGTTAATCGTTCAACTACTGCAATGACATTGTACCGGGTCGTTCCTTTATCTTACATCGATAACCGATGGACAATATTTACATTACTACATATTAGCTAACAGTTTCGATACCGATATGCAATATTTTCCGAATTTTCCGAATTTTCCGAATTTTTCTAATCGAAATACGTAAAAGTTGTCGACGTTATAGAGTGTAACGGATGCAGCCTGGATTAATCGAATATGTAAGAAGAAGAAAACAATGCACAACGTTTCCACATTAACGATTAAACTGTAGCAAAAGAGACGAGATTGTCTTATGCGTGATCACCGACGTCAGCAGCGAAGAAACGAGCTGTTAGTCGCAAGGCTCGGAGATGTTCTTGCCGCGATCAAGATAAAAGGGCTTCGTTATGGAGAAACTGCGCTTAAGGGAATCCCGGGTTTAAAGCGGCCCTGAGTATAGAAAATCTTCTATACGCGAACTATATTTGTTTAATATAGAGTTTCGCCTCGAGATCAGTAGACGTTAACGGTCCGATACGCTCGCGGGAAAAAAAGAGTTTCCGTCAAGGTTTCGGTATAAAATCGAGGCTTCCGGTATATACGTCCATCGCATAGTCAGTTATTATCTTTAGGCACATTATGACCATAGTAATCGACTTATGTAAAAAAAACAGTCTTTCTCGAAGGTAAAAGGGTATGTTACGGCCTGTTCCGCATCGATCGCGAACAGCCCTCCTTCTGCTAGACCCAGTATTGATTTCGTCTCAGTAAGGGGTTGTTGGTCCTCTGCGTCGCGGCCGATTGACAAGGTAGGTCGGACGTGTCGAAGCTGCTCCATTCGTCGGCATCCGCGACCCCGTAAGGATACTTGGCCGAAACGTCGACCTCTGAGCCGGCGATGCTCTCCAAAGGACTGAGAGGTATCACTTTGCACTGAGGCAACGTGGACGTCATCGTAGGCAGTACCGGTAACGGTGTGCTGGCAGCCACGCTATTGTGATCGTTGGCGAAACGTTTTAAATGCGGTGTGGCTGGCATCAAATGATCCGGAGGTCTTGGTAGAGGCATCACGCCTACCGCCGGCGTTGTTTCCGGTTTCTCCTCTTCGGCGTGTTTGTATCTGTTGTGCCTGCACCGGATGGTGATAATTACCACTACTCCGAGTAAAAATACACCGAGCAGCATGCCCAGAATCAACAAATAGTCGTTGCTCATGTTCGGCGCGATCGCCATTTCACCTTCGTGACCGACAGGATCCATTGGTCCACCGAGGGTGATGTTATATTCGTCCATGTCGAGTTTCACGCGAAACTCGAACTCTCCCATGGCTGGCTGGTAGATGGATGCTTCCAAGACGAACGCGAAACTATCCGGAACTCCTTTGTATTCTATTGTCGGTATTTTTCTGCAGACCATGTAAATCACGCCGGACATAACCTCCTGATGAAAGAATTGGGTTACCTCTTTCTCTTTGGTACCGCGTTTCTCGCCAGAAGACGAGGAACTTCTTCTGATTCTCTTTATTTTACCGAATTTCGGCTTCCTGATGATCCTGTAGACGGGATTGCTACCCGTCAATTTGGCCAACGGTGTAGCGTCCATGTGTTGCAGGGTTATCCGCGTCTTCTCACCCGCCAGAGCTATCATGGAGTTGACGATCATCAATGGTACCACCTTGATCTCGATTCGTATGTATTTCTGCTCGAATCCGCTCAATCGGGCAGTCAATTCCAAGCTGTCGTTCGAAACGGTCATGTCCATTTGCATATACATCACGCTCTTCGACGACAGATCCGTTTGTTTGAAAGCTGTTGCTGATTTTATATCGCGCACGTATAATAGACCGTGCTTTGGTCCATTCGTTACTTGATAATCCACCAAGTCCTGTCTAGCGTTAGTGTCTAGTTTCACGTTACTGTCCGAGATGACGGCTACGTTCGAACCTTGCTGCAGATTCACCGGACCCGGGACAGTGACATTCAGCTTGATGGGTAGAACGTAAACGTTGAAGAAGGTGTACGTGGGATTAAAATGGCCATCCCACACTCTGAAGTAAAAGGAGGCTGCTTGAAGCGGACCGTTATGCTCGAAAACCAGTCGGTTCGAGTCGACGTCGTGTTGACTGAATTTGTCCACCTGACGCACCTCCGAAACATTCTCGTTAAACGGTAGCAGCAACAGACGACCGTAAGTAGGTTCGGATATCAATTGGTATATAATTTCTTCCGACGGAGTGTCCGGGTCGATGGTCAGTAAGTTCTCTCTGGTTATAGTTTGGTTCTGATTCTGAACGACCGTGATGGACGGAGCGTTCGTTATCAACTTGAAGGGTTCGTCGTTCACCGGTTCGATTATGACCAAGATGGTGGCGTTGCATAGGAGAATGTGACCCGGTGTTAGGTAGAGAGAAAAATGAATACGATCCTCCAAGGTATCCGAGTGGTCGTGGTAATAGGTGATCTTTCCACCTTCGATTTGGGGTTGAGAGAAAGTGGTAACGTTCACGTCCGGAAGAAACATCACGTGACCGTGGTTAGGTTGACTAACCAGTTTCGAGAGTACCGCCGGATTCTCGATACCAGCATGAGTTTGGAGAAACGACACGATTCCACTGATGTTCATCACGATTTGAGCCGAACCACCTTCTTCGACTCTCACGTTCTTCGCGGAGATGTACCGATCCAGTCCGCCGCTCGAGACGGAAATGTCTATTTGAAATACCTACGACAGAAATTACATTTTCGCCGTGGTACTCTTTCTCTTTCTCTATCTAGTAACCTTACCTGATTGGTTAAGGATTCCGTGAAGTGCGCTTCCACGTCGAACGTGAACGAATCGTTGGCGGACAGGTCCATGAACTGTTTGGTGTGCTCGTAAAACACTTTGCTCTCGTTGATATCCTTTTGCGTGAATCGATCAACGTTCAACCATGCACCTTCGCTCGTCTCCATGATGATCTTGCCAAGATGTGGTCCGTTTTTTATCGCGTACTTTATTTCTCGCTCGTGGTCCAAACATTTCGTAAGCAGCGATTTGTTCGATAGCAATTTCCTGGTCAGAGGAAAAACGTTCAGCGCGGCGTTGCGTTCGATGGACAAACGAACTGGCTTGGTGGTTATCGGAATCGTGTAAGAATCGGTCGTGTGCACTCCGTCGTTCAGGACGAAACGAAATTCGGCATCGGTTCCATCTGAAACCGACAATTACACGATTATAATACGGTACAGAATATTTTGTTCTACATAACCGTTGTCACGGTTATTTTGCTGCTCGGCGAACATGAAAATAAAAATAAAATCGTGAAACACTCACTCGTATGCGTGAACATCACATTCAGTTGGTCGATCTGCTGCTGAGTAAAATTGTACGTGTCCGTATCCGGCGATGATTTCAACGAGATGAATCCGTTTCTAATCCCGGTCACGTTAAACGTTATGTCGTGAGCGGCGGTATCGTTGTCAACGGCTGCTAAACTGTCGGACGTTAACACGATCGAACCACCTTGCCAGACGGTCAGTCCTGTCTTATTGACCAGTACAGGTAGTTCGTCGTTAACGGGTTGCACGATCACCCAAACATCGAACGGTTCGCTGATTTTATCCCCAGCAACGAGAACCATCTTGAACGAGTCTTTCGAGGACTCGTCTCCGTTATGCTTATACGATATTATACCGGCAGTCAGGTGTTTCTGCGAGAACTTCTTCGCTTGAGAATTCTTCGTCGTGTCTAGAATGGTTCCATGTTTTGGCTTCTCGATGACACGATAGTCGGTCACTTTCCCGGAATAGTAAGGAGTAAGGATAGAATAGTTGGATTCGTCGAGAAACGCGCTCTTCCCTTCGGTCACGACCAGACTCTTCGCTTCGACGTACAATTTGTCCGGTACTATCACGAAATTCACGCTCAGGTCTCTCAACCAAGTGATCCCGTTGGTTACGTCGAACACGAATTTGTCGTTCGTCTGATTAATCACGTATTGTACGTAGAAAACGCGAGCCTCGTTCACGTGAGCTTGGCTGAAAGATTTGACCGCGTTGCCGATGTAATCGTCTCGAGTCTCCTCGCTGTGCTCGTCGTGGATCTGCAGCTCCAGATAACCGTTTTGCGGCCATTCCTTTACCAAATAAACGATCTCTGACTCCGGTATCTTAGGATGCATGATTTCGAGGCTCTTTCTGGACAGCAAAACGCTGGTAGCCTCCTCCACGAAGATGGTTTTGTTGTTTTGAACGATCAGGGGCTGCCAATAGCTCTCCGGGTACACTTTGACGGGGAAGACGCCTTCCGTTTCGGCTCCTTTCACCGATACTCTAAACTCGAAGTCGTCCTTGGCCAACGAGCCACCGAGATGCTTGTACAATACTATTCCATCGCGGAGATTCTCTTGGACGAACACGTTTGTTTCCTTGCCGTGTACTAGTAGCTGGCCGTGCTTCGGTTTCTTCAGTATCGTGTATCGAATGTCCTTGTCGGAAACGTAGACGTTCGTCTCGACGCCGAGTTGGTCGGGTCGTAAGGCGATCGATCGATTGAATTGTACCACGGATCCGTTGTTCTCTTTCAGCATCACGTAAGGAGCACCAGCCTGAATCTCGAGGACGCCTGTCACGTAAAAGTATCCGTCCGTCACTCCGAACTCGAATTTACCGTTCTCCTCCCCCTGGTGTTTGAACAGTATGCGACCGTCGTCGATCTCCTGTTGACTGAACTCGTGGATCTGCATCGTCAGATTTGACACTCTGTACAATCTGTACTTCTGTTTGTCCCTCCTCGCGTAGATCAATTCGCTAGGCTTCGTGTCCACGTCCTTGTCCGCGTACGCTAGATCCTTGTTGGTCAGCAATCTCTCGCCGTTGGACACCACGTGGAACACTTTGTTCACCGTGCGTTCCGGCGCGTTGTCGTTTTTCATGCTCACGTTCACGCGAAACAGACCGACGTACATGAAATCCACCGAGTCCGAAGCGATCGCCATATACTGAAACGAGTCCTCTCGAGTCTCCGAATCATCGTGGACATAGTAGACCCTTTGGGAGAGCAGCTCCTCGGACGTGAAATGATCGGTGTCGTTTCTCGTGTAAGATCTGGAGTCGTTGGTGACGGTTAACCAACCGTGGCGAGGTTTCATAGTCAGATTGTAGACCAGCGAAGCGACACCGTAATCTTTCGGATTGGTATGCAGGATTCGAACGAGTGCTTTGGATCCTTCGTTCACCGTCAACGTCTCGACGTTGTCCAACGGCTTCGCGTTCTTACCGAGGTAGTGTCTGAACTTGAGACTCGAATGTAGATCGATGCATTGCGGTGCGCTTACTTTGAAACCGAACTCGTCCAGGATCGTCGAATAAGCCCTCTTATATAACCGATATCTCAATTTACCGGAGTCCACGTCTTCCTGAGTAAAAGTGTCGGTAATTCCTAGTCTTCTATTCGATAGAAACAGATTGCCGTATCTTGGTCCCGTCAACATGGTAAATATAATTTTGTTCGAAGCTGTAATCAGTGGATTCGTTTGGTATTTCAGATTTTTACCGGTTATGATCACCTCGGCCACGTTAGTGAAGTTAACCGAGGCTCTTTTCGTTTCTTTCAATTCGAGATCTATGAAGGTGACGCGGAAGTCGTAAGTATGCTGCGTTCTCGCTTCTCTGACGCTCGCTTGAAACTTGAATTCGTCCTGATTCGGACTGCCCTCGTTGTGAAGGTATCGTATAGCGTGTAGCTCGATGTCTCTGCTGCTGAAATGATCCACGTTGGTCCAGCTGCTCGAGACGTCCTTCAGCTTTTGTATCGTGCCAAATCGAGGCTGCGACACGATATCGTAACGTATGTCGATGGTGCTGTCGTCGGAATTGGTGGTGAACGAGAGATTCGCCGGGGTCAAGTAGGAGAACGATCGATGAACGACGACCAATCCTGTGTTGTGCATCAGTTTGATTTCCAGAGGATGAGCCGCCACTCTTAGACTGGCTGGTTGGCTACTCTCTATTCCGTCGCTGACCCGTAGGTCCAGCTTCGCGTTCGATTTCGCTGTAACGAACAATCAACGATAAAACATTTCGCGAAACATAGATACACGATGCCTGTTCGATTCGCTGCGGCAATATCGACGGCGAAGACGTTACCGTTTCCACGGTGCACGTATGCGATTAATCCTTGCATTAATTCGGCCTGGGTAAACGTGTCGATGGCTCGCGACGGATGAGTCACCTTCTCGACGTAGCCGGCGTCGGCGTCCGTGCGTAATACCGTGTAAACCAACATGTCCGACGGTGTGTCGGCATCGATCGCCCAGATTAATTCTTTCGTCAAAATTTTCCTTGTTCCCTGTGGAAATTTTCCAACGAATTACTTCCTCTTTTCTAAATTACTCTTTTCTTAATTGGATCGCGTTTAACGTGACGAGTCTAACGAAAATTTATTCCAATTTAACCTCTTAACATTTTTTACCTTCCATTACATTATTAACGTAATAGCTTGTCTATGCAATTTTTATCTTCTCTTGCTTAATCGAACGATCGTCGCGTCGATCACCGCGAACACCGACTTCTATCCGGATAGATGCAATTACAAGTAAGTACTACTTTGGTGAAATACGGTTTCTACGGTTTTTAATGGTAATCAAGTTAATAACCGATTTTTTACGAGCAAAGAAACGATCCCACTTAAGAAAATTGCAGTTGCAAGTGGTTAATTAGGGGCAACGACTGAAGCGGCTTAAATCGATTTCGTTGCATGCCAGCTGCTTCGTTCGTCGAAGACACTGACGCGACAAACGCGTTAAAATTTCTTCGATTCTTCGTCGATCGATTTACCCTGACTCGCGAAATCGGTATTATAGCGAGTCAATTGTATTAACGCGTTTCTAAAGTCTCTTCGAAGATATTATCCGCTTACCGCTCGTTTCAAACAGTATCCCCGGTCACATAGAGGTTTTACGCGTTTTTAATCGTAAAGCGACGAGTATAACGAGAATGACTTTTGTCGGTCACTTACTTGAGCCAATCGTAACACTTTCGCCGTCGATATTTCGAGCAAAGGTGGATCGTTGACGGGCGTAACGTTGACATGAAGCGGAAATCTGAGTCGACCTTGGAGGTAACCTGGTAACGTGTAACCAGCTCCTGCCATCAACGTCACTTCCAGGATCATACTGTCCTCTGTGGTTTCGCTACCGTCGTGCATGTATCGTATCTGTCAAGAATTTCGTTGGAATAACGAGACTAAACGATGCTTTTCCGACTTACGAATATATCGACGAGTATTAAAGAGAACCAGTCGTAAGGCGATAATTCGAATAGAATTCGGATTTCTTACTCGTATACTAATACGACCAAATGTTTATAATTGTTTTACCGAACATCGTTATAAAGAAGCGGATCAAAATAAACACGTTGATCAATTTTCAATTACTACACGCGTAGATGATAGGAACTAAAATTTATTCTTAAACTCGACCTTCAAAACTATTTTATACTTTGAATTCGAACAACATTTACCTTTTCGTTGAATGTTTCTTACAGTGCGATGATTACTGCAACTGATCGTGCATAGAACGGCGATTGCGATATTAAAGCGAAGCAATTTATACGATAGAGGTGTAAACGAATATATAAACGAGTCTCGCAGGCATTTGAGCAGCAGATATCAGGACATTTATTTCTTTCTATTTCATGGTTTATTCATGTCGCGAGAAAGCCATCGTGAATTGAAAATTCTCAATTTTCTACGCTGACGCGTCAGCTTCTTTAACGAACCGATAAATTCTTGTTAATATCTCGAAACTTCCGTTTACCGATATATAGACTCGGAGGTTATATGGGCAATTAGCATATATCGTAGAATCAAGTGGAAATCTCCGATTGATATTCCCAGTTTCTGGATCGAAATGAGTCTGTTCGAAAAAACTTGGAGGAAAGAAGTGAACCGTGGTGAGTCGCGGTGAAACGTTTAACGGAGAAGCGGTCTCGACTCGACGCGACACGATACGACACGGTACGGCACGGCACAAACCCCCGAAAAAAACCATTAATGAGCGGTGGTGGTGCTTATAAATAGAGCACTGTCGCTGGATAAATTGAGTGTAAGTGGAAAAGGAACAGACAACCGAGAGTTCTGACAACGAGACCACGCTATACGGCCCCCCGCGGTTCTAAAGTTAGTCCTTCAGTCAGAAACTATCTATAGCTCGTCGACCTATGACGAATTGGAAGAACACACGATTCTTTTCCTTTTTACCTTCGACATCAACGACCAACAGATTATTAAGAAAGTAGCATTCGATAGTTAGATGATAGACTAATTTTAGATAAAAATAATGTGAAACAGTGACGAGTAAATAACAATTGAGAAACATTTAAATTGTCAGATTTAAAGCCCTTTGTCGAATTTCTGCGTTTCGATATCGAAGAAAAAGTATTACCTTATCTTGATTAACGTCCTGAAGAGTGAAGGTTTGCTCGGTTCTGGTCGTTAAGAGGTCCAGAGCCAATGTTCCATGGGCGGGCGGCGTTACCAAGGTGAATATAACACCGTCCTCTTCTACCCCATATTTAGCGATGTCTAGTACCATGGCAATGTTATCGCTCGTCACCAGCACGTGTTCCCCCTCCGACACCATTAGAGGGCTTAAGGAAAGTATCTCTAGGTTCGCGGGTAAATTCGCCTTCGAATAAACCTATGGATTATGAAAGCAACGCCAGCGTAAGTATCACAGGATAGCAGCCTTCTCCGAGGAAAAATGGTCTTTTTACATCGACTACTACTTGTTCGGAAACCACTATTTGCTACGATATTCGATATTTATCTACTCTCCACGTACTACCTTATCATTGTTATTAGAGAAGCTTATCGTGTTCGCTCGATGTATGTACATAAAGTGGAAGAAAAGTTGGAAAATCGGCTAGTTCGGTTTATCTACCTACAAAACACTAAGAAATATTTGCCTTGTAATCTTCGGCATAATTTGGCTTGATACACAATGCCTGGTCGCAATCGCATTTGAAGGAGCTGACACCCAGCTGCGAACAAGTGGCACCGGAAACACAGGGATCAGCGTCTACGCAGGGAAAGCCCCAAACGCAACCGACCACGATACCCTGGCTGATCTTCACGTCCGGTAGACCTAGTTCCTTGTTGTCCAGCAGCATATTCCTCAAACAGCCCTTGTAACTCACGTCACCGGACTTCAGTCCTTTACCTAGCGCCCTGGCTCGTTTGTTCAATTCTGTGCCGCCGATGTAGAGGGTGTCCGCCAGGTCTAAGTAGCGATTTCCACCAGATGGCAGGGTGATCGTTTTTTCTTGCCGGTCGACGGTGATCCCTATTCCGCTTGGATTAAAAACAACGACCACCCGATGCCATTTGCCGTCGGCCACCGGTGTGTCGTGTATCAATTCGGTCGGTCCGTTCCCTCTGTTCATCAGAAGTCGTATTTTACCCTCGAATAACTCGATCCCGAGGTAATCGGCGTACGGCGATTGACCGGTGTTATACAGCAATAGACCGGTCTCTGCGCCGCTCTTCAACTCGAACTCCCATCTGTAAATGGTGCGAGGGGAGGATAAAATTTGAAGGAACAAGTTTATCGAAACTAACGGATATTACGAACTAACTTACCATCTCTCTACTCCTATATGCAGTTCTCTATATCGATAGATTCCTATACTTCTAAATATCGAGATTTCTAAGACCATTAGATCGTCTAATCTAATTAATTCTAATCTCGAAGATCCTAACTCGAGTAAAATGGTTGCTGCTGTAATTATAGTAAATGTTGTACCGCTACATGCCTTCGAAAGTCTTATAACGATTAGATATAGAGTGGTATATCTGGGGAGTATAACATCGAAGCTCTGTAACAACGTTGTCGAAGCTATTCACGATCGAGTTGGAATTTGGTAGTTGACTTCTTCCGTCTACCCGTCTGCTGTCTGCTGGTTCGAATGGACTCGCTAAACCGTTAAATAGAGTTCTGGCCAAAATTTCGAGTTTCTTACCCGTTCGAGCATACGAATTGCTGTTTGGATCTCTTTCAGAAGTTGCAAAACTTTGTCTGTTTCGAGAGAAACGTGATTCTAAATTGATTTTATGCAAGCTGAATATATTTGCTCAACGCTTTTCAACCTTTTCTGCATAATCTATGTTGATTATCTATGTTACGCGATCGAATAATATGATCAATTTAGTCTTTGCCAGGTTTCGCGCGTTGTAACATTAAGGGACATAGCGTCTGAAAAAGTGGGCCGCTTGATTGGCATCTCGATCGAATTCGCAGGAGATCCGACTGAGAATAGACGGGATTGGCTTTGTTCTACGTGCGAATCGATCCGTCGTGGACTACCAATCGCTGACATTCAACGATTTTCAACGCGTAACGCGAGGCGAATCGCGAGAAATCAAGATTGCACGCATACAAGCACACGCACGACAGTTCTGCGATACGCAACAGGTAAGTACTCGTACGTTTATTTACCGGGGTGAGTATCGAATCGTGTGTGGAGCGTACTTTTGCGTTTCAATCAACGAAATTCAGAGTTCCTGAATCGGAGACTTCTCGACACTCGAGACGCGTAACCGCTCATCTCGATTTCGTCGGAGGCGGCGACAACCGAGAGCAAAAGCTGGGTCGCATCGTTGCGCGTTATATCGTCACTCGTTGTATAGATTGCTTCGCGTTGAATTTCGACGCGTGCGAGTATTTTCGAACCGATAATATACGTCGTAAAGCGATGAAAGTAATTTTAAAATTGGAATTAATCGTTACGGTACGCAGAAACGGGTGAAAGAATGTACTAGGTATCGAGGATGAACAAGCGTATTTCAATTACGTCCAGAAAGATCTCTAAAGATTTGATCGGAAACTTGGTCGAAGTCGATCGGGGGGTTAAACGTCTTATGATTCGCGTACACAGATAAATTTATTATCAAGCACGTTGGATCGATAGCTGAATACCCTCGAACGTCTTTCAATATTTATTCGATACTCGGGTCAGACGACACTTTACGGCTATAGCTTTCAATCGAATTAAGGTCCTTCGATTGTTTACCGGTTGTCGTTCGAACAATAAAATAAATGTAGCTTCTGAATAAAACGCGGTTACTATCGTATTCAACGATATATAATAGAAAGGTTGTTTCCGAATAACGAACACCAACATTCCTATCAATTATCCTTCATAGTTACTCCGTTTGAAATACGTTTCTTTCCTTTCTACGACGAATAGTTGAGAAGATAATCGAATGGACGGATAAAAACGGGACACTCTGTATATGGCATGCTCTGTATATGGTATGTAGTACCGATTTAGATTCTTCTTTCATCGACTACGTTTTCTACTGATAAACACGGCGATAACGATTTACGACTACGACAAAACGTTACGGAATACGGTTGTTTTTCGCGAACGACGTTTTTCATCGACCAGTGGAAAGAGTGTATCTTTCCGATTCGCTTAGTCGATCAAGCGATTCGCTCTCGAATGTCTTTGTTGTCCTGAAACGTCGAAGCAAAGTACAAGGATGCAACGAGATTGTTACGTTTCTTTTAAACCAAATAGAAGATACAGAGGAAACGTAACGTTTCAGGGAATGCAAGAAAATTTCAAAAAATCATATCGAGTAGTAGTCGCACTTTTCGTTCGTTATTCGAAAACAAAGCGTTCGTTCGCGAAGCGGCGGAGGAACTTTTCTCTGCGAAACACTCGAAACGAATTCGATCGAAAGAAAAATAGAATGACCCGATTTTTGTGAGTTTTGCGTATCGTCCATTCGATTATTTAACGCTTTAGCGATCGACGTGGTGCGGCGTGACGTACGGTAACTCGAGCACGTTGGACAGTTTTGATGAACGCATGAAATGCTGCGAGCAACGTGTTAAAATTGACTCGGGAACCGAGTTTCGCGTTCACCGAGGGCTTTAACCGGATTCGTATCAAATATTGTCGTTAGTTTCGCGTCTATCGACAGTTTCTGAAACCGCCGATAACAACTATTTAACCGGTAAACCGTCAAACACGAGGGCTGGTCAATTTCAAATCTTCCTAAACAGAAGATCTAATTTAGTTGTGGATATATTTGCTTATCCAGTGTATCGTTAAATCGAATACTTATCGAATACTTTACTACCGAGTAAACGTGTGCGGAACATAATGTTAGTTTCATGGAATACTTGACTTTTTAATCGGCATCTTGGCGTTTCAATTTATAATATAGCGTTATCGTTATAATAATACATCGTTTATTCTCTGCTTTACGATTATACGTATTAAATGATCTCTATCGAAGTGATAAGATGTTTGCGACGAGAATAAAGACGAAAGCGACAACGTTTTTATCGCGGGTGGAGTAGGTTGAATGTTAATTAAGACAGCGTAAGGAGAGTTCGAAGCATTCGGGTCTCGCAGGACGTACGCGCTCGGATCTAATTTACAGGACGAAAAGGAAGTTTAGTTACGTACTTTGAACCGGAGCGTGGAATGAGTCTTGGAATCGCCGTGAACGCGCCATCCTCGACGAAACTGACTTCCGCGTTCCTTGTAGCGTCGAATTCCGGCGAGCAACTCCACGTTACGGCGGTAGCCTCGGACTGACCCTTTCTTGACTTCGCGAATTCTATTACTCTAGCTCCGTTATACACGATGTCGGCCATGCAGCCTCTCAAGTAATCTGTGTGTCCTAACAAACAAAAAATAAATTAATTAATCATCGTTTCATTATTTTTCTTATCGACTTATCGTTGATTTATCGAATAAGAAAGAAACGAAAACAGGGTAGTTACGAATGTTACCTGTATCGCCTATCGATCACTGAAAATACAAAAATTTTCGGAAATGCGCGGAATCCGGCAAATATTTAACGTTATACGATAATAAAACAAAGCATAATAGAATAAAATGATACGCGTTACGTTCGCAATTTTATTATCGAACGTAATTCGTAGCTCGAGTTTTAAAATGTTGCATTTTCCTCGTGACGATTCGTGACGATTCGTGACGATTCGTGACGATTCGTGACGATACGTGAAAATATTCCCTCTCGGTAGATATCAGAGCTAGAGGTCAAAAGCGGAATTTCATAAGTTCTCGTTGGAGTTTCGGCTTGTCTAAAGCCGATACAAGTAGCACCTCGAGGTCGTAACTGGTCCTCGCGTTCTAAAATTCCACTCTTGACCTCCGGTAGATCGTTCACGATTGATAGGACCAAAGGAAAATTGAAATTTCAAGCTGGGACCATTGGATGCACCTGTGGCTAGGTAACCACCGAACGTAGAAGGGAGAAACGAGGGGGATGTTCAGGATCGCGACGATATTTTCCGGTACGGCGTTGAATATAATATATCGCAATAAACCGAGGCTGTTCACGGTGCGATGAATCAGACTGCAACCATACCATCACCGTACCTACCATTTCGCGTGATGCTGTCCTTCTGATACGGTTCGCGATCATATTAATCGAAGAAGTTTCGCTACGGAACTCTGTTGCCGAGTTCTCGGAAGGATTTCCAGAATCGCGTGGAAATTACGTATTCGAATTAAACGACCTTATTTATCTATTCGTAGCCGGAACGTGGAAAAATAGTCGATTGCACGCAGTCGGAACGTTCGAGGAAAACAACGACGAAGAGCCAGAAAATTTGGGGCCTTATACACAGTATCTCGGGGTCCATAGGCTGCTTATCGTTAAACTCGCCAGTGGTAACTGGGACGGAACGTTTCGCGACAGAAGGCATCTTACTTCGCTATACGTATACCTTTGTATCGATTTCTTAGCAACGAATGTATATTTGTTAGACAATATTTCCTGTACAGTCGCTTGCTACTCAATGTTTTCAACGTATTTTTATCGATACATTTTCATATTAGCGAATTCCTTTTTTTCTGGCTTCTACTCCAAAAGAAAGCCAAAAGAAATTTTGCGATATAGTCAGAATGAAATGCAGTTTTCCCTTCGTCGTTAGCATTTTGAAAGGTGACGACACTCTGCAACGAGAAACGAATTTCTCTCTTCTCCTCTCGGTCGTTATTTCTTTGGCGCGAGAATCGAGGAAGATTCGAGCAGGCAACGGAAATTAATAAGAGGTTACGAAGGGGTTGGTTTAGTGGGGGTTGGCTATGTCGTACCATGGGGTACAAATGAATTGTCATGAATATGTAAATTGAATTTTGAGCTGGTCGTCCAACGTTGCGCGAGATGCTTCGGATGATAACGTCGACGAGAACGGAGGGGGAAGGGTGCGCTCTGTTTCTACCGATCGTATTCAATTTGCTACGCGTCACCTCCCTCGCCTACAGATGAATTTTTGCATTTCGCTAAATATTTATCGAAATATTTTCGTCGACGTAAAATTACGAAAGTGTGTTTCGATCGAAATTATGTTGTTCGATCATCGAATGGTCAATTCGATTCGAACGATCAAAGAACCTATTTATATGGACTCTATTTGTATGCTTAAACGAGATGCTTTATCTTTCCGTCTATGCTCGCGATAACCACTCGGACGAATTTAACAAGATCGAAATCGTTGAAGATCGTTCGAGGATACTCGAATCGAGATCATCCGGAAAAAAACAATCGGATGGACGATGAATATTTGATGCGCTCAAGTACCTAGCAGTTTTATTCGAAAGAAAAAGCTTATTCCTATCGCTAATTTCCAAGTTATCAAGTAATTAATAATCATTCATTGAAGAATTGTTAAATTAACAGGATTTTCGTACGGTGAATAATTTGATCGTTTTCTTAATCGATACCGTTAGTTATCGAGAACCGGTATCGTCGCGTGGAAACGGTATTAATTTGGTAATTGATTTAGCGATCGATCGTTTCCGCGAGCAAAATTGCAATCGAGAATTCGATCGTCGAACGCGAAACGAAACTTCGTTACCCTTGTTACGTTTGTTCGTAGCGTGCATTTTCATCGAAGGCACGAGTCACGGAAAAATGAGCTCGAACCGCGATAAAATGTCGAAACGGCAACATACGTACACGTGGTTTTTGTTAGGGGCTTTGTAACGAATAGCGAGGACCAAGCACGATTTATTCGGATGAGTCAGTCAGCGAAGCTCGCCGTTGGCGTCTTACCTAGAAATAGCTCGTTGAAATCACCCTGTCCCCCGATGAAGACACCATAGTGTATGTTCAACTCGAAGAAACGCCCTGGTAGAAGTGATCTGGTCGTGTGTATCACGTCGATTTGTAAAGTTATGTTGGCTTCTCTTCTGGTCAGATTCACCTCGTGCCAATTCAGGTCGTTCAACGTTAGTCCACGCGCACTGGCCATCTCGCTTTCGCCGGCACCGAGATTAATATGTACCTGTAATTAAACGTAGTATCAAATTTTCTCGAGTATTCTCCTTCGAAATCATTCTACTACTTATAAGATATCTTGTCGAAAACTTGTTCTGTATTCTGTCGACGAATACAAACGTCACGTAACTTTGCGTCCTGGCAATATATTCAACAATTTTTCGGCAACTCGGTTTAACGAAAACCTGCTCGTCCGCGGCGTTTCATTTTTCATACCTTTCTTTCAGCTACCGTACCTCTTCCGGTTTATATATGCGGTCTGTAAAACGTCGCCTCTGTAATGCTCTGAATATTGATTTCTCTCGGATTGACATCGGTTGCTCGTTTATCACGCTTCTTTTTCCACCGTATCGGTGGTAATCGAATACTTTTAATACCTTTCGATTTTGTTTTTATAAAACTACCGTTTCCAAAAGAATCGTTTCCGTGGAATAGCTTAGGAAAAACCGTATCGTCCTTACTTTATTTACGAAAGTTTTGTCGACTTTAACGACTGTTCGATATGAACACTTGGCCAGCTGATTTCAAGCGTCTAGGAAGAAATGTCTAGCCGGTGGTAAAAGACGCTAGTGGATTTCATTAATTCGAAGCTTCCGTCGTAAATTACGGGAAATTACTTGTATCTTTTTCCGTTTGTTCGGTAGCGTATCTGGAGGCCATTATAAGTTCCCGAGTAATGTATTATCGAGTTAGAGGATGCGCTTTAGGAAGAGACGAAGCGGCAGCATCTGATAAAGAGTGTTTAATCGTGACTTAAATCGACCAGCTAGTAACTCGTGACTACGTTCGAGCAGACCGTCTTTGTCTACCTTTCACGATCCTAGGCATATTTTCTTGCAACTACGGACCCGTATAAATAAGTTGAAAATCTGCAACAGGAAAAACGCTACGATTCCGATCGGATTAGTTCGGTTTTAAAAATGTTTCTTACGCGGATCGCTTGTTGTAAGCGGACAACGCATTGCCGATGCTTATTTCGTGGCGCGTTATTCGAGACGGCTCGAAATTACGCTCCGCGATCGATTCTGTAATAAAGGCGCGAGTTTTTGCGAGCTGCAAGTTCAGCCGGTAGCAGCGCAATGTCCGATGACTATGCAGAACCTCATTAATATGTATAAGCGCGATAGACACGATACTTGGTCGAATGTAAACGCGAATTTATACGTTTCGAAGGTCGAAGAGAAGACCGCACCGGAACATTATCGATTCACGGCTGATTGAAAAGTGAACAATCGCGAATACATTCTCTACCTCTTCTGCTTCCTAATTACGTACTCGTTAAAATTTACCTTTCAATTTATGCACTATTCGGAATTGTCCACGAACGAAATTTCTAACCGCGATCTAGCGAACGTATCAATTTCCGGATGCCGGATATAATTGTTCAACGTATACAGGATGAAAGGGTAATTTTTCTCGAGATAACGTTTTATGCGTTTCGCAGGTTCGCGAAGGCGAAGGAAGGTTTTACTCGTTCGAAGCTACAGCGCGAACGCGTACGTTGGAACGAAACGATTCCGTTGCACTTTTTGCTCGGCCGTTTATCTCCTTCTCATCCTCCTTAACGATCTTCTTAACAAATTTAATTAAGCTCAGACACCAGCTACCAGTCTTCTCACGACGCGGCGTAGCCCTTCCAGAAATTAGATTCTCGCGGTTTTCACGCTCGATCCCCTCGCTCGACCGAGAAACGATATTTCACCGCCACCTCTAATACCCTTTCGGTCGATATTTTAACGTTAGCGTAACGTCGCGATACCGGATTACGATAAAAAGGAAAGAAAAGAAAAGCGATTATCCCCTGATTGAACGCGAACTACCGCGTTCAGAAAAAATAAACGTAAAATTCGTTCGATACGACAAGCTGCAAACTCGCGTACACTATATACCGTGGATCTTGTCGCGTCCCATCGCGATTCTTTTCACGAAATCGTAATTTGTAACCGAAGCTCGAGGACGATTATTAGGGAAAGGTAAAGTGGCCCTTCCGGGCTTCGACGTCCCCGGAGCATCGTTGTTCTTCGCGATATCAACCTGCTGCGCTCTCCGTGTAGCCGTTTCATTCCGGAGCAACGAATATCGTGTCACGACGATCGTTAATAACGCGTTCTCGTTTAATACGAGCGCGTAAACCTCGCGACTGAAACTTGCTCGTCCGTGTTTAATCGAGATTTGTTTGGGAAACAGATTAGAATAATATCACGAATATGTAACATTCTTCTTGCTGAATTTTTAGACGATTCGGCTCGGCGCACGTTCGACGCGAACAATTTACTAAACGTAGTTTAATCATTTTTAAAACCGACTTACACTTTTCCCATCTAGCATTTAAACATAAAAAATCAGCACTTTTCGCGATTAATATGCAAATGTTTGAGAGAGTAAAAAACGATTACGATATTTTACGCGAACCCGTATGAAATTTAAATTCGAACGGGTCGCGTGTAATTGAATAAAATGCGTCCGCTGCTGATCCGGGCCATTCGTGCATACATATCATATTTTTTTTTTAGATCCGCGAGGAAAATTGGCTCGTAGCGAAATATCGATCGACAAAGGTCGTAATGTCGTTCGTTTGTTTGAAATGTCATAAAACGATTCTGTCCCAGCGCGGTACTTGCATGACAGACTGATTAAATCGACTAAGATAGAAAGGTGTTCCGGCAGGAAAAAGCTTCGACAATAAATATCGCGACAGTTTATTACGCGACAACGTTCACGATGAAACTCATTATTGGCTCGAAGCTTTGTCGGTCGACTCGTTGATTTACGAGGGAACTTAATGCCGTGAAATTGGTTTAAACGAAATCCAAGGGATTACGCGATCATTTTTGTTTCGATGCTTTGATCGTTGTAACTGGTCATCCGTTAGAAAGTTCCTCGTTGTCGATACGATACGTGTATATAATCAACGCGAGATAACGAATTAATTAGACGCGCAAGTACAAGAGCTAGAGCTAGGATAGTAGCAAACTTTACTAGAACCATCGTTTCTGACCGTCAATTGTCAAAACTTGTCAAAGTCCATTTTCGTTATGCCAGCTACCGGTGTTAACGCAAATAGAAACTCATCGTGTTCCTTCTTCTCCTCGATAAGCTTTATTTTCCTTGTAAAATAAAATGCATCGCCCTTTCCTCTTCGTTCCCCTCGCCTGTTTCACCGACGTACATAAATAAAATGCTTTTACCCGTGAAGTTTTAATGGGTCGAATAAAACGGTGTAGCGACATGACGTTGTTAAAATCAAGACACGGTTTTTATCGAAGTTATAAAACTTAGGGTGCAGCGTTGTCGTTGGACCCGCGCGCGTGAAATTCTCTCTCTCTCTCTTTTATTTTTATTTTGTTTATCCCTTTTTACGGGCAGGCGACGAATGGTCGCGTCCTCGAAACGGCATCGTTGGCTCTTCTCTTCGACGTATCGAAGCGAGTCTAATTCGTTAGCAAGTATTGGAAGCGGAGGAGAAGCAGAAGAGCACGAGCAGTTAGTTACGGGCTAAGCCGAAAGCGTATTAATAGAACGTAAGCATCGAGGGCAAAACGAACCTTCAATCTGCCGGCTTCGAGTTTGATCAGGCAGTAATCCGTCTTGCCAGCGGCCAATAGCAGCATCGCGTCCGCGAGACGAGTTCGGAACCGGAAGCTGATGTCGGTCGCACCCTTGGCCTCTTGAACCGGAAGATGAATGTAGCTGGCTCCGTAAAACGACACTGCAATAAATTTCAACAATTTAACCGCATTTCCCGTCATCGACGCGGTTAATACCTAAACACCGATCGCTAACTAACGTTATCGAAAGTAACTTTAGATCTTGATACCGGGTATCGAGATCACCGACTCCTCGATCGTTCGAAACTTCTCTTTTCGTCGATTTTATATCGATCGCTAGAGCCGTTAACTCGTATTTTATACAGTTCATCGAACTAATTAACCATTTTACGCTTACCCTCGGAGCGTTAACTTGGAATAACAAACGATGCGGTGGCCGAGGGTTAATCCTTTCCTTTACGACCTTTTTTAACGATCGAATAAATTACAATTGTCCGCTAATTTGTTTTCATCCGAAGAAGAACGTTCTACTTAATTTTTCCTTCGAAATCCTCGACATTTTGCGCGCCATTGTCATTGGAAATTTATTTTGTTTGTTTAAGTTTTGACGCGGAAAAAAGTGGGGGAGCAGAGAACGCGAACGTTTACGTCGAGGTTGTACGTAATTTTTTGACGATTCGTCGCTGTCGCGTGAAGGAACGGTTGACGGATTGAAAAGATCCGGCGTAATTTTGATCGGTATTAAATATGTTTGTTTCCACTTAGTTAGCGTAAATGAACTTTTGCCTTTTAAATCGGCTGCGTCGTTACCGCGCGCGAAATATCCAGGGATTCGATGAAAGGCAACGAAACAAAACGATAAATACAACGAGGGAAAAGCATACGCGGCACAGATAAACAAACAAGCATCGAGCGACTAGGTAGAATTTAATTGATGTTTCGTCGATCTTTATTGAAAGTACGATGAAATATTTCCCATTAGCGGAATCCGGTTCGATCGAACACGGAGGAACGAGACGAGTGTAACGGAAAGGCAAAATCGAGGCACGGAGAATGGAATAGGAAAAAAGTAGGAGAAAAAAGAGAGAAGAAATGAGAGAAGGCGATTGAAAAGCTTGGCAAGACCGATGAATGAGAGACTTCAACTCCTTGAAACGACCGTTCAAGCAGAGATCTCGAATCTAGCCGTGTACCGAGAAATCTGACGAACAGTGGAACGTAGCGACTTATCGAGGGTTTAGTTCCCAGCGGCGTGTAAATGGTCTAAGAAAACGTTCGAGCACGCAGAATAACCGCACGGGTTATTAACTACAGAGTATCTCTTCTCTACGGTCTCCCGTTCTTTCGTCCAACGAAATTAACATCGTGGAATACGAGACATTCGGCTAGACTTTTAGTAAACTTTTAGATTATTAAAACACCGTATACACGTATTTTGGTTAGGCGGCTAACATTCTATCGCGTATATGTATTCCGCATTATCGTTTGCCGTTCATTATTTTCGCCTTTAAACTATACAAGGCGTGGCCCAGAAATAACCGGGTCGAGGTACTTATCCAATTACAGGTAGATTTTCTGCTATCGGAAATGTTCATCGGTCGCTAATTACCGATATAATAGAGCTCGGAAACGAGCAAATCGGCAGCTTTCGGATAGCGTTTCTTAAACCAACCGCGACCGATAATGAACGTCGTTCTTAACGGTTTGACGTCAAACGTTTCTAGGAATTCTTGCAGCTTTGCTCCCTTTTAATTTCCCTACTACGAACAATTAAGTATCGCGGACTTATGCACGAGAGCGCTCTATGTACGAAGCAGCGTGAATTCTAGCGTGAAAACTAGCTATTGAAAAATATTTACGGATAATTAAAATCTTTTCGATAAATCTGCTACCGAAATCAATTATGGTTGAAAAATTAAAGCTTTAAAGTAGTCCAAGTATTTTTCGATTAAACGGCGGCAAGAAAAAGTTTAAATTTTTATTAGATTTCGTTCCGTGCTTCGAATCGGTGATAACTCTGATAAAACTTCGAAGCTGAACACGACGAAGCTTCGCGATCAAAGTACGAAGGAGACGTTCGAATATTTCGTTTTTAATATCATGCTTTTAATACGAAAGATTTTTCTTCGCGATAATTCGTTCAAGATCGATGTTCAAATATTAAAAAGAAACTAAGAAAAATGTAAATTTTTTGAAATCTCTTTAAAAAAAGGGTTGATTTCCATTTAGTTGGTCGATAAAGGAGCAATTAAACTGCATCGGATACGTTGGTTATCGAACAAACGGAACATAATGCCGAAGCTGAAAACCTACCGATGTAAAATATCGTCCCCGGGGGAACAATGAATATCGACTTTACTTATAACCGTCAACACCTGAGCGTGAGTTATAGATTTTACATGGACTATACATCGTAGAAATTTCATCGTAAAAGAAAGCAACAAATACGCGTACAAGAGTATTAGTTACTCGATTTAGCGCGTTATTTACGTGGCGCGAATTTACGGGATATAAATCCGATTAAAGTCGAGGAAAAGATATTCTGTCGATATTCGACTCGTTTCGATTCGGCTCGAGTCGATTCGACGACCGGGTTCGCGACGGAACGCGATTCGATTCGGTATTATTCAATTCGAATCGATTGAATTCGACGCGATTTAAACGCAACTCGATTTAATCGGTCGCGCTTCGCCGAAAATCGAATCGACGCAATTTGGCGTGGCTCGTTCCGAATGATCGCAGGATCGATATATTTAAAATTTTGAGATATCCGTGTCGGTTGATCGATACAATAACAGGTCGTTAAAATAGCAGATTCCGAAATAATAAGCGATTCGTCGATTTGTTCGGTCATGGAGGATTCAGAATCTCCATTCTGCGGGTGATTTTTAAAGTGCTCAACAGATTCGATGGATTGGCACATGTTCGGTGTTCTTACGTAACCGGTTATTAAATCGAAATCGATCGAATAATGGATAAAACGGAAAGACGATATCGCGAAGAATAAATGGCTATGGCGGATCGCGAAGCGTATCGTTGCAATTATAGGTGATCGAAAGCGTATCTCTGTCTGTCATGTTTTCGTATCGAATCGACGTTCTGGAACAGAATCGAGAGTATCGTATTGTACCGCGCTAATCCTCTCTCGGTTTCGATATATTTCCGTTCTGTTTCGTTCCGTTCCGTTCTGTTCCGTTCCATTCTCTCCATCGATTCGATACAAGTTAATTTTTTAATTAACCTTTCCCCATATTCGTCGTTCCGTTTGTTTTACCATCGAATCGATCGTGGCGATGCTTTCGGTCTCGTCGATTGACGAGTCTAATTAAAAACGAGGAGAATGCTTCCCTTTATTCGGTCGGTCGTTCGTTCGTTCGTCTCTCTCCTGATACGTTGAGTCAACAGTTACCAAATTACCGGCAAAATGAACATTTTCCCGAGGGCAACGCCGCGAGAAACTAATTTACTTCCGTGGAAATTCGTTATTACGTTCCCGTGCGAGCACGCGTCGACGTCTCGGCCTGTTTCCATTTTCTTCCTACTTTTTTAACCGGCAACAGAAATTCCTCGGACTACACCGTCGCGACGGTTCGTACCTCGCATTTTCGCGTCGAAAAGTATTCGTAACGATCGTACGGCGAGAACGAACGAATTCTTAACCCGTCAACATTTTGGAAAAGAATCGGAAAAATTTGCGAAGCTCGTGTATCCCATCGGGAACGATGAAAAGGTGTCGTCGAAAGTAGTTGGCGTCTCTGTCGCGAGAAGCGACGGCATGACGTTTCAGCTTGACCATAAAAGTTAATCTTTTTCCATCGCGGGGTCTCGGATTTACGCGACGTTAGTCGAGACGAGACCAAAGTGTCTCGTCCAAAAGAGGTCGTCCTATACGTTACCTTTTTCATCCGTTTGGCAGTAACCCAACAGGCAGCCCGTTACCGCTAAGAACATTAGCAGCTTCATGTCGTTGAGAAACATTAGGAGTCTCCCGGCTGGATTTCGGCTGTTTTTTCTGCCTTCTGGCTTTGCCTGTCCTCTTCCGTTCCGCTCGTTCCAGTTCGGTTCGACCACCGACCGCGAGATTAAGGTGTCGAGTCAGCTAGGTAAGTTAAGAAACGGCTAAACGTCCTCGAATATCGCCTGTTAATATATTTGCATCCATTTGATAATGTTCCCATCCATTTGACCGCGTTGCGTTCTCCGCGTGTACCGCTGCGGAACGAACGATTTCGTTCGCAAAGAAACTACGCGTTCACCGCACTCTCCGTTGCTTCTATTTTCGAGCAGGAATCAGAGGACGCGCGCGATCGGCCACCGGAACAACGCGGAAATCGTGACTGCGACCGGTCTCGTATAAAAGTGTAAAATCGAACGAGGTTCCCGTGAGTTTTGGCCCGACGACCACGACGACGACGACGGCGACGAACCGCTAGCTGCTGGTCCGGCTTTATCCTTTGACGAGACGCTATCTGGCATCGTGCACGTACGCTTCTCGTTTCCTGCTTCGGTGAACTCGCTCGTTTCTGAAAGAACGTACGGACCCAACACCGTAAAACGACACCTACACGGCTGCACGGATTTGCCGTGTCATCTCGTTTACTTTTTTGCCTTACAATTTCTTTTGCCAAAGTATTAGGTTGTTGCATATCGTAACGAACCCGAGCGTCGTTCGATCGCGTGATCAAAAAATACAGCAACACGGGAGAACACGGCTGATTGTTGTTTAAGGAAAATACTATTTGCTTCGAAGCGTTCCGGGTTCGATACGATTCGACGGTAAAATCGAGCTAACGCTTTCGAAAATTCGATTATAAATAAATAATAGCAAAGTGCTTGTTGACGCGATTCGATATCGTAAGGCAAGGAGTTAATCAGCGCAGAAACAGCTTTTGGGTCTGCACGAGTTGACCTGTATCGTTAGCTTTGGCTGTTTAGAAGGCGCTCGAGAACGAAGATGTTTTTTGTTGCTCGTCAGCAGACATCGTCGAGTAGCGAATTTTTCTTGCTCTTTTCTCGGAAACGCAGACGTTCGAGATTGCCGTTTCTACCATACAGAGAACTACATTCATTTTCGAAGAACGAATAATTCTTTTTCTTTCGAATCGCTTATCAATGTTTCTGAAAAATTAACGAATCGAATCTTGACATTATTTGTTCGGTTATTATTCTTCGAAAGAGTGATACTCGAAAATGCATTTTAGTTATCCGAGAACTACACCGTAAATATTCGCACTGAAAATCGAAGCATTCTCTCGGAAAAGAAATCGAGACGTTAATAAGAAGTGATGGTTGTAGGTAATAAAAGGCTATTATTTCGCTACTCGGAAAGGCTTCAGAAATACTGTTTTACCGAAACAAGCGATAAAAAACCTGTTCCAGGTTCCTTTTATGTGTACGCAGGTACTTGAAGACTCATTTTCAACATACAAATTCGTGCACACTTCATAGGAGAATAATGACACGATCATGAACGAAGCTTAACCTTCTATAATGCAATTTCCTACACTAATAATTCACGCGCGTTAATCGTTAACAGGTCCGGTGAAAATGTAAACGCTATCGAAATAGCTTGAAAATAATTGCAGAGACAAACTGTAGAAGCGGAAACCTAACCTTTTAATGTCCGGCGATCGAACGCGTCGAGTGTTTCAAGATTCTTTGATAGTTGCTTACCGAACGAACGTTATCGTTAAGACGTATATTATTAGTAGTTGGACGTTAAATCGAGGATAAAGAGCACGGTTGATATCCGTGGGAAAAGAATCTGAAAGCTAAATACGAAATTCGAAGGATGCTAGTCGATCTGCTGGAATTCGAACAGATGGGGAAAGGGGCTTTCTCGAGCCAATAACATATAAACGTTTAAACAACCCCTTAAACTCGTAGCCTGCCATCCCTATTTTTTCCCTTCTATTTTCGTTCGTTTATCTTCGAACCAGAAGAGAGTTTCTCGCAGTAGAAAAAGAAACGATTGGTCGGACCGATCCCCGCGCGACTACCTTCTAGTTTTTGCGAATCTCGTTTGAAGCGACCGACATTCGACGCGTACGTCGGTAATTCTCGAGCATCGAGTAAGTGAAAAAAGAAATACAGAGAAAAATTGGGTCGACTCTATACTCGGCATAACCGAGTCATATTTTTCGTCCGATCCTTCGTCTTGTTTCCCCAGAACGTTTTGAAAATGCAGAACGCTCGCGAAGAATAAGAAAAACTTGTGTCCGATTTCGCGTTCCCATCGGGTGAAACAGTCCGATACGGCGCAAACCATGATTTCATGGTTGCTGCCTACTCTTTCGTTACCGATATTCGTCCCGATGCGATCGAACGCGAACACGAATCGAACGAAATTTCGCGGCTCGATTTATTTAGCAGGTAAGCTGAAATCGGTATTGATCATCGCGTTCCGTGATTTCACCGAAAATACCCTTTCCTTTGGATCTATCTACATGCTCGTATAAATATTTCACGCGAGCGTAAGGGTGGATGGAAAGGTTGGCAACGGACGTATCTCGGTATGGAGCGAGATCATTGCTGATTTCGCGGAGTCTATCCATCCTCTTTACACGCCACGGAGATAAACGTTTTCTCGGAGAGCCTTAAACCGAGATAAGAAAATGTACGCGATATCTTTGAAAAGTCGTAAAGTCTCGTGGATTTCCATAATGCAAAAACTCGTCCGTGTATACTGAGCGCTTCGGAAATTATTTCGGAATTATTTACATTTTTCGATCGATAAATGATTAATATATTACAGGCAGCTTAGAGTACATTAGAGTACATTAGGTAATATTCTAGTGTTAACGTTGAAAAACAAATGATAGGATCATGGCTAATGTATCATGTTCGCTTATGATCGGCGTTGGAAAATTAGAATATATGGTTTACAATAATACAACATTGTTATTAGGGCAATAATAATGTAAGGTAATAGATTGAAAGCATAAATTGGAAAGTTAAATGATTACGTCATTAATAATTGTTATAACGCGTTCTAGTATATGTACCCATTTTCACGTTCGCGTTAACACGCTGTGGATTGTAACACGATAGTATAGATTTGTAACTCGTTACCATATTGATGGGAGGGTCACCGATGACCGCCGCCACCAATTTAATGTGATAGAATAATTAATAGATGAAAATGGAAGGAAAATTGCGCCGATCATTTAACATAATAAATGAAACAACGAACACGAAAGAAAGAGGAACGAAGTTTGGAAAGTATGAACATATCGTTAAGATAATATTGACAATTTAAAGTTGTTACTTGGACCTTTCGATTAAACATTATTAGAAGTTACTCCGTATTATTGTATTATGCAGTAGGAAACTACATAATGTCCTATGTAGTTTGCAGGTATCCTGGATGACTTTTACTACTGCGTGTCTTGTCACGCACGTCTGCTTCCACCGAGGTATAGAACTCGTTAAGAAAATGTTTTAATTTGGTTTTCTATTTCGGAAACAGCCTGTGCATTCTGACTCCGAATTCGGGTATCGAAGAATCGGTAATGTTTTGGTAGCGATTTACGTCTTTCCGTTGCACCGTCAAGAAGATGGAGTCGAGATCTCTACATATACGTCGCGACGAGATGTAACGAGCTTTTAAACGATCAAGATAAACGTAAAGATAAGAGAAGGGAAGATCCCGCGTTGTCTTTCGTCAGTCGACATCGAAAGAAAGGTCAGTATCGAGTCGAATCGATGAAAGCATCTGTTGCCAGGTGTAATGAATCGCGTTGTTTTGTCCGATCGAACTGTCACGGAGGATCAGCGCTGAATACCTAAAGACACGGTAGTTCGAGAACGATTTAAAGTACTCTGTTCCGAAGCGATTGTCGCCCGTGGCCGTTCCATTATAAAAAACGATTCTCGTAGGCGAACTCTGAATCGTTCTCAGCGTATTCTATGAGAGGGAAGACCGATTTTCGGAGAAGATCAACGTCCAAGCTTTGTTCAACGAAATGCCCACGAGCTACGATTCTCATCTATCCGACTGAGCAGCTCCTGTAACACTCGAGAGACAAAAAAGGAGAGAAACAGAGAGAGAGAGAGAGAGAGAGAGAGAGAGAGAGAGAGAGAGAGAGAGAGAGAGAGAGAGAGAGAGAGAGAGAGAGAGAGAGAGAGAGAGAGAGAGAGAGAGAGAGAGAGAGAGAGAGAGAGAGAGAGAGAGAGAGAGAGAGAGAGAGAGAGAGAGAGAGAGAGAGAGAGAGAGAGAGAGAGAGAGAGAGAGAGAGAGAGAGAGAGAGAGAGAGAGAGAGAGAGAGAGAGAGAGAGAGAGAGAGAGAGAGAGAGAGAGAGAGAGAGAGAGAGAGAGAGAGAGAGAGAGAGAGAGAGAGAGAGAGAGAGAGAGAGAGAGAGAGAGAGAGAGAGAGAGAGAGAGAGAGAGAGAGAGAGAGAGAGAGAGAGAGAGAGAGAGAGAGAGAGAGAGAGAGAGAGAGAGAGAGAGAGAGAGAGAGAGAGAGAGAGAAATCGTTGAAAGCATAAATCGTGGAACGACGTAAATATTGCTTTCGTTTCACCGTCACGTACAAGCATCCTTCAAACCGGCCTTTTTATCGCCGGAACCGTGTTCAAACTTTCTTCCAGCGTCTGGAGAAAACATTGGAACTTTACCGTTTCTCTGTGCCGTGAATCGCGACGATTCTTTTGATCCATTCATTCGAGCGTCGCATCGAAACCGCCTAGACGCGAACTCCAGACAACTACATACATATATCTGGTGTTTTTGTGCCGGTTCGATCGAAGCTTCGTTCACTATCGTTTCTTGGTGTGTCGCACGTTCGAGAATGCTCTCGTGGCCTCCTCGTACCACACATGCACACGAAGGAACACGTTCGCACACACGCCCGGCACACACGGACGTATGCACGCACGCACGCACACGCACGCGCAAAATCCATAGGGTGTCTGGCGCGTTCACGCACGCGGCAGTGATTCTCGGCGAATATACATATATATATATATGTATATGCGTAACGTCGGCGAAGGAATACGTAATCCTTTCGTCGACGGGGGATGAAAAATTCGCAACGATGCGTAGAGCGAGTCCGACCGCGTACCCTGTCGTTGAACGAGAATACCCGCAGCCTCGCGTAATGCCTCGCGTAATGGCTCGCGTACGTGCACGCGGCTAGAAATTGAAACCCTCGCTGTCACCGCTACCACCAACACCCTGCACTGTCACCGCACACCGGACACTGTCACTGGCCACCCTTGGCCTCGCCGAGCCGAACGCGTATAAATACGTAAAAGCGTCGAAGCGGAGACAGAGGGAGAGACGGTGGCGAGCCCAGACCGGCGTCGACGTTTCTATGGCCGTGGCTCCTTTTATTCGCGCACACGGTGCTCCTTTCAGAAGGTTGTTCACCTTTTTTCTTTTAAATCCGTTATGTCCGTCGAATATTCGTAACGACGAGTTTATCGCGGCAGTACGGACGGTGCAATGGGACGCCGCAGTCGCGTCGAACGTCCGTGCTCGTCGTAGCTCCCGTTTTCACTCGTCACCGTGGCACGCACGGGCCCGAAGGGAGGCAACGAGCGTGCGTCCGACGAACGAAGAGACGCGCAGAGGGAGGCTGGAAACGATAAAGACAGAGAGAGGAGAGAAAACGAGGCGAGAAGAGGAACGGCGTGCTTCGACCGGGCGTTCCTCGGTCCTCCTCTGCCGCACAACGACTGAATCTTCGGGGTGGACTAGGGAAGCTGTGCGCAGGGTCGACCCCGCTCGTTCCGGCACCCCGGCTCACTCCTCTCCTCTCCTACTCTCTTCTCTCGTTTCTCTCTCTCCATCCTCTCCTTTCGCCTTTCTCCACTTTTTTACAAATTCTTCGATTTGTTATTTCCTATTGTTAGCAACATTCCGACGATGTTCACGGTGCTTGTTAGATGTTGTTTCTTAGGGATCTCGTTCTTAAAGATAATAAACATTCGGTTTTCAGCATAAGGCTACTAACTGCTAATTATCGGTTTTCAATGATCGACCACCAAATACGAACAATCAACCGGTAATTACTATTACTACATACAGGAATTTAAGATCGTAACGTTTCATTTTCTCTAATATTCGAAACTGGAAACCTTCGTTGTACGTTCCAAGTCTGCCTGCAATACCGGATTCGTTGTTGGCCCATCTCTCATTTTCCTCCCATTACTCTTGTCTTTTCGTTCTCTTGTCCCTACGTGCCTCATCCTCCCCTATTGTTTTCCATTCTTTTCTTATATCGTTGATTCGGCGTCGTTACTTTCCTTCGTTCGCTTTTTCTCGGAGTTTTTTTTTGTTTCCCGGTTTTCTCTCGATTTCTACGTTCCGTTTTCTTCGTTACTTTCCGGTATCTCGATCTTTCTTTACCGCTTTCCCGGCGAATAACGTTGGCGGCGTCGGCGGCGTCAGCGGCGGTGATGGCAGTGGTGGTGGCGTTGGTGGTGGAAGCAAAGTACGGAGCAGACAGGGATGCTGCTAACTTTTAGGATTTCTCTTTGTAGAAAGACGCGTTTATCTCGAGCTCAAAGGCAGCTGGAATTTTTAGCCGCGTTACACCGAATACCGACGGTACTTTCCTCCGCTTTTTTTTAATATATATATATATATGAAAAAGTCGTCCATGAATTTCTACTATTCCAAAATTTATGCCGCTTTCCTCGACCCTCCTTACTCCCCCCTTTATCTCGAAGATTAATCGGCGAGCATTCGCGCACACGTAGACGGAAAAACGGAACGGGAAACCGCGTTCGTTCACCGAGTGCGTGCGCGGCTTTTCGATCATGTTTATTCTGTTCTCTGAAACGAAAGAAAGCTCCTTTCACCGTTGCTGATACTCGTTTCCAAGGTTAATCGTAATAGTCGCAATAGAAACGACTTTGACGATTACAGCGAAAAGCAGCCGGCAAACCGATAAGGCTAAGGCAGAGTCTCGGCGAAAGTTGTTCGATGAACTTTTTTCTTTCATCGACTTCTGACATTTAACTTCTTCTTCTGTTTTGAAATTACACAACGCGTGACGATGCAGCATCCGTAGGCTCCACCTATGTTCGATGTCCGAGGAAAAAAGCTTTCGACGTTATCGAGAGTACAGCTTCGACGTTTATAAAGCTTTGCGTCGCGTCGTGCGTATTTTCGGAAAGCGCTTACTACCGAGGCGGTTAATTGTCGAGAAACGATAATTCGACGATTTGCGGGTTAAGTAGATTCTTTCTCCCTCTTTCCTCTTTGTCGGTCTTTCGTAGAGGTTTACGAGTGTAGAAAGTAACCGCGAAGGGAGATTTTTGTAAGACAAGAAGAAGAGGTAGCGAGGTTAGCAACGAGATGACGCTCGGTCGCGTCCTCGAGAGAGCCGTTTCCATCCTCTCGAGTGCTTATCTCGACGAATCGCGCACGTACGGCAATTTCGAGCAAATTGTTTGCAGCGAACCCCATCTGTGGATTCAAACGAGCCTATTAGCGCGGGAAACTGGCTTATCCGCTTGAATTCGCGATATTACGTCAAGATCAAAGCGAATTCGAGCCGCGTAATCGTTTTATTAATGCAAAAAGCTTCGGTGTCTGTTGGAAAACTAGATTCTTGTACCGTTTGTTTTCCTCGCTGGCTCGCGCGTTTGTTCGTCTACCTATCGCGGAAATTTGTCAAAATCAGCTGGTTAAAAATTTCAAAATTTTATCGCGGTCGATCCTATAACGTTTACATTCTGAATATTCGTTCGATTATCGGATTCGATGAACTTAATATCGTGTTAGGGGTTAACCATTGGCTGATAGATCCGGGCCTTTATCGAGCCGACATACGATTTCAAGTGTTCCACCGTTATGTAAGTTATCGAGAATCGAAGTACGCGCGTAGTACCTATGTTTTTCCGAGAATTAACGAGGCCCGTTTAACGCGTTTCGAGGTATTCGCAGCGGCCCGTTATTAACACCTTGCATTCGAAACAAAGCGATTCCCATATATTTCATAATTTCCAAGCGGACGACTGATCGTGTGTCCCGTAATATGTATGCATATTACCGAATATCGATATCGACGAAATAAAGTTAGTGGAAAGGGAAACGGTAAAATGTTGTTAACTTACGTGTTACGATAAGTATCGTAGAACGAGTATTTTTCAATGTTCTTTAAGGGGGACTCGAAGCCTATTAGGTGGAATATCATGGGATTTCGCGACTCGAAGAATCGATATTCGTGTGCCGTTTCGTCTTCTTTACCCCGACATTGATTCCCCTGTTGGTTTTGTGTACCGATTTCGATAGTATCGACTGGTCTCGCGAAACTTTCATCCCGCAAACGGATCTCCTTACATCGTCGACGACCGAGCAGGTACACATAACGGGTTGATTTATATACCAGGCTGGTTGGCGTAGTTTTCTTGTCGTTCGAATGAACAGATATTTTCGTTCTCTCGTTCTGAAATTGACTCGCCTCGGGGGATGCATCGTGGGCAAAAGCGTACAAGGTAAGGCAAACCGATGCAACGAGCAAGGAACACTACGGATACGACTTTGCTCGAACGGAAACGGTTTTTATTCGTCGTTTCAAACGATTACACTGTCCAACAAATTTTGACTTTTTTTCGACGTTTCTAATTTCGTCCAGTGATTCTTATAGCCTTTTTCGCGCTGATTACGAATCTGCAACCCGTTTTTCTGCAGCACGTACAGTTTTTGAGAAATTTAAGTTTGAAAAAAAAACACATTTTTTAAATTTGAACCAATTTTGTGAGGTAACTATAAAAGACACTAAGATTCTGTTTGCATTAAAAGATTCTATAGACTTTCCCGAATACAACGATACCTGCGTTTTATGCATTCTGAATGTTTAAACATGTTTAAATGGCCATTGAACGCCGAGAGACTCGGATTTTGCACCAATTTTTGCGTATATTTTTCAATTTATCTTAAAAAGTAAGGGTCTTGTAGAAAATTGAACTATACCACACGATAGAGTAGATTTTCACCTTTAAAATGCACCCCTAGAAAGTTGCAACGTCGTTTTTTTTACGATGCCAAAAAGCAAAATAGCAACGCGCGAGACGAAACAAGGGCGGTGGTGCTCCACGCCAGAGCGTAATCGCGTTAATGTAGACGCGATACGGAACGGCCGCTCTGATGCGGGGCACCACTGGCCTCATCTCGTGTTGCGCGTTGCTATTTTGCTTTCTGGCATCGTAAAAAGACGACGTTGCAACTTTCTAGGGGTGCATTTTAAAAGTGAAAATCTGCTCTATCGCGTGGTATAATTCAATTTTCCACTAGACCCTTACTTTTTAAGATAAATTGAAAAATATACGCAAAAATTGGTGCAAAATCCGTGTCTCTCGGCGTTCAATGACCATTTAAACATGTTTAAACATTCAGAATGCATAGAACGCAGGTATCGTTGTATTCGAAAAAGTCTATAGAATCTTGTGATATGAACAGAATCTTAGTATCTTTCATAGTTACCTCACAAAATTGGTTCAAATTTAAAAAATGTGTTTTTTTTTCAAACTCAAATTTCTCAAAAACTGTACGTGCTGGAGAAAAACGGATTGCAGATTCGTAATCAGCGCAAAAAAGGCTATAAGAAACACTGAATGAAAATAGAAACGCCAATTGGCTGTTGGACAGTGTTATTTGCGTTACTTTCAATCGTTTCAACGATTTCCACTTGTTTTTTGAGCAACGCCGTATTTGCCTCTCTCGAATTACGCTCGAGTAAAAGGTATTTCGAAAAGAACGATTCGACGTTTCGACTCTAGATACTTTTCCCTAGAACGATTTTAGAAGTTCGTCATTTAGAATCCCTACTTTCGAAGAAAATCAACAAGTTTTCGAAAGAAACGCTTCGTATTTTTTATGCATGCGGTGGTTGTCACTCGTATACGTACATACATTTGACAACGAAATACGAAACATTTATCACGTATCGAAATATTTCAATGATTTATTTAAAACGTTGTATTCGGAATATCGGATGTTCGAAAGGAACTAAACGTGGCCTAAAATCGATTATAATTTTTGTTCGCGAGCACGCCGCAAACGATTCCGATCTTCTTTCGATATAATTACAGTAATATTTCGTAGTACGCGTTTCGACGAGGACGCGTTAAGTTCCATATGAAAAAAGAATTATCGCGTTTTTGAAGCTTTCAACTTCGTAAACCCGTGCCAGCGTACCCGATAAATACTTCAGCGTTGTTTTTCTTTTCACCGGAGACACGCGAGCTACTTTTTCCACCGTCTTCTTTCATCGTTTTACCTTTATTTTTCGAGCGTCCCGAACTGCAAACACTTGGTCGCGAGACACGCTAACGCGACTCGTTCGTCGGACGAGACTTTTTGGCAACTTTAATGCCGGCATAAACATACTTGCGTGGAATATACGCGCAAAGTAACATCGTTAACACTTGCGGCCAGTTTGTCCGTCGACCTCTTCGCCAGAAGAAACGAACAGTTTATTAATATTTCCAAGTTTTCTCTTCGACGCTGTTCGAAATAATATCAAGATTTTGCGCGGAGAATGTTGGCAAAAAAGTATTCGATAATCGGAAATATTGAATCGAAGCGTCGTGTAATAAACGATCCCTTTCGTCGACGAATTAAAAATCTGTTCTCGCGAAGAAAAAATTCTTAGAGATAATTGGACAGCAGGAGTTTCTGGCGCAACCGTTTCAATTACCATCTTCGCTGTTTATCGCGCGTTCAGTGTATTTGTCGCGAAGGAAAGACTACTCTGTACCGGAAAAAATGTTCGTTTCGTCGGAGAAATATGCATCAAGCGAAAGGAGGTATGGAAGGCGCGCTTAAATCGCTATAAAAAGTAGTCGAGTTATTTCATCGTTCTGATAAATAATTGGATATCACGAGAATGTTAATAAAGAAAATTGCCTTGAAAACGATGGAAACCTTTGCGTACCGCTAATAACAACCCTCGTAACCACGTTTTCTTCGTCTTTCCCCGGTCTCTCCCGGGTCGTCCCACGATTCTTCCTCGCTTGTTTCTTTCATTCGGTTGAAAGTGTAAAGCAGTCGCGAAGCGTGAAGACCTTGAGAAACGTTTTTCGAAATTATTTCGTTGTTGACCGTCATAAATTCTACATAATTGCGAAGGAAAGAATACTAAGAGTAGCGGGCAGGCGGAAAAACGAGGAAAGAAATGGGAGAAAAGTTCCCGTTGGAAGAAGGGTAAATCCGTCGCACAGGTAGTGTTACGGTGAAAAGCAAACCTTCTTCGGGTATAATTAGAAAACTTACCGTGGCCCTGCGAATATTTTGTCGCGGTGGAATTTCGACGAAGCCGAGAACATCGCTAAAGAAAAAGTTTTCTCTCTCTTTCTCTCTATTACAGCTGAAATATAAAATTTCGTTACGTGTCGCCTGACCGAGTTGTTTGTGCATTCGGAAGATATGCAAATTAAACTCGTTCCAGTTTCTTTGGTCGCGAGCTTCCACCGTCCTAACTTCTCTCGCTCCTGAAAAAATGAAGGGTCGCTCGTTCGATCACGGTAAAACTGTCTGTACTTTGTGCATTTCGCACTAGAGGGATCCTACTTGATAAGAACTTTCTTGAAAAGTTCTAAACGCATAGGCTAAACCTACTCGGAGAATCGCCCCGAGTGAATCGGCTGTTTTACCGTGGTCAGCAATTACGCTGCAGATTCAATCTTAACGCGTAGGTTGGATCGGTAGCTTGGTTGGTAGGCTGAAACGGTGGGAGTAGGCTAATTGTTAGAGCAGTCGATAGAGCGCATTAAAATGACGAAGAAGCTTTTTCGTTCTTACCTCGTTGCTTAGAATATAAAATTCCAAATATTAGATTATGTTATTCGCGGGCAGGACCCACTGACAGTTTCATGGCGAAACGTCGGAACATTTTTCTACCGCTTCTATTTTATCGGTGGTTCCTTTTCCGTAAAACGCAATTGTGATCCGATAAACCAACTTCTGGAAGTCGGTTTTCCGAACATGACCTAGATCACCATCATAAATCAACTCGTTCCTAAGAGTTCAACACCTTCGTTAGTTTGTCAATGTCCCCTGACCGTTCCGCGTTTTAATAGCCTTTTATTCGCTGTTATAATCTTTGGCTTTTAGACGCGTCTATGACCCTACTACGTTTTTAGCCAGACTTTTTAGTTTTTTCTCGCGTTATTAAAGAAATCGAAGAGAAAGCAACGAGTTGGATAGTTTTGCTTTACCCGTATGAAACGTTCGTTAACGCGTCCGTAAAGCATTCCCGGCGTTATTATCGATATGTAACCAGTCGCTTAATATGCGCGCAGAATTATAGAGTATCGTTCGTTTCGCAGCCGATGAACAGAATTTATTACGTGGCCACTGTTTTGAAACGTTAATCTGGATTTCGGCTTCATTTTCCACCCACTTTATGCTTCGTTGTACAAGTATCATCGTCGGAAAATTTATTTAACTATACATTCAACCGGTTGATTGCCAACATAAGCTTGAAACGCTGTTGTCCACTGTTATTAACTTTTCATCGTCCGGACATCGTTTTCGTCCTATTCTTGTTTTAGCTGTTCGATCGCTCGATATTGGCCGTTTTCAAGCTCCAAGTTCTCTGACGTTGCTAATAGTGACCATGGAACTGACTTACTTAAATTTATCTTCGTGTAAACGTACGTTCCTTCCTGTACAGGAACTTTCACGAGGTAAATAAGGTTGTAACTTCTATACGGGGCGTCTAGAAATAAGCGTATACCTACGGTATCGCGTGTGTAGAATGTAGTCGCTTACGATATTGGTCGTTCGCGCGTAAATAGCGTAGTAATTACCGATTCTATTATTACGTAATTGTTGGAGCGTTTCTTTAGTCGAAAACATATTAAACGGATTTTCGAACAACCGGTATCGCGTTACCTACCTACTATGAACAAAGAAACTATCGATTTAACTTTGTCGCGTGAAAAGTTAACAACGAATCTGCGAACGAATTCGATTCTATCGATACATGTTTTTATCGTTGAAAATTTGATCGGAGTATACACACGAGCGACGAAGGAACGCTTTTTCGTTTTTATTTTGCATCTATACTTACGCGCGGGTATTTCGAAAAAGAAGTAAAAGGTACGACGCATAATATCGGATATCGGATTGATCCGCGGTTACTTTTCGTCTTCGTCTCTCCGTCGCGTAACGCGCACATGTACGAGAAGACGAGCGGCGCCACATGGAAACGGTAACCTCGCCTCGTAACTAACGATTCTCTGGTAGGCTGCTACGAAAATAAACTATTTATGAATCATTCCGAGAATACGCATAATTCCTTGGCTCTCCCCTTCTGCCGATCCTTCTCCCTTTTTAAACGCCTTCGTATTTTCCCTCTCTTTCGGCTCGGCGAGTTCAGACTTTATTTCGGTTTTCCTTTCGTTCCTTCCGTTCCTTTTTTCTCGTCGCTTTCCTTGCCCTCCCTTTCCCTCGATTCTCGTAAAGAGCCGTATAAATCTTCGTATAAGTCTTCGATCTCGCGGACCTCTTCGATTATCCGGCTGAAAGTTGTCGCACGTGAAACGCGAAAATTGTGAAATCGACAAAAACCGTTAGCGTTTTCGGTAAGAAGTTACGGTAGGCGAGCTGCAAGTACGAGGTACGGTTAAAAGCGAAAAAGTCCTTTCGATCGCTAAAAATGAGACGAGTAGCGATGCTTCTAAGCATCCATGAGCTACCGTTAAGGCATTGTCCCTATAGGCGAGTCACTTTTATACTTTTTCGTTTCACGCGTTACGCGCATAATTCTTTAATGTAATCTTTCGAAATGGTTGACTGTGTAGGTAAGGGCAGCAAGCGGTATAATTAAGCCTGTGATCGAAGAATATTGTAAAGGAAAGGTCTTGTTGAGTCTATCGAGTTCATTCCCCCGACTTCGTGACCATATTCTCGTTTCTCTGTATGTATATTTTCTTGGTTCCCCCAAACAAACCATTGCCACGCGCCAATCAACTACTGCCCGACCTACGATAACTCGTTTTTCAACTGGAACCGTTTCCAATGCGTTGGTTATCGCTCCGTTAGCAAGGGTTGTTTTATCAGGGTAGTTGGACGTTCGAAGATGGCACCACCGATCAACGCTTTCTTCTTCGCGAACTCGACATAAATAAAATAATAATTATTCTCTATTATTAAAATGGTAATTACGGTACTAAGAATATTTCGGTACTAGATATTTCAGTGAATCTGATTTATCGTCGATGCACAACGTTGTCTATCGTTGTTAAGTCTCATTTTTGCAACTGATGGTAAACGTAGTAACATCGATCGAATAACTCGTCTTTTACCGTATGGAGGAAACTTCGATGTTTCCTGTGTTTTATTCGATCAACAACGATAATTAGCGACATCGCAGATTGCTACCCAATGATCGATCATTACTTGTATCGAGCTTCTCTTTAATAAATTCATAATACCTCGGCTAATCGTACGATCGTCCAGATTGTCGTCCTCCTTACCTCCTTACGTAAATAACTTTTCGTATCGAGTTTTTTCGTAAACAAGAAACAACTGTTATTTCATGTTTTCGATTTACTCTTACACACGGAAGAATACGTCCGATCGCGTTCGAAGTGTCATCGTATACGCGTCGTAATTGGAGAATCGAAATTGTCCGTAAGTTTCTCGAGTGGAATACGTATATTAGAAAGCAAGAAGTATGTCTTTGACGCAAAGAAAAATCCGTTAGGGGAGGATAACGATCGATGGATCGTTTGTCGATTGTTCAGGGAAGGAAATTTGCGAGGATCTCTTGCAATCTATCGACACTGATTCGAGTGGCACGTTTGCATTTGTCCTTCGCGATAGGGTCACGATCGCGATTATATCGGTTCGCCGGCATTATTTCGATAGAGAATGCCAGGTGAAACGGAAGCTGTTCCGCGGAGAGACCAGTTCGTCGGAGATTTCGTAGAGCGAGCGCGAACGCATGCGTGCGTCTGGGCCAATTTTACACCCCTGCTCGTAACGTATACTAGCTCGGTTCACTCGGTGTCGATAATTCCCTTTTTATCCGAGAAAATTTCCATCGGATAATCGCGCATTCGCAGAGGACGACCCTTGAAAGTCAAATTACGAAAGTAAAAATGTTTGGTAAATTCATAGTTCGCACAAAATCGAAGTCGTTTTAAAGCCGTATATCGGTACATCGTTGTTCGTGGATACGTGTTGCATTTGCGTGTCCGATTCAGTTGGCAGCCGTTCAAACTGGCCTGGAAAAGGGTGCAATCGAGCTTCACAGTCGGTATAAGAGGAGCGAGCGGCGTACAGAGTGACCAGCGAAACGCGTACGATCGCGAAACAGAAATTTCCTTGCGGCCATTTCGAGGCGCGTGCGCTCCGCTTGTCCAAGTCGGCTACGCTCTTCTACGCGAGCGCGCTTTAACCGTCGAGACGTGTGCGGACAAAACAACGGCTGACCACGTTGTAGAGCTAGCTTCTTCTTTCGAATGAGAGCACCGTTATCGAGATAAACAGCGTAGACTCGATTCGAGTCGAAGATCGAAAAATCGTTGCGGCATGTACGCGGCTTAACGCGCGTCCAGGTTCGAGCACGGGTTCGAGCGTGTGGGGGGTTGCGCGAGTGCACACGGAATCGTGGATACGAGAAGTTGGAACGTGGCCAGCAGTGCCTAGAACCTCGTATCTGGTAGTCGAAAACTCGACTAATCGCGCGTACAGCCGCGCAAGGCCAATACGATTTCTTTCTTTTGTTTCTTCCTTCCTTTCTTCCTTCCTTCCTTCCTTCCTTCTTTCCTTTCTTCCTTTCTTCCTAACCCCTACGGAACAAAAGGGTCGTTTCGTTCCCAGTTTCCAGTGGATGGAAAGGGTGCGAGACGTAGTGGCCGATAGAGCGAGAGACAGCGGATGGTAGCGAGTAGGTGAAAAATATTAAGAAGAACAAGGATGGTCGGGTCGAAGTTGGGTGGTTCCTAGGTTAAATCGTGGCCGCACGATTTACGATGGTTTGTGGCGGGAACGTATGTGGGTCAGTATTCGTTATCCGGTCGAACTTTTACGGTTTTTCCAGGACATCGAGCGTTACGTAATCGAAAAATGACCGATGGTAACGAGCCCGAGATTGGCCGTCAGGGCAAAGGACGAATTCTCTGGCGAACACTGTTCAGGAGTTGTCGCCTCGAGAGATGTTTCGATGCTGTCGAGGGTAGGAGGGGTGAATCGACGCGGTACTGCTGCTAGCAGGACGTTCGATAATGGGGGGTGGTTCCACCTTTCGACCGGAGAGACGTCGAAACTTTCGAGGGTGGTGTAGCTTCGATATATACGTGTATCTAATCTGTGGATACTGGGCGGCTTTCGGTGGTGGGTGTCCCTTGTACACGCTTTGTGTACACGTGGCTTCTTCTCCTTCTCCTTCTCCTTCTCCTATCGTTTCTCGTGTTTCCGATGCGTCAATTAATTGGATTAACGTCACCGGCTTTACTTACCTTTCCATTTCTGACGTTCTGGCCCCGATTGCTCGCCCAATCTTTCTTCGTTCTCGTAATGGCTCGGGTCGCGTTTCGATCTCCGCTCGAGAGGAGAATTAGCTCGTCTGGATCGGAAGTCGATCGACTCTCGTATACTTCCCTGACAATTATTTCCGATTAACTTTATAATACGCGACATTGCGAAGCGTGTTAAGATCACGCGTCTATCGGTGTATTTATCGCTTTAAACGAGATTCGAACGCTACAACCTGACACGGTCTTGCTTATTCGATACGATCTGTCCTGAAGAAAGTGACACGCTGAACGATGAACGTTCTCCGGTCGACGTGTGGCGCGAGTCGAGTCGACCTCGAACGAATGTCATTATTTTCTTTGCGTCTTCCTAATGAATCTCGTTGGCGGCGAGTAATTATACCAACCCGACGGAACGATACACTCGGCTGTAGTAGTCATGATTATCTGCTCGTTATTTTCCGATGAGGGAGCTTTTCTTGCAGGATCTTCGCGGAGTATTTTAAGACGGCGTCTTTTGCTCCTCTTTTACGCTTTACGCGATACCGCTGTACACGGTATCTCTACACTCTACGATATTGTACATCCGTGATTAGTAACCGGATCTAACTCGGTTCAAGTTCACTTTTCGAGATTGTTAAAATGATCGTGGAAGAGCGAAGAATAAATGTATATTCAAGGAAGAAGAGTCGGCAATTTCAAACTTTTTGCCGCGAATCGAAAGAAAATTCAAATAAATCGGTAGAAAAAGACTTGGAATCGTAGAGAAAATATGTTGCGCGAGCAAGTGTACTCGCGAAAGAGTTGTCGCGAATGTCCCTCTGTTGGCGACCACTGGAAGCGACATCGGCGTAACTCGAGCAAACGATTGCGTGGTTAAATTTTATTCCGACTAAAGAGATTCCGACGGTTTATTGGATCGTCGGACGGTCAGAGGGGTTAGCAGAAAATTTGCGATAATCGTAAATCAAGTTGAATAAACGTTGACAGCGAGGGGAGGCAATTTCGTTAAATTATCGCTAAAATTCAGACAACGTCGTGTACGGACAGAGTAGGGAGAGTAGCGGATCTCGTTTAAAATTGGACCGTTGCTTTTTTTCGCAAGAATTTCCACTCACGTGTCGGCTGACAGCTACAGCGGAAGCCACGGAAAGGTGAAACGAGGCGAAAGCTCGAAAGTCTCCGGTTCCGGCGTTCTTCGTCACTCGCTAATAGCTGTAACGACTTCTGGAACATAACGAACACGCTTTAAGGAGGATACAGAAAGCGACGAAGCTTCGCGAGCGTTGTATAACGGTTCGCGTTATAATCGCGCTTGCTTGGAACGGAGCTTCTTACTATTTCTTTTACCAGCATTCGAGGATGATCGAGGAGGATTTTTTCAAGGTAATGGCCGATTATTTTGTTCGACGAAACGCTTCTCTCGCCTGTTCGATATTTTCATTCGGGACAAGGGGATCATACCCGATGCAACGAACACGCGACTACGATCTACCGAGATAACGAGGTAAGGGAAAGTTAATACCGATAATCCGATCGTTCGAGATCGAGAGCGAGTGTTCGAGGAACAAAGGTTCTAGCTAAATATCCAAATAGAAACTTGTCAGTGAATCGAACAAAACGACGAGTAGATTCGAGAAAAAGTTTCTTCCCTTTTGTAAAGTATCTCGAGTCGACGGAATGTACACGGTGTTACTTTGTACGGTTAACGAGAGAATGTGGCCAACACATTGTGCACAGCGGTCGCGTTTCGTTCGAGTGTGTTCCTTTGATTACGAAGTTTACGCTTAAGCTCGCTATTGTCGTCGCTAGGGAAACGTTGAATCGGATATGTGTAAGTCGCTGAATACTCGCGATAGCTGCATCCACTAGTTCGGTAATCCTCTCGACAGACAATGGTTATTATTTCGGTAAACGCGTTTTCATTTAAATGTTCATCGAGTAAACGTTAACGAGGCTGAAAGTCCTTATCGTTGTTAGTAGATAGTTTCGTTTAGTCGGTATCGATCGTCGTTGCAGGAACGATCCAGGAAGATTGATCGCGAAACAATTTTCTTTTATTCGTTGAAAGTTTCGACATTAGTGTTGGGTTTGCCGGTATCCTTTCGAGAAACGGCGTCGCTCGAACGAAGGCCAAACTCTGTTTCTTTAAAAAACATGTAGCTTCCGTTTAAAAAGTGATCGTAATTCTTTGCCAGCTTTCTTCGAATCACGGTTTCGATTTAACGCTTCGGATTTAACTGTTCTCGAGTACCGTGTCGTACTCTTCTACACAGTCGACGCGATATAAGAGATGCATCGTCACGCGTTGGGTTAGCCGTGCGTTCCTCGAGTTTCGAAACATTTCTCCGATCGCGTACATACGCGCGATAGGAAAGTATAGGCAACTCTTTGGACTACGAGGAGAAAACACGAGTACGAACGACGAACGAAAGTCGTAGGAGGAATCGAATATCAATCGGTTAACTCGTTTCCATTAGACACGACGCGTCTTTCCATCGAAGCAAATTCCACTGTTCAGTTTCGATTCGCGTAACAATGTAAGACACCGTACATTCGCTTTCGAAGAGGCGATAGCCGCGTGTCTCATCGACAAATCGTATAATCCCTTCCATAAGATCCTTGGAAGTTCGAAGATCGATCGGCGACACGTCGTCGTAACCTGTTTCGTCTCGTGGACGGTCGAAAATTGGGGACGACCGAGCACGGATCGGAGGGAAACGTAAAAAGAAATGTAGGGGAAAAAGGAAGGCGAAAGAAAGAAACTCTCGTAGACGAAAAGATGACGGAGGCGCCACCCGGTATAAACGGACTCGTATCGTGCAGTCGTAGAGTCGACTCTCCGATATCGAGCGGGAGGCCCAGCGAGGGTTGCGCGCACGAGGGCGCGCGAGGACCGCACCAACACGCGATCATCCCTCGGAACGTTCGCGTACATTCATCGCGGGAATATGTACACTCGCGCAGATTCCCCCACCTCGGCGATCTACCACCTTCGCCAGGTGGCGTAGACGGGGAAGAATTTCGAGAGAAACAAGGAAACGGCTAAGGGTGCACGGCAAGCCAGAGCGAAACGGAAGAACGTTCGAGGGTGGGTAGCCTGTTGGTCGTTGGAGCGAAAAGGAACGAGCACGTTAGGGAAAAAGAGAAGACGGAGGAGCGAGCGGTTCGACCGACGAACAAGGACAAACGGTACGAGCAAAACGGAGATACGGATAGGGTGGAGTATGGGAAGAAAGAGGAGAAAGGGTGACACCGTGGAGAACGACGGACGAAGAGGACGAGTTCCCAATGTCGAGAGAGCCGCGGAGGGAAGAAAGGAGAGAAAAAGAGAGATGGTGGGAGAGTCGTAGCAGAGGGTGGTGGTAACGTAGAGAAGGGCGAAGAGAGAGGAACGGAACGGAACGGAACAGGGTTGGTTCCAGTGTGCAGCGGGCGGGCATCGCGGCGGGGGCGCCGTTCTGCTGCTCCTGTATATCCATCCAGGGTTATATGCACCATCCACCGCATCCTACGGACCACGACGGTGACGACGACGACGACGACGACGACGACGACGACGACGACGACGACGACGACGACGACGACGAGAACGACGACGAGAACGACGACGTCGGGAAACGGGAGAAGGATGTTGGTCGAGGAGGTTGTTCGTGTTCGATACTGAAGCGACCGTTCGTTCTCGACGTTAGTTGTAGTTGGTTATCCATAGCGAGTAGAGTTACGTGATACGTAAGCGTTTTTTCAAAATCGTGTGACAGCGAACGATACGAGTGTCATTGTTTTCGACGAGGAGGTAAAAAAGCAACGGAGACTGCGCCGAGGTAAAAGAAAGAGTAAACGAAGAAGATAAATAATAGCGAGGAAAAGGGTGTGGAAATAATAAGAGAAGCAGGCGAGAAGAAAGAAAAAGGAAAAGGTAGGTCCATTCTGGTCCGAGGGAGCCATCGAAGGTGGAGGAGCATGCGAGAGCAGCTCCTCGGTGTTTCAACATGACCCAGCCTTAGTAGGGTACCTCTGCTGGCGTACACCCTCCGCGCCGCGACACGATACGACACGCAGAAGAAGGCGGTGGAGGAGGCGGTGGTGGTGGTGGTGGTGGTGGTGGCGGTGGAGGCGGCGGCGGCGGCGGCCAGAAGAGAAGTGGTGGAGGAGGAAGAGGAGGAGGAGGTGGACGGAGAAGAAGAAGACGAAGGAGAAGAAGGAAGAGGAGGACGGAGGACTCGCTAACGACGGCGAACGTCCTCGAGGGTGCGAGATACCAGCACCAGCAACACCACCGACGACGATGATCGTGACAGGCGACGAACGACGTACGCGTTGGAGGAGGAGGCGCCGATCGGTCCTCGGGATAACGGTGTCGGCCTTACTGGCCCTGGTTATCGGTCCTTTGCCAGTTCACGGACACAGGCCAGCGCCGAACAATCCCATCATTCTTCAGACTAGTAGCAGCACGACAACGACGCCCTTGTACGTGCACCCGAACAGTACCGTCCTATCTAATGGCAACAACAACAACATCTACAACGAGGCTGCGGACGACGGTTATAACAGTACCCTTCATCATCACCATCATCAGATGGTCGGCGGTAACATGACCGAGGAAAAGGCGCCCCTCTTTCCCGAAGACCTCTTCACCGTCCATCAACGACGTCGCGGTGCCGTGATACTTCACGTAATCGGTGTTGTGTACATGTTCATCGCTCTAGCGATCGTATGCGACGAGTTCTTTGTGCCGTCGTTGGACGTGATCATCGAGAAACTCGAAATCGCCGACGACGTGGCAGGTGCTACCTTCATGGCGGCCGGCGGTTCGGCGCCGGAACTGTTCACATCGATAATCGGCGTGTTCGTGTCGTTCGACGATGTCGGTATCGGCACCATCGTCGGTTCGGCCGTATTCAATATTCTCTTCGTGATCGGCATGTGCGCAATATTTTCTCGTACGGTGCTATCCCTCACATGGTGGCCCCTGTTTCGCGACTGCACCTTTTACAGCGCCAGCCTGCTCACCCTGATCTTTTTCTTCCGTGATAATTATATTCACTGGTACGAGGCGTTGGTCCTCTTCGGATTCTACTTGGCGTACGTCAGCTTCATGAAATGGAACCAACCGATGGAGAAACTGGTCAAAAGGGTATTCTACAGGAATAAGGTGACCCGAGTTAGGTCCACCGATCAGCTGATGCCCTCGGTACGTAACGTTATCTGGGAACCGAACTCGGGACCGAATTCTTCTTCCATTTTTTCTGCTCTCGCGAAATCGATCGTCCCGCGTACGTACCTGATGACAGTTGGAATCGCGTTACTTATTCCCTGCTCGTCCTTAGACGCGTCGCGTCGCGTCGCGTCGCGTGACTATGCCTACTCGCGCGGCTACTCGTGGCCGACCAGTCTGCTGTTTCGTCTCGTTGACGGACATTGCCACGTTCGCTTTTTTTTATCGATCCCACTTCTTCTTGTCTCCCGCTTACATTTTTTCTACCCCTTTTTTATCGAGCCTCAATCGAGGTCACGACATTGACCACCTTGCTACACCGATCATCGCCGTCCACCTTTCGTTCTCCTTTCGTTCGACTAATATTCGAAGCTAGATTTTCCTACGATGGACAAATAATTAAGCGAACGATATGCAACGATCTATATTTTCTACGTACCGACGATGCTCGTCTTCCGTATATTTATCTCGATAAAATGACATTCGCGGACGGCACGATTTCATCGTTGTCTCGAATGCGACAACAGTCTGAAAGAATCGTGAAAAATGTTCGCGCTTTCCGTATCCGCTCGTTTGCGCAATGTTGATCTCGATGAATATATCCGAGCGAAAAATAGTGGCGCACGCAAGATGATTCGATTACTCGTCTTCCACCCAACCAACGAGCTTAATTAGTACATTTATCGGGTATTTCACTCGAAATCGGAGAATCTGACTACAGGTTGAAGCGAAAACCAGCAAAAGCAGTTTTTCCCTCGAAAATTCTTGAAATTCTATCGGGGAATTATTACCAATTAGGCAAATATCTCATCGCATTAGCTAATAAAATATGGATTTACCTACTTTTGAAACGTACCTTCGAAATCTAGCATTTTGACGGGTTTCAGTTTTCGTTCGAATCCTATAGAAATTTGTCCGATATTCGACGTCTTCTTAACAACGAAGCTTTGCAGAACATAATAAATACAGTAGCCTCGTAAATTAGTTGTTTTCGGTGAAACTTTTGTAAAGGATTTTCGTTCTCCATCGCCGTCGTTTGAAAGTTCGCTAACTCGATTAGTCGCATTAGTGGAAAAAATACGCGCGGTGAACCGAGAGATGGGAATTTATTACTCGATATAATTACAGTTTCATGATAATTAGTTGCTTTCGGTGAAAATTTTACGAACGGTTCGCCATTTTCGACGTCCTTTCAAAACTTTGTACGATCGATTAGTCGTGCTACCGTAAGAGAGAAAAAAAAAGGAAAAACGAGAGAAATAGCAAGAGTTAACCGATGGATGGGAATTTATGACTCAATCGGTGAAACGTAAATGCGAATAAATCAAACGTTCGAATCGAATTATCCACGAACGATTGATTCGCGACTCGCCAAGAAGAGAATTTTGATTTATCGGAGAGTCGTTACGACGATCGATTACGCAGCTCGTTTCGAAAATCGAGGCGATCGAAGAGGCAAGGGAACAGAGCCAGAAGTAAACCGATCGCGAGAGGAAATTGGTTATCGAGAGGACACGCTTCACCGCAATCACGAGCCCGGAAGAGCCACTTGGTGGAAGCGACACGAGGAAAAGGAAGGAGGTAGAACCTCTGTTAGGTATAGCGAATAACGAATTAATCCAATTTGTAACCGGAAGAAACCGCGTTAATCGATACAACGGAAATATTCTGGCTGCCGGCTTAAAATTCTTTCGAGAATAGAACGATAAACGTAGAAATAAGCCGAGTAAGCGTCCAGGGAGTTGGGAACGTTGCAAGTTAAAATTCCATCGATCGATTCGAGTATATCGTAGTCGTACGATATAATCGGGAGAGACGTTAGAACGGTCCCGATGAGAAGGATAAATATCTGCTGGCGACGTGGAAAGATCGTATCGAGTGCGTTCCTCGATACGTCTGAGAATTGGGACAAAGGCGTTAATCTGACCGTGCCCGAATCTTTGTACCACTTTTTCGCGACCCGATTGTCTATGGACGCGGAAGATAGCTACGGAGCGGAGGGAGAAAGAGCGTGTCTCGAACACTTCGCTAGGCTTACGATACCAAAGCAAACCGAACGAAATAGGCCACTGCTGTTTTCCGCTTCTTCGTTTCTGCTTTGCACGATCGACCATTCGATAACCGAACCGATTCGCGAACCGATTTTCGGATCAATTCGCGAAACGAACGATAAAATTACGATGAAATTTCTAATGTAATTTCGATCGATCGTCCCGTTTACAACGGAGAAACGTACATATTTCTCTCGACGCTTTCAGAAAGATGAATCGTTCGGGGACCGTAGCAGCGTTAATTGCGTTATCAACATCGTGTCTGATAAAACACGTAGTCGCGAGACGGAACCGTAGTAAACGCTTGGCTCGCGTTGTTTTTCGTTATTGTTCACGAGTTACGGTTGCACAGCAAATACTCACGGTGACAAACGGTACTTCTTTCCACGGTAAATACCACTCTTCAATTTTCTTTACCAACCATTTCATGTTACATCTGTTGCTAAAAGCAGCGTATCCTCTTGTTCGAACGTTCTCTCGCTAGTGGCTATTGCCCTAAGAGGCGCGATTCAATTGCCCTTGGCAATCGATTGCCCGAAGTGATAAACAGGCTGTTTTGGGGTCATTGAATTACCCATTCCTGCGACATGCTACAGTAAATCTTCGTTATATCGACGCAGACGGAGTTCGAACGGTAGAAAATTTTCGAAATTGCCAATACATTCGATTATCCTTCGACGTCGTGATTCTTTTTTTATTTTCTTCATTTTTCACGGTTCCGAAGAACTTTCCTTTCGCGATTTATAAACGAAAAATTTGTAGGTACATCGATAGGATGCAACGCGCGAATATCGCGAGTTAGTACAGTGGAACGTTGAAATACCGTTGTCAATCGGGCACGGCATCGAGGTTACGAGATATAATTCTCTTATTGACACTGATTCGCGATTGCTGAAAACGGAAGGGCTTGCGCGCTAATGATTGCACAATTGTACGCGGATAGAGCCGTCGATCTTAATTTCATCGTATTCGTAACGACTGTTTATCCGTTTATTTATACGTTTATTTATAACGATCACTTCCAACATAAGTTCCACTAATTCCAATTCAATGTACACTAGCCCTAAATGGAACGACTGAGGGAATTATTTAAGTAGCAGTTAGCTACTTTTTTTATTTATTTATTTAGTTGTTTAGCGTATCGGCCACGTTCGGTATTTTCTTCGATAGTAACGATAATATTGGCGTTTTCGTAATACATGTCATGCATTTCCCATTTAATCGTTAATAATTTCAATATTTATAAATGGGTTTGTTTAGTGAAAATCTAAACGTACAGTCTTCCATCTTCGAGATTCATTCGGTATCTGTATACATTGCTAACTTATCTCCATCCAAATTTATTGTTCTTACACATCATTTTTACATAAAAAGGATTCGAATCGAATGTTTATTTATCACCGGTTTAATAATATTAATGAAAGAATCACGGCTATAGGAAGCGATCGAAAGATAAAAGGTTTATTTAATAACGCGAGTTGCCGAGAAAAAAGGTATTTTCGCGAGTAGTTTGTAATTCACCTTCTTTTTTTCCCTACTGAAAGATTTTCACGGATGAAGGAGGATCCAATAAGTCGCAGAGAGCGTGAGCGAGAAAGAGAGGTAAAGAGAGAGAGAGAGGTAAAAGAGAAACGGAACGGTGGTTGTACTCTCGTGCCTCCTCTCATCATCGTCATCATCTTTTCCATCTTTTGCTGCTTCCAGCTCATGAAATCTTTCTCCTCGGGGCAAGTTACGGCATTGCAGTGTGCAAAGGCCCTCTACCCATCGTCGAATCGATTCGACAGAGGCCCTTCCAACGCTTAACCTCGCCACGACGATATACAACCAACGCCGTCCGGGGATCGTGCACGCTCTCCTACCCTCTCGTTCATTCTTTCTCTTTCCTCTTTGCGTTATATAATATGTATGTACGCTGATCAAATGCACGCTCGAGTTATCAGCAATCTGCCTACAAAACCCGATTGACCGAACGAACCCAGCTTTCGACAGTCCCGTGTAAACAGGACAAGAGAAAAAACGAGATGCCGATGATACATTATCGACTAAAATGGACATCGTTGATCAAACGTTTCGGATGTTAGATTTTTCGTTTTCACCGAACGATTGCTTGAAAACTTTTTATTTGTTCGTCGCTTATTCGTTAGATGACTAATTGTACGGTTAATCATTGTCGGTAGCGGAGGGGAGACGTGGTCGGATTAAAATTTCTCGTATACACGGTTAGAAATAATAATTAGCTTCGTTTAGTTATACTCCAGTTAAGGATACTCGCTGCTCCAACAATGACTTTTCATTAGTTTTCTTAAGGAAGTTGTTCCTTTCTACGATCTTTAATTAACCGCCGTTAATTCGCGAAGCGATCTTTCTTCGACGATTGTTTCACCGCCGTTGTTCGATGTGCCTCGAATAAAATTTTTTCAACAAAAGAAAAGAACACATCGTTTCCATTGCTTGGTATGTTTATTTCGTTAGATCGTAGGAAAATGCACGGAAGAAAAATTCTTTCAATTCCAGGCCACGGTGTTTCAAAAGTATTTTCGTCCGTTAACGATAACGCCTGGTCGAGATTCTTTTGTCGAGTTATCGATTCTCTCTTGAAAATTTGTCTCTCGTTACCTTGACCAATGACATTTCTACGCTTTTCAGAAAAACGAATGCATTTTCGGCGCTGTTCTATGGCTAAGGGTGCGTTTCGAACGGATCGATCGATGCATTGTGACGGTACTCGAATTCGCGTCGCGAATCCTTGCGGCGTGTTCGGTCGTTTTTAAAAGATCGAGCAGAAGGAACGGCATGCTGGAAAAAAAAATACGAGAAGAGAAGAAAGAACGGTTTGTACGGCTTACGATTCTTGAAAATTGGAGAGGGTTACCGATGCATAAATCTATAGATCGTTGCATATCGAATTTCAAACGAAATTCT